CAAAGAAAAGGCCAATCTTTTGACCCCACCCAGCATTCTGATTCGACAACATGAGGGGAACGGTATAATTCTGAATCGAGGTTAGATAAGAACTTGTGACCTTGGTTGCGTTGACGTACGAATAAAATACCAGTGGCGTATTGGATTGTTACTGCAATCGATGTCGTCTTTGCACGCAGGCTTGGGCTCGATATCTCGACCAAGCTGATCCAGCCTTCAAAGGGTTAGTTACACAGTGACCCGAGTAATTGATCACAACATACCAATAGGAGCGAGTGTGTTTGCATACACAAATGCCCAAAGAGAACACAAGGCTACCAACGCCATCCCCGAAGCGCTGGTCTGCTTCATAAAACCCAAACCGCCAACAATGAAGCAGATGGTCGCCATTGCGGCACCACCGCCGATGACGAGCGTTCTTCGGCCAACCTTGTCAACGGTGTAGAAGGAAATGATGATACCTACTACAAGAACCATCTGCTTGACCATGTTACCCAAGAATGGGTCACTGACTCCAGCCAGTTGAAAGAAGTATGTTGTGTAACCGAACATCAAGGGGACTCCAACAATGTTTTGGAACGTGAAGGGAAGAGTTGAGATAATGGCTCTCTTCATGTTGATCTTGCTAGTGAAGAGAGCTTTCCAGTCCGAGTTTTCATTGCCGGATTTGGCGGTTGCTGAGGACTCATCCATCTCATACTGAAGAACCGAGTACTCACGATCGATATCGTACCCTTCGACATTACCGACAAGTCGCTTCAGGGCCTTCTTGCCTTCCTCGTGTCTGCCCTTTGATGCATACCAAGCTGAAGGTTCCATGTCAGCTATTCGTCTCGATGGAACAGATGTCACGGGAACTTACAGGGTGTCTCGGGAAGATAAAGCATAGGGAAAAGCCAAAGTCCAGTGAAGACGAACTCTGAGTAAAAGATATGACGGAAGGCCAATGGATTCGTCTCCTCAAGGACCTTCAAAGCAATGGCGAGGAAGACTTGACCCAACGCAAACGCAAGGGAGAAGCTGCCCAGAAGAGCGCCACGGAATTGAGGGAGAGCAACCTCTGACATGTAGACCATGACTGATGTTCCCATCATACCGCCTGCACAGCCAGCCACGAGCCTAGCGATGAGAAGAGTCCACCAATTGGGCGCAATGACCTGGATTACAATAGACTGATAGTTGTCTGTTAGAGCTATGCTGCCGTGGTTGGAGTTGAACGGACACCTACTAGAGTCAGAAAGAATGTCACTCCCCACATGTTGAATTTGCGACCGAATTTGTCTGCAGTGACTGGAGCGATAGTCTGGATCAAAATGGAGGTGACAAAGTAGCATGCCGCCCAAAGAGAGATATGCTGCGAGTTGAGAGCTGGTTTGCCGGTTTGTGGATCTTTGACGGTGGCAAAGTACTCGATGAAGCCTTCGTTGGCAATGATACTCCCGATGACTGAGTTGGCATATCCAGCATACCTGTTGATAAATGAATCAGCACTCCAAACTTCAAAGTTGGTGGCTCAGAGCTGGTACATACATTCCCGCCAGGGAGACACCCAGCCCGGTGATGTAGAGTCGCCAGAACTTCCTGACGCATTGAGCACGCGTCAAGCTCGCAAATGCAGAGGTCGGTGCTACATCACCAGTCCCTCTTTTCTCGTCATGCTCATGCTCAGCCTGGACGATGTCGACATTTTCGAGGTTTTTCGCCATTGTTGATTCTTCTCTCTTGTCGTTTTCTTCTTGAGCCAAATATAAATGGAAATCTGTTGTTTTGAGATGAAGTCAATGATCTGCAGTGGCACTCTTATTTATATCTACCAGTGAACCAGATACCGTCGGCGAGAATTCCGACCAACGTGATGCTGTACACATGATTTGCATCGACAATTCGCCTGTCGAGTGCCGCTCGTTCCCCGGATCCCCCACAGATTGGTAGCGAGAAACCGAGGAAGTGGTGTGCTGCTATTGTTGCAATGCGGGGGATGATGGGTCTAACCCCAGAGTAGAGTAGTAGTGCGGAATTGCAAGGCCACAAGCGCTGTGTCAGGTCATCCATGACAGGTTTTTTGACAGTTACGGTAGTCCGGCTTTTTCATCGGCCGATGATTCCTCCTGCACCGGCCACCTCAAACCATGGCCTTACCGTGATTGGCATGTTACGGGCAGCGTTCGCAAAACACGCCTTGAATTCTGGCATGAGCTAGTCCTTGTTGACGGCTAACGGGCAAATATCGGGAAAAGCATGGAATATTAATGTTCTGGACTGAGGTTCAGCAGGGAAATGGCATGATTGACGCGTTTAAGCAGCGTCAGGAGGTCTATAATGAATGGTCTGGATGCTGCATGTGTGGCCGCCACCGGAAAGCTGTCCGCAGAATGTTGATTGAATGGTTACGATGTAGTAGGTAAGCTATTTTGACGCTGGGCCTCACAGAAAAGCCTGTCTTGTCATTATCGGTTTAATGTATTATCATGCTTGGAACTAGCAAGCATGCTTTGGGACATCTTCATACACAATAGCATAACGGTAGTTTAACAGGAATTCTGATTCACTAGTTCTGAATAATACCATCATTTATGAGATAACTTATTAGCTTCCATCTCAGTCCACCTCTTCCTCAACACCTGCACAGCGCTCTTTGGTCTCCGATCCCGCGTGAATACACCTTTCTTGTTACCATCAACCCTAAAAATAAAGCTAGACGACGTCTGGAAATCCGCAAAATTCCAGACTTGCTCTCCAACTACACTCTCCACCTTATCAAATACTCGATGTGACATTTCCAGGACTCGGCTCTGATATTCCTCACTCCAAGGTTTATCTCCAACCGTATGCAATCCAGAAAGAGTATCAGCACCATACTCTGTCATAATGATGGGTTTGTTGTATTTGCCCTCCCAACTTCGTAGACATTCCTCCAGACCTCGCTCAGCTTCCTCAAGGTCGCCAGTGTTAAGATACCAGCCGTAGTACCTGTTGAGGCAAATCACATCAAAAAGAACTGCAATGAGATCAGTGTGAATATTGGCTTGATTCTCGTTGGCGAAGCAAATAGGCCGTGTCGGATCCAATTCGCGGTTTAGTCTGACAAGTGGCTCCATATACTCTCTCACCCCAGGCTCGCTAGCCGCAGGTTCGTTTGCAACGGTCCACATGACAACACTAGGGTGATTCTTATCGCGGGCAATAAGCTCACGTATAGCTTGAGCGTGGGCGGCGCGTGTTTCGTCGTTAATCGTCTCTGGTGAGAAGGTCGGTATCGGCTTGTGCCCAAAGAGACCAGCGACAATGGTCAGGTTGAGGCCAACTGCAGCTGTCTCGTTGATGACAACGACTCCGTGACGATCTGCATACTCCAGGACCTCTTCTGCGTACGGGTAATGGGAAGTTCTGAAAGAGTTGGCTCCCATCCACTTCATCAGCTGAAAGTCGTGGATCATGTAGGCTGGGTCATGGCCTTTGCCTCGGATTGGTGTATCTTCGTGTTTACCAAATCCTGTAAAGTAGAATGGCTTTCCATTGATAAGAAATTTGTTTCCTGAGACCTCGACTGTTCTTATTCCAACCGGTAGTTCGTAGGTGTCTACTATTGTGTTCCCGGAGAAGATTTGTACGCGAAGTTGATAGAGATATGCGGCTCCTGGTTGCCAAAGATGAACCGATTCAACGACCAGCGAGCCATTTAATTCAGAAGAGTGACTGACGGGGCATTCATCCTCGTCCAGGAGTGTTACCTTGACTGATTGATGGTCGAGAGGGATACTGGTAGCGATATTAAAGTCCACGATACCAGTAGTCCCCTCCACTTTGGTGACAACTGTGATATCCTTGACAGAGATACTGGGCACAGTGAACAACCATACAGATCTTGCAAGCCCTGCGTAGTTGAAAAAGTCATGCTGATAATGTTGCTTTCGCTTGCCATTCTTGAGAGTCTCTGTCCTTCCTGGTGGAATAGTGTGCCAGTCAAGTTCATTGTTGACCGCCACGGTAAGGCGACCTTGCTTGCCAGGCTCGACAATATCCGAGATGTCCACCTCGAATGGGGTATAGCCCCCAATATGTTCAACTACGAATTGATCGTCGATGTACACGCGCCCCCGATGCGTGGCAGCGTCAAAGCGCAGAAAGCAACGACGTTGAGACCAGCTAAGTGGGATGGTGAAGCGCCTTTGATAGTAGACCCAGCCAACATGGTTGCGAATACTGGAGTCAACGAAAATGTCGTTATAGCTGGCGGGAACAGGAACTTGGAGCTTTGGCGGTATGTTCCGTTCCCAAGCTCTTTCATCGTCAATGTCGACCAATTGGGAGATTGCAAAATTCCAGACACCATCCAATGAGACAAGTTCTCGAGAAGCGTTAGCCTGCGGTTTGAGCATATTGAAGGTTCGTGTTAAGAGAAGAGTTGATGTGGCTGGACCATCTCGATGAGTCTAGAATACGCCAATTATTGGATGAGGGAGGAAAAATGGTGGTAAAAGGGCCTCGAAACGGACCTTTCTCTTCCAATTAAGGATAAAGCCCTTCGGAGTAAACAGCCGTCAGTCGCACAGGTATCCGATAAAATGTCTCCAATTTCACTATAGAACTGCAACCCGGCAATTTCACCTCTAAACTAGAAGATAAATAGCACTGATTTGAGAGTCCATGTCAGCAAGAGTGTGCACAAGAGCTACCCTGAAGACCGGGTATAGCCTCGGTGGGAGCATCGGCCGATGGATACGCGAGAGCCGTGCCCAATATGTTCTAGCGCAGAGCCATGCTCCCCTGTCACAACCCTCGTGACAGCATTCCACTGTGACAACCACCAATCATCATCGCCGAAGGTGAGCTACCGAGTCGGTTTGCGGGGTAATGCAGCTGGTAAATGAATCGCTCAGGGACCTCCACTCAAATTTGAGCTAGCCAGCCATGTTAGTGGCAAGTTCGCCGATGGTAGAAATGATTCGACCTTGTTCCAACTTTCACGTCACTTCCGGACACGATGGAAATGTCGCACGATGACTCCCCCGAAGCCGAGCTCCCATCCTGCAGTGGCTGCCGGAAACGGAAACTCAAGTGTTCCAGACAGAGACCATCTTGTTCCAACTGTGAGCGATTGGGTGAGTTTACAGCAAAGACCAGGGCCAATGGGCCTATTATTCACGTTGTCCAGGTGCACCTTGTGTTTATGAAAATCGTCGGACGAAACCAGGTTTGAAAGGTGGTGCTGTCGAGAGCCTCAATCAGCGGTTAGGTATACATCAAGTGAAACCCATGGCTTCATCAGAACGCATACTCATTGAGAACAACAGAAAAGGTCGAAAAAGCATTGTTCGGCTCAGAACATGGCCAAGGTGCACAAGGCTCTGAAGGTACAAATCGTGATTTCTCAGGCGGCAGGACAAGTGATAGCAGTCCAACGCCCCTGGAGGCAGTCCTTTCTACTCTTGCCGGCGAGTTGCAGAAGCTGAATCAAAATATTGAGCCGACTCGCAAAAGGCAGTATGAATACGACCCATACAGAAAGGTCTCCGAACTTTTCAAGAGAAGAAGGCGAGATGCAGTCGAGGAGCAGCATCAAGCCAGTAATCAAGATACCACTCAGCAACAAACTCGTCAGCATTCATTATGCAAGATCGATATTATCCAAGACCATTTGGAAAAGCTAGTCGAGGCACATTTCGACAACATCCAGCCATGGATACCAATGATAATTATGAGAGGCTTCCATGACCGCATTCAGAAAGACACTGAGCATCGCATGACAATTGTGCTTGAGGCAATGATGATAGCTTCTCTGCGCTATGTCGAGATCAATGGCAACCCACTGGATAATACTTTTATCAATAGCGAGGTGGCAAGGTTACGAAAGCGTGTGATGATGGATGCGATGGAGGGTCTGACGACGGAGAATTTGCAAGCACTCATCATGATTGCATTCACCGCGGTATGTTGTGATTCTTGACTATATCAACACTCCTAATACCAGTTTAGATTGGAAATGGCAACTTGGAAAAGGCCTGGCCTGTCATTGGGTCTCTGACACGAACAGTCGAGTACATGGGACTTTCTGTTGAACCCGAAGTGCATCAACGCAAGAGAGGGTTATTGTCAGATAGCTCATCGCTACCAGAGCCACGAGATTGGCTGGAGGAAGAGGAAAGAAGACGGATCTTCTGGAATGTCTTCATCCTTGACAGAATCTCATCTATTATCAAAGGGTAAGATCTCTTTCCTCTCTTTCAAGTGACATGGCTGACACATTCAAGATGGAGTCCAGGCATTAATTCAGCCGATGTTTGTCGAAGACTGCCTATATGCGGTGGGAGCTGGTTCCACAACGAGCCAGCAGTGACACCCTACTTCGGAAACTGGGACGAGCCAACAGCACGCAACAGTCACGGGACGAGTCCTTACTCTGTTGGAAGTAATGCTGGTGGTGTTAACGGACCAGCGAGTAGCTGCAACGTCCTGGCTAGGGGCAAGGCAACTGGGGATATTTCCAAGATTGGTGCTTTGGCTTATTATATCCAGTCAATCGACTCACTTTGCCAGATTTCAAAAAGCTTCCTACAGCCTGCCGTGGACTTCTCCAATAGACAGGAAGTATCTCTTTGGCTGACCAAGTTCAAAGAACTTGATCTCCGCTTAGTACAGTAAGTACTGTTCCTTGAGCTGCGCTTGTTACTGACAAAGCCAGCTGGAAGATGTATCTGCCTCAGCAATGGAAAGATTCTGGCGTTTCGCGCAAGATAATGCCTGGCGTAATGGACCCCAGCATGACACTAGCCAATGCGACGCACAACACTTCCGTAATCCTCCTCCACGAGCGTATTGCATACCCGGACTCTGAGCTTCTCAGCCTGAACCTCCCCAGTCATTTTAGTGCCGAGAACTGTCTCAACGCCGCCATAGAGACGGCAAATATCACAACCAAATATCTCGGAGGCTATCCATCAGCTCGCGCTGTGCCGCCGCAAATGGGGATATGCGCCTTCGTCAGTGCCAGAACTCTGCTGGGTAAGATATCAGAATACTCGTATGACCAGCTCTGACACGGTCTTGCAGTTCACTCTCAATACTACAGTACCCCTTTAGCCAAAGAATTCAAAAAGCTCATGGATAATTTGACGGGCATGTCCGATCGATGGACTGGTCTTGAACAGGCAGAAAAAACGGATAAGTCTCCCAACTTCTTTGACCAGCTATTCAACAGGCTGCAAGATCAATACAAGGAGTTACAGGGAGCGACTACAGGCCAGACTATACCGCGATCAATCACGGCCTTTGGAGTTGAAGGCCCTATATTCAATTCAAATCACGCCCAAGTCAGTCCAGATTTGCCCCAGACTGTTAACAACTTGACGCGCGGAATGAATCCGGTGCAATTGAGCAACCACGAATGGCAAGTCGACTCGCAGTCACCACATGCAATCTCAAAGGATGACCTGTTCACAATATCTCAAACTCTCCTAAACAACGACTTTCTTGAGTTGGATCGCATTGTTAGCTTCGAGGATATGATGGCCGTTGGGAACATGCCACAGTATTATGGCACCAACAGCTACAGCTAGAAGATCAAGATACCACGTTGAGATTAAGCTACTTGCTGACTATGGATTATCCCCGACTTATCAAATGCCATGAAACCAGTACCCTCTCTGCACCCAACATATTCAGCCAAGATATCTGAACCCCTCAAAATAGAGGTTTCCTCCCATAAGTTGATTTGGCCTTTGCCATCACCCATCTCTCCACCAGGTCCATAGACCTCCATCCACCGCTTTCGAAGCTTGACGTGGCCTCTGTGAATTCTGCCAACTCTCTCAAACTTGCTCATGTCCTGCCAGTAAAACATCTCGATCTTTCTGTTATGGTTCAAGTTGACCGGAGTGCCAGTTTTGAATGTTCCAAAATCCGAGACATGGCCCATTCGTACGTCGAAGAGTCCATTTGCAGTAGTATCCTTTGCTAGGTAGCCCATCCAGCCACTGACTAGCTCGTCGAACTCCTCGAACCACAAGGTCTTCTCTTCAGCTGACATTCCCGAGTGGTCTTGGCCCTCGACTAGAAAGCAGATGTTTTCTGGTAGGTCGGTGATCATCAACCTTCCTGGACGAATATTTGTTGTTTCTGGAACTCGCGGAGGCATCTCCTCCAACGAAGAGGCTAATTTGTCACCCAGACTCACATCGGGTATACGATGACGAACACAGCCCCAATATCCAATCTTGTCGCCGAATGGTTCCATTTCCCCGACACCATTCATCCCATTCTTCAACTCAGCAGTGCACGCGTTTTGCACTCGATTGGCAGTAGCTGTAAGGATCTCCCTCCACATGCCTGCGTCTTCTGGGAGCTCATCCCAAAATTGTTTCACGGCAGGCGATGACCACCACTTTGCATGAGCCTCTGGCCACCAATATGAGAGCCAGATCTGGGTACTCATTCCATCAGTGCCTGGTACAGCGATGCGGTCAAGGTGCGCTTGTCCAGTAATGAGCTTGTCGAACTTCTCAATGAGATCCAGCTGCTGACTGTTTGGGCTTTGGCCCTGGTATTGGATGCCATATATCCCGTAGATGAACTTGTCTCCGGGCTGGAATTTGGCGCGGTAAAACATGTTGACGAGATTGACTATGAATAAACTTCGTGAAATTTACTCAGAAAGCAAGATGTCGTGCTGCCCAGGATAAGAAAATGACGCTTAGCAGAACAGCGATAGGACATCTGTTTATCTTTATAGCGAGGAAATGGGGTAAATGGGTATGCAAGGCCACTTCATACCCAGCTCTAGCTTATATAACATTTCTTCAACTATGACTTACTACCCATAAAGCTATCTGGCACAACACCCCTAGGTGACCCGGGTATTGACTATCCGGCTATGACAAAGATCTCATTCCGAGATTGACGATTCCTATCGAGATTTAGTCCTCTTAACTAGCTATTAGTGCAGGTCTCATTCCGAAAAAACAGATCAACTACAGAACCGAGATACTAAACTGGGGTTTGGTCCTTCAAAAATGGCACGTGAGGACGGCACTTAAGATAACAATTCCCTATTGTTGACCCCAGATGATTGTGGAGTACAGCGTCGACTCGACTTAGACGAGTCAGGGTGGCAAAGCTTGTTGTGAAGCTAAACTGGCTTTGGATTTATTGATTACTTGACCACGATTCTGATTGGAGGAGAACTGCCGGAATGAGATAAGAATTTCCGTGATTGTGGTTGATTCCGAGATCTGCATGAGATTAGTTGATAGAGTATGGGGTAAACGTGAGTTGATTCCGACATCTGTCGCAGGTGACAGATCCCGGGGCAATAGCTTATCTTGGGTGGGACAAGAGAGGGGGTAATTCTTGCACATAAATACATCTATCAACAGCTCAAACTCATTTGTTGTAATAGTAAGAACAAAACTCTCATTTTCTCATCAATCTTTCACAATGCCTTCCAAATGCAAAGTCGCTGCTATCCAGGCCGAACCATGCTGGAATGACCTGAAAGGGAGCATCGCCAAAACGATCGGGCTCATCCAAGAGGCTGCTGGTAAAGGCGCCAACGTGATTGGCTTTCCCGAGATTTTTATCCCTGGCTACCCATGGTAAGTCCAGATCCCTTTGTGCGAAGATGGTCAACTAATGAGGTAATTTTAGGACAATCTGGGCTAACTCGCCAGTCAGCAACGCTGCCTTTATGAGCGAGTATTTTGCCAATTCCCTTGAGAAGGAGTCCGAGGAAATGGAACAGATCAAAACAGCGGTTCGTGAAGCTGGAGTTTTCATTGTACTTGGATACAGTGAAAGGTATCAAGGCACCCTCTACATTTCCCAGGTAGGTCATCTGCTGCTGTCCTTACTCATGACCAAAGACTTACTTCTTTATAGTCCTTTATTGATGAGACCGGTACCATTGTGCTTCACCGACGAAAGATCAAGCCAACTCATGTTGAGAGAGCGTACTGGGGTGACGGGCAAGCTGATTCCGTCAAGGCTGTTGCCCCCTCCTCATTCGGTAACATCGGTGGTTTGAATTGCTGGGAGCACACCCAGCCTCTGCTACGTTACTACCAGTACTCGCAAAACCTAGACATCCAAGTATCCAGCTGGCCTCTCTGCTGGGATGCATTGGAGGGCCAACCATGGCCGTATCACCTGACGCCACCAGCTTGCAACAGGTTCTCACAGGTCATGGCGATGGAAGGCGCATGCTTTGTCTTGGTCTGCTCACAAGTTCTGACAGAGGACAGCAAAGCAAAGACAGGGTTGGAAAAGTTTGATTATGCTAGAGCTCCAGGGGGCGGCTTCAGTATGATCTACGGGCCTGATGGCTCGGAGCTGTGCAAGCCTTTGGGGCCAGGGGAAGAGGGCATTCTCTATGCTGACGTTGACCTTTCATTCAGGGCTATGATGCAGCAGAATCTCGATCTGATGGGACACTACGCACGGCCCGATTTGTTGAGTCTTAATGTGACGACAGAGACTGCCGTTCCGATTCGTCACAAGTGAAACGTCTCTTGTTTGCCAATGGGATTGGAGGACAAAATTTCAGATATTGTATACCACAGAGTATTAGTTATATAGTTTGGGAATCTATTACTTTGGTCTTATGAAAAAAGATGGCTAGAAGAATGTGAAGCTTTCGCAGTTACCAAGAATCTGACTCAGGTTATTGAACAATGAAGGGTCAGTGTCCACCCAGGTAGTGTCAGCAGGATCAATGTCAAATAAGCCGATTGGAATATTCGCCGTGGTTGCAAGACCGTTCAGTAATACAGGATCCCCTGTCAAGTTCGTGGCCTGCGCTACCTCGGGGAGGCCAGAGTTTTGGTCAACTCTCGTTGTCTCTGTACTAGGCCCTGCTCCGAACCCTTCCCCGATTCCAGCATATCTCTGGGATCTCAATTCATCGGTAGCTTTCCGTATGGTCTGTAGCTTATCCCTCAGTCGCCTCGTGATCAGCGACTCTCCCGCCAGTCGGTGAATCAGCTGTGTTGCAGTAACCACATCTTGGAGACAAGACTTGCTTTGGTCGGGGCTGGCATAACAGGTAACAAGAAGCAGAGACGACAAAGCGGTCTCAAGAAAATGGTTGAAAGTCTTGTGCTGAGCATGATATATGTCGGTTTCCCTAGCCAGTCTGGCCAATACTTGAATCGAGTCTCGAGCGACCTGGATCATGACTTGAAAGTTTGATGTATCGATGTTGTGAGATCCGAAACGACTAGCTGCTTTGCGGAGGATGATTGTTCTCATCTGATTAGCTCGGAGGTAAAGCATTAATCGCAGCTTATAGTCCCCGCGCTTCTCAGTTGCCATGTCGAATTTGTCGTCAATGCCTCTGAACTGCAATCGCTGTGGCAGATTTTGCTGCCACTGAAGAACCCGAAATTGCAAATAGTCCTGAGTTGAGCTAGAGTCTTGGAGCCTAGATGCCAACGTGCCGATGAAGAAACTTCGAACATCTGATGCTATCCCGCAAAAGGATATCATTTCTTTGAGATAAGCTAGTGAATGGCTGCTTTCGTTCTATGTCTTCGTTCAGGTTATGTTCTAAGCATCTGGAATTGGGGTCATACCATTGGCAATGATGGTCGGTTTATTTCCGAGTCCTGAACTGCAAATGGAAGTCCACTACCAAAACTCCATCTTCGATCCAAGGTATATAAACTCCAGAAGAAGGTATCTGAAATCCTCTCGGCTGGGGTATCTTCCTCTTGACAGCTTTGCTCGTGTACAAGTCTCACAACGGTACCAATTAATCTCCACGCTTCTTTCTCACGATCATTAAGAAAAAAGAAGATACACTGTAGAAGAACAACGGATTAGGACAAGCATAATGAATACCAAGAATCAACTTACAATCAGAGTCAACAACGTCAAGCCACCCAAGTCCGGGGATCGTAGATATATCCTGGGAATTGTTGAAACGAAAACCTCTTCAACAACAGGACCCACGATCTCTACAGCCTTGGAGCCCTCAAAACTTGATACAATCGCCAGTACGAGGAAGGCGATATTTCCAATACCTCCGCCATAGAGACTCCTAGAACGAGGTGAATCGGAATCGGACGGTGTTCGTCCATCGAGTATCTCATGTCTCAGCTGATCAATATCCAGGAATGGATACATCATGCCAACTTCCTCTTCATAGATCGCAAGGACTTGACACCAAAAACTATGGTCGAGAGCTTCTAGTGCTCTTCGCGGAGATATACTTCCCTGGACGAATAAGATTTCCAATTCTCTAGAGACGAAGCCCTCTGAAGAGAGATTTGCGCTGGAATTGTTGCTTTGATGGTCGGCTTGGAAAAGCTGACGCTCGGTAAGGCGTATAAAATCATCGAAATTGTCATACGTTAATTCTGAACCCGGAGCGTCTAGAGGCCAGCTCTGCGCCAGTGACTCTAGACTTTCCGAGCCATCATCCGGACGTTCTTTCTCTGACTGGGCATTCTCCGACTCTTGGAGAGGTATCCTCGCCCTAGTACGTGAGGTAAGCTCCAGAATTCAAGATTGCATGGCGACACCTACGATGCACAACGGGAAGACCGATAACGTGTTGCCCGTGGATAGAGGCATCTCGTGCAGGCTTTGCGACATCCGTTACATGGTTGCTCGCCGCTGCATCTGGTCTTGCGCTGTTGGCATCTCTCGCTATGTCGCACACGGTCAGCAGAGGTACATATTCGACGCGTAGGAGGTACGGACCAAGCAACGGGAGTGTAGCGAGAGCGTCGCCTTTTTTCTGTTACCATGGCGTATGGGCCAGTAAATGCAGAGTAATTATTAATAATGTAACCAAGTCATGCATGTAGGAAAAGGATAAACCCCGCAATCTCAAATTATTAGATTCTGGTAACTGGGCTGGCACTAATAATCAAGCCTAACCTCCAATTGGCTAGTGTCGCTATCCTCGCTACGAAGCTCCGGTCGTTGACCTCTATCGCAATAATCATCCAGGGGCAAATATTCTATCAGGACCAGTATGTGTCAAGCAAATATTGCACATAATAGTTCCTATAAAGCTGTGCTTTTAAAGGTAGTCTGGGTGCCGTCGTGTGAAGAGTTGGCCGCCACACGATGTTAGAATAAGAAGCCCTCCACCACCAATCCAATATCAGTTATGTAAGAGACTGCCTCTCAGCTTTCCACTTCAGGACTTGCCCTGCCACGTTTGGAACGAACGTCAAAAGGTAGGGTAGCCCTGATAGGTTTAGCGGCCTTGATAAGAATTAGCTGATCTATTTGTCTTCTCACCTCCTCTCACGGTAGAATCAAGGCTCTTGCTATGGGCCAAAGACGGCGAACGGGCCCCGTCGAGCCGTGGGTGAATGGTGCCTATGGGCAGGGATGAAATTGAGTCAATTGGCAGCCGACAGCAGCTGAAAGACGCCTCCAAGCCTAGAACAGGCCTCTGCAGAAATGGCTTCCAGCCTCTCAATAATGGCTAACCATCCCAGCCAATATCATTGATCATAGCGGAGGCCCGTGCCACAACTGGGCATCTATCTGAACCAAGCTGACCCTCCTTGCCCTCACAGGCCATTGTCTAAATCTTCTCTTTCCAAGAGGGCTGGCCTTGGCGACAGGGTGTAAATGGTGCAGTGTTCTCTCAGCCGCAGGCTAACGGAGCGCCACTGCACATCTCCAACACCAAACCCTGTCAGCTGTTTCAATCCCAAGAGAGACCAGATATTTTAGGGGACACTGCCTCCTCTGTTGTCTTACAGTCGCATCTGCCCTAATCTGCTCAAGAGCACTTTGTTTTATCCTCCCCTCATACGCTGAATGTATCTCCACATTGATCAAAAGAAGATCTTTTGACATTGACAATCTATCGATCATTTGACCGCTAGTACGCTTTTATAGCTAACATGGCTGAAATTCGGCCTACAGAGGTCGCAGTCGCACCCGCGTTTGATGCGGCTGGCCCGGCTGTGACTGCTCCTGCGACGCTTTATCAGCGCGATCTTTTCGGTCGCCAAAACAACTACGGTTCCTGTGGCTACTATTCTCTCGTGGGCAGCGGTTTGTCTTGCTCATCATCATGTTGTGCCTTCAATGATCTAACACTGTCGCATAGATTGGGCTACCTGGAAATGCGGCGAAGAGAATGCCTGGACTACGACCTGCAAAACCATCGGCTCGCACTTTGGTTGCTTCGAGAATATCTTCACGACATGCTATCCCCGCGCATCTAGCTGTGATAGTACAGACCCGCGTGCCCTTTGTTGGTTCGTCTGATTGATGCCCAAATGATACCAAAACGTCGGCTAATGAATGAGTGACTTCAGCACCGGGGTTGTTAATGCGGACTATCCCTATTGTGCGACAGGCATCAAGGCCCTGGAAGACGGCGACGAGCTTTCTATATACCTTTGTGGAAAATCCGAACAACAGGTTCCCTTCTACGACTCAACAGTTATTAAGGTAACAACGGGTAGTACAACTGAAGAACAAACTATTACCAGTATTGATACCACCAAGGGCGTCACCATTGTCACCAAGACAGCTGAGCCCTCACCTGAGCCGGGTAACCATACCCCAATCGGAGCCATCGTTGGAGGCGTCATCGGCGGTGTCGCGCTCATCGCCATCTTGGGCCTGGCCTTTTGGTTCCTTCGAAGCAAGAAGCCGCAGAACAACGAGGTTGCTACGGCGCCTGCGCCTGCACCTGGAGTCCCCCCTCAACAATACCAGCAGCAGATGACCTACCAACAAGATGTGCCTCCTCCCGTCATCTACGACTACAACAACAACAACTACGCCGGCTATCCCGCTCAGGGCTCCCCGCCTCCTCCCAGTGATCCAAGATACAGCCAAATGTTCGTGGACGTCACAGGTTCTCCACATCAGAGTCCTCCCATCGAGCCATACAAGACGGTTGTATCACCTGTTTCCGAACTTCCTATCGCTTCTTCACCTCATGACAGCACTCCCATGTCTGAGTTACCCGCTGAGATGGGAAATTCAAGGGACCCAATGCCAAGGTAGAACAAGCACAGGGGAAATATGAGAAGTAGAGAACTAGTGGAAATAGGGAGATGGGTATGTAAGGTTGGATCATATTATTAAGCTAATGGAAGATTTGGAAATAGCTAACGTAATTAAATATTGGACTTCCTAGTTGCCGGTCTTATTGTCATTATGACTGAATGTCCGCATCTTGATATTTTTCTATTTTTTGTCTCATCTTCTGTTACTTCAGAGCACCTCCGCTTTGGGAGTTGCCCTTCTCAACTGCTTACCAAATACTCGCGACCTTTCATTGGCTAATCTAGGTACCCATGCCACGAGGCATTAGGTTGTGAATCGTGAACCAACTGGCATCTCCAACGCCAGGTGCTGCCATGCTCATGTTCAGGAACAAATAGAAGATATAACAGTTAGAAATTCATGTTCTACTGATAACAGACACTATTTACTATAATCTACTTGCCGAAGTACTTGAGTTCCAAGTATCGAGCAATTGGGTACACGATCGCGGTGACCACAAAGGTCAACTCATTTGCAACATCGCCTCCATATGTTCCAATCAACTTGCCCAGTGGCCCAGTGAACCAGGTCTCAACCATTCCCATGCACCACGCAACAACACCCAAAAGAAAAGCAACAGATGCAGCGATGCCGTGTGGCAGCCTCTCCCGAGTATTCCAGCCCTCAAGGTCGTAGTTTGCAAAGTCACGCTTGCGGAAGATGGTGTGTTCCTCAAAAAGGATGACGAAGTAGCTTGTGCACCAGTAACCCAGGAGACTCAGAAAGTCCTGCAGATATGTGTTAAGCTTTTGACGACCAACGATAGCCAGAATTATGACAATTACGAAATTGCCGAGGGTCCAGATGAAGCGGGGAACTTTGGCACACGGGGTAGCCATCTGTTGGAACGAAATGGCTGATGAGTAGAGGGACATGATGTTGGTGTTGATGCCGCTGAAGGACAGCAGAACTAGAAGCAGCTTGGCGAAGCCTCGAGGATGCAGCATGTCTCTGATGAGGAAGCCTAGGCCCTGGTGAGGATCCTCGTAGGCGGTCTTCCAAGCTTCGACGTTGTTGAGTGAGCTGGCAACCGTAGCTCCTGCAGTCATGCCGATCGCTGTAGGGATACCAATACCGGCAGTAGTCAACAGCCAAACTTTTAGCCGCGATGTATTGGCTGGGTAGTGCGCATAGTAATCCGAAGCCATAGTCGCCCATGATGCGGAGCTGCCGTAAACAATGCCAATCAGCGAAAGCACATTGCCCGAGAGATCTAGGCCTGAACTAGAGGCAGGGGTCTTGTTGTCGGAGTACGGTCCCACCATGCCGAAGATGATCATAAATACGATGAAGTAGATACACCAGGCATACCGCTCGTAGATCAAGATGTATTTGAGACCCAGAAAGCTGATGGCGAGCGAAACGATGGCGATGATGATAACGCCGACAACAAGAGATATATGCCCGTCAGCAACAGCAGTAAGAGCCAGGCCACCGCTGATGGTGGCAACAGAGGCCCAACCCAGCTGTTCAATACCATTCAGGAAAGCAATGATCTTGTTGGGATACCATCCGAAGCTGTATCGAGAGACGGAAACCTGACGCAGACCGGTTGCTGCACCAAAAGTAGCGCAGTATGAAGACACCGAGCCACCAAGAATAGATGCAAAGATGTAAATGAGCAGACTCTGCTTCAAGCTCAGGCCAAACTCCCAACCCAGGAACCCAGTGGCGAAACAGCTGATACCCATTGTTCCCGAGGCCCAAATCAGGGCCATGTTAAGCTCCTCGTGCCATGGCACGGGTCGTTTGTCCTCTTCTGTTTTGCGTACGATAGCCTCTGACTCTACGCCGAGAGCCTTGTCCATGCGAGCCTCGAAGCGGCGGAGGTTTGCTAAGACGCCGTGTTCGTAGTCGGCTGACGAAGTGTAGGCTTCGGCGGCCGGAATGTCGCCGCTCCCTGACTCGAGGGACAGTTCGTGGTCCCCGCCCTTGAGCTTCTCATTGTAGGAAGCCATGCCGATCTGAGCCCTTGGCGTTGTAGGAGCCTGGATAGTTGGGATGGGCTACAGCTAGAGACGTACGTGGGTGAGAGGTGAAAAGGACACAGGCCACGCAGTAAAAAGGGACGTCGAGAGAGGCAAAATGAGCAGGCTCTCATACTCTATTTCTAGATCCTGCAAACCCCACATTGGTCCGCAGAATTGAGGGTTCGACCGATAGCAGTTGCCGCTTCTCCCGTGCCCACCTAGTTATCGCACTCATTCGTGGGGTACGATACCACTGGCCTTCCCAATTTACTGTCACATCGGGCCTGTAATTGGTCGTCGTCAGACCCTCTCAACGGCGATAAGCGACACTTATCAGTCCTGTGCCAGGATGTCGTGTGCGATGGCGCGTGTAACCCACGAGCAGTGTGTCCGAGATGTCGTACACGCTAGAAGCTCAGGAACGTCGGCATTGGCTGCAGCCACTTAGATGCCTGTCAGATCCGTTGCCCGATGGGGCTACTTATCAATGACCCGCTGAGAATCCGGCTACCACGGCATCGGAATAGGTGCCGTGGAGAATTAGACAAGGGACTTTTTATCCTGCTTCCTGATGCGGGATGGTTTTTACTCCACCTGGGAGCTGGAATAAATTTCTGTATTGTTTTGTCTATGGCCACTTGGGCCAGCAATTTGAGTTATTCAGAACTAAGGTCAGATAGCGGAGATGGCCGCCAAGGTCTAGAATCAATACTGCATCACCCCCAGAATCTTATATCAACTGACTGAAAGCCTATCAGATCAATGTACAAAACTCAGCCAAGTCGGAGGGTTCAATAAAATGTCTAGTTAAGCCACTGGCGTTACTTCCTTGTGCTTACACAGCATCTGCAGGCCCCCTCGCTTGCATGACACTGTTAATCCTTTAATTCCAGGGCATCGGCGAGTTAGAACTTAATAAGTTGATATAATAAGCATATAGATCTGTGAGCCTTGATTCCCTCGAAAGTTCAAGAAAATCATACCACCAATACTTTTTGCTTTTTGAAATGCAAGGCTCACCGCACTCACGTTATTTCCAATTCCTTACAGGTACATCAATTGTCTAAATACCCTTAGAACCGCAAGCGCAGAACTAGGTAAAGCTAAGGCTCTAGATATTTGCGCCTATATATATTAAATCTTTAGTCTGTTAAGTCAGACTCCTGTATTGGTTTCCCCAAAATACATACGACGGTGATGTAGGGTAAGCTACTTAACTCGACTTCGCTAGGGTCGGCCTACCTTAGCCTAGAATTTCTCGACCCCTGTCTTCTGTCTCATTGGGTAACAAAGTCGTGTGACTTTCTTGGCCACGGTCATGAACAATAGCTTCCAGCTTTGGTCACTTGATCACAATGTCTCCTCCATCATCTTGTATTTAATCCTGCTTCATGATTCACGGCTTCACTCCCTTTTTGATACCCATCCCCGGTCTACATACAGTTCTATCAACATTCCCATAGTTTGGTTACATCAATTAACCTCAGGCTAATCCACCTTTCAATCCCGACGTCATCGATACCCCGCGTTTTGCGATGGCGTCCTTCCGTCTCCTCGCCACCGTAACGCTCCTCGTCGTCATCGCTTCAGCTCAGCAATGCAACTTCAAGGCCCTCAAAACATCCTATCCAGCACCTGCTACCGACGACAACTGGAACTATAGTATCATCGCCAATGAGCTCAGAAGACCTCGAGGTATTTTATTCGATAGCGAGGGTGCTCTTATTGTTATAGACTCTGGAAATGGTATAATCCATTTCGAACTCGATGATGAAGGAGGAACCTGCTTGCAACTCAAGAAGAAGACCACTCTACTAAAGAAGAATAATGTGAGCTACTCATGCCCCGAAGTTCTCATCGTTTGACCATCAACTAAACTTTTGTACTAGCTAAACCATGGCATCGCCCTCTCTAAAGATGGCCGTACAATTTATGCTTCATCATCCGATGAGGTCTTTGCATGGTCCTATGACCCGTCCAAAGTCACCCTCAGCAGCTCTTCCGCCAAGACTCTGGTCTCCAATATGACCAACGGAGGCCACACCTCACGAACCCTACTCATCTCGCAGAAACATCCAGACATGTTGCTCGTGTCCCGCGGCAGCGATGGAAACGATGACGCAGGTGCTGAAGATCGTGACTCAGGCCGCTCTCAGATTCGCGCCTTCAACATCTCATCCTTCAGCAGCAATTCCGATAAGAAGCCTTACGATTACCTAGACGGCGAGATCATTGGCTGGGGCCTGCGCAACTCCGTCGGCGTGGCAGAGCATCCAGAGACAGGCGGAATTTTCAGCGTCGAGAATTCAGCCGACGAACTACATCGTGACGGCAAGGACATCCACAAGGACAACCCAGGCGAGGAGATGAACTTCCACGGCTATCTCAATGGCTCTGATGATCAGGGTGGCAACTACGGCTACCCTCTTTGCTATACCCTCTGGTCTACAGATGGCTTCCCTAATCTCGGCGACCTCAAGATAGGCGATCAATTTCCAGCTGATCGTCAAGCGGACGGTGATGATGCTAAAGCCCTTACTGACGAGGAATGCAAATCCGACTATGTTGCTCCAGTACTAGCATTCCAAGCGCATACCGCGCCTCTAGATCTGAAGTTCGACGAGAATGGCACAAGGGCCTATGTATCTTTCCACGGAAGCTGTAAGATATCTCTCTCTACCTTGGAACCTAGTCCACTTCTGACATCCTTAGGGAACCGTAATCCGCCAGTTGGCTACCAAGTCTCGTACGTAGATTTCCAAGACGGCCAACCTGCATCTTCTTCACGAAGTACAAACTCCACTACACCCATAATTTACAATAAAGATCTCTCAAAGTGTCCGGATGACTGCTTTCGCCCCGTGGGCCTGGCGTGGGATTCTAAGGGGAGACTGTGGTTCAGTTCGGACAAGACGGGCGAGATCTTTGTGTTGAGTCACAAGAGCGGATCAGGTTCAAGTGGAGGGAATGGATCGGAATCTGGTGCTGGCGATGACGGTGATGATAATGATTCCGCCTCTCTACAGCCTGGATCGGCTGCTTTCATCATAACGATTGCCGCCTTGATTGTAGGAGGCTTACTTGCATAATCTTCTAAGCGAAGGGGCTTTATGAAATTGAAAATTGATAGTGGCTGAAATCTATAAAAACATGTGTACACAATAATGTTACATCTTCTAGTCTATGTTGTATATCGGACGAAAAATGCTGTTAGTCTCGAACTAGGTCCCCTCATTCGAACTCAATGATAATCTCAGGAGCGCCCTCAAACTCAGCCGGCATCGTGTGGACAAAAGTCCAATGATTGTGATCATAAATTGGGCTTCCTGAACCACCATATCGGCCAGCAAATGTGATCTGCGGCTCGGGATTTGCATTTCCAGACACAGATATCGAGATGCCTTGAATGTCAGCCCATGACTGGACATCTCTCTTCGCAAGTGAGGGAGACGCCACAAAAGTGAACACTGAACTACTGGTCCCTTCAGGATAAGTCACTTTCAGCTTCTTTGGCGAGACTTCCATCAGGACGTGGGCCTCGGTCGGACGGAGCTGGGCGTTGCATTAGTAAAAGCAGGAGTGAATATTGAAGCCGTGTTAACTTACGCTGAGCCATCCGATGTTACCATCTCCATAGGACCAATGTGCAACAGCTGGATGGAACTGGGCTTTGTTGTTTGACGGTCCGTTTGCACTTTTCGTGTGATACGACTGAGCTCCGATCATGAGCGACTCGCTAAGCCATGTCGTGATATTGCGGGTATCAAGATCGTATGGCGGATAGTAAGCCTTCCCTTCATATGTCCTCTCTCCGTCAAATGTCTTCAGTGACTCCTTGAGATCATCCGAAAGCAACGAGTTGTGGAATTCCGAGTGGACGGCAATAAGTGGTGCCCAAGCCCAGTCACGGGCATGGCTCATGACCTCCGGGTACTGCCATAGACCAGACTCCTTTCTCCCGATAATGGGTGCGAGGAAATGGGATAGAATGCCGAGAGACTTGGTCATGTCGAAGGTATATGCGCGGTCCCATGGACCAGCGAGATTCCGCATCGCCGGATTCCACAGTTGTGATGTGTAATTCCAGACACCACGCAGGAGATCTGGGCCTCTCTCGGAGAGAATACTATCCTCATCGCCATACTTGCACCAAAGCGTAAGGCCAAAGAGTGAAATGCCGGTATAAGTCGCCGAGTTGAATTCAGAAAGCGTATCATGTAAGTCAAAGAGGTTAATAATCTCCTTCGCATAATCCTCTCCAGCCTGTGTCATATTGTCATCGCCAACATGGCGACCAGTCCAGCTTGTTCCGATCGCACGCATGATTGCAGGGTTGCTGTACGATGGATAGAGATTATCCCCATTGACACCACCCACGCGGTACGAGTCGCCAATACTGCAGTTATATAGACTGTCCAGCATAAGGCCCTTCAAATCGTCAGATAACAGATCACCGAACTCTTCGTATATCGTGATGAAGCTGAGACCCACGAAACCACGCCAGTTGGGGTCCCACGATCCGTAAATTTTGGCAGGGTACCATGCTGTTCCAACCGTTGGCTCCTCAGGTTCTCGTGTATAGTCGCCATACCACAAATCCTTGGGATTGTCGTGCTGGTCCTTGATAACGTATCTTATGACATCCTCAGCCCTTGATGCATCACCATCGGCGTTCCGTGCAAGAAGTCCGACCGCATACCACGTAGAGGCCAGTGTTTCGTGGTTCATTGCGGCGTTGGAGTTGAGGTCGTACAGCTGTGAGATCTTGGGGTCGTAGAACCTATCCATCCACTCCATAGAGTCTTCAACCATTGCTTTCGCCTCTCCTGATAGTGCCCATGATTGTGCAACATACTGCGTAATAACGCCGAGGAGATAAGAATGCAACCCTACAGAGAGTTTCATATTGGCTTCAAAGCTTGGAAAGGATCAAAATGTTTCCTTTAGCTGGCCTGTTCAAGAAGGTGATGAATGGTAATAGCTGTCAGCTACCGTGATAGAGAAAATGTTATTTGAACAGTCACAAAAGGATGGAGCAGACATTGCATATTTGTATCAAGTCCTCTGGCCAATTGAAAATTGAATCAAGCGCGTATCTTGCGGTTCTATGTCTTCGTCTCCTATCCGAATTCTGTCTGAAAAGCAAAGCAAGCTGCTATTAATTTCACGTGAGCCAATAAGGGGTTGTCACTCGACGCTGTAGTATGAGTTCATGCAGGTAAAACAGTAGTCAGGAGATTTCGACTTGGCCTACATAGCTCCGTGACCAGTGCATTCTGTATCGATCCCTTAGGAAATGAGCTTCCACTTAACGCGAAACCTGTTGGTTAACGGGGGATAATAATTAGCAGAGATATAGCACTGGGGATAGCTGGTGCTTTGAAACCGGCTTTGTTTCCGATGTCCAATAGAATCCATGATAAGATGTGATAGGCCAGTGCAACAGACAGATCCTCATTGATAGAAACCCTGGAGCTTGTGATGCCGGGTCCTGGCTGATTTCCCTAAGCACGTGGCGAATAGCAGCAGGGACTTTTCTCCTTCACGGGGAAGTTTTGTCGCGAAAAATAGAGTCATTTAGTATTTGTTTCATGACACCTAGTTTGGATACTCATGCGGCGCGTAACTGGTCCTTTTGTTCGGGCCGCATGAAATTCGGAAATAAATCGTCTCGATCAATGCATGGCTTAATCACGAAGCGCCTACCCCTGATTAGATGCGGGGACTTGTCGATCGAGATTCGAGCGCAACGTTGCATTTTGATCACACCGTAGAGATGATCTGCAGAGGAGAATGTGACTCGAAGTGCACATGCGCATTCAATTTTTGAGAATTTCGCTGTAACCATAACTATAACATGCATTGTCTGGAGCGAAAGCTTGTCGCGCAGGCATGTCGAAGTAGCTGCAACGATCTCTTTGGTGTTGAGGTGATTGGAAAGGGAAAGGTAGCCGCGGAGAGACTGCGTATCGTCCGGCTCTTTGGAAATGTCGGAAAGGATAAAAAGTGATGCTTTGGTCATCGGCGAGGTCGCCTCTGGTGGTCATTTCTTTATTGTCGTCTGAATGATGCTGTTGTGTGCTTCCGTGAAGTCATGCCATAGATACAGAATATGTCAATTTTGTCACAAGACATAACCGTGCCGTAGCCAGAAGAACATGAGTCGAATATGTCAATAGAACAAAATATTAACAGTGTCTTTATTTTTCGATCTAAGCTAGTATCAACTCTGTGAGTTTAACTACTAGGTCGTCGCTATCCTCGTGGTAGCGACACGGGCCGATCCAAAAGTTGGAGTGGCTCCACATCCCGACAGACAATAAAGGCCAGGTTTCAGCCAAAGAAAGAAGCTTAGTGTAATGAATTTGTATTGATTCAGCAATCAAAGCAATTAATAGTAGGCAGACGGCTCATAGTTTTATGTATAACACTACGAAGTTGATATAATTGACAGGGAAAATATGACATATGTGCATAAACTGGAGTCTCCCCAAATTTAAGGCGATGGAGGATGAAACGTAGAAATGAATTGCTTCTGGAAATCCCCAAACTTCAGCTTGTAGTGCACTGTGCCAACCACGTCCTGCTCAGTGATGTTGGCTATAGCACTTGTGATAACTTTCTTCCCAGCATCAGGGAACGTAGTTCGGCGCACTTCAACCGTAGTGCCATAATCATTGAACCACTGACGCGCCTCATAAGCTTCATCCTTACATGAGACAAACATCCCGGGCTCAGTGCATGGCTCGCCGCACAGCTCCCCGTTCTGCACGCCCTTGCAAATCGTCGAAAAGTCGCCTGGGTCGGGGACGGCGTTGTGTCCTTCGACGGTGAACTTCCAATGGATCATCTGGTCCTTGCCGCGAGTTCCGGTGTAGTCATTGCTGTGCCAGTCGTTCTTTAGATCTTCTGGGTTGGTGACGACGTAGGGTGATGCCCATGCATGGCAAGCGACTACGGTAAGGAGGACAACTTTGGCAAGCATGATTGGTGAAAGGCTGGTGGATTATTAGTATGAGCTTCTTCTTACTTATGTTGCCAAATTGGAAAGTTAACTCACATCCGGGATATTGTGGAAAGAGGAAGCACTGGCTGCTGCAAGTAGGTCATAAGTAGAGCATATGTCTCTAGAGATTTTAAGAATCAGCAACTACGAAACTGAATGCGGGATTACTTTCTATTTTGTACTTCCTGGAGGAAGGTTTATACCCCTGTGGTACGAGAAGTTGGTTCCATACAGCCTTGCGCATTGTATGCGTGTAATTTTATTTTCCTTGTCTATTAAAAGCTTAATCCATCGGCAGTTTGCTATAATGTGCCGTAGATCCGATTACTGGTGTATCAATAGCCTAAACTCAATTCTGTCAATTCGTTACTGCATATTGTACGGGCATGCAGAGTAATTGTGTCCTGAAACATGTCGCAAATATTTGACATGCCACCATAGGTCCTTCAGCAGCAGAACTCGGTGTATCCGCGGCTGTAATCGAGATGACTTGTCTTGACTTAGCGGACACATAACATACTTAGAATACGGACAAGCGAGACCCTCCAGGCTCAAATCCCCGTCTAAAAATTACCAAGCATAACTATCTTTAATTTATTATCTAAATCGCTCCAATTTCATCTTCTCTTTACAAAATGTCTCAGTAGTGGAGTAAGTTACAATATCCGAGAATCGGTGGACTTTTTTCACCTTTTCGGCCCTTAGAATTAGATTATTACTAACATAGCTAAAGATGCAGACGCCACTTACGGATGTCGCATTGTGAATCCAATCACGAACCAGGATGTGTTGGTACTGTATGGGATTTTCGAATGGCGTTGCTTATCTCCGCACATGCCGAAAGCTGCTGTTGTGATATCATACTTCAGGTGCTTAGCGCTGTTCTCCACCCCGATCACTGAGGCTGATACCGACGAGAGTCGGCCGAAAACGTCTTTCAGAAAAGTATAAAAAAGACACAAATGACTGCTTCAAGTGATCCTGGAACTCGAAAATCATCTCAGCTATACAGTGTAGCGAACTCTAAGTAAACAATTTTATATCCTAATTCTTCCAAAGATGTCGTCAACCGAAGCTATCAACAAATTCGTCGAGAGTTACGCCCAGCTCTTCAAAAATGGGCAGCGCTCCCCTATTCTCCGACGCCCGGACCAGTACGGCATGAAATACGAAGACATCTTCTTTCCGTCTCTCGACGGAACCATTCTGCAAGGATGGTTCATCCCCGCAGAAAATTCACAAAAGCTCATTATCGCAAACCACCCAATGACTTGCAACCGATACGGGTATCCTGGACATCTGGAGGGATATGGTGGTTTCGGCGGTTTCGAGGTCAACTTTCTCCCTGACTACAAGAGCCTACACGATGCCGGTTACAACATCATTTGCTACGACCTTCGCAACCATGGCATCAGTGATACTGGTTCCGGCGGCATGTGCGGCGCTCTGGGATATTATGAAGCCCGTGATGTTGTTGGGTCTCTAAAATATGCCCAGTCTCGTCCTGAAACCAAGAACAACAGCATTGGTCTTCTCAGCCGCTGCATGGGCGGAAACGCCACCATCCACGCGATGACACACTTCCCAGAGTACTTCAAGACCATCAAGGCCATGATTCTTCTGCAAGCCGTCTCTGGGCATGCCTTTGTCGAGAAGGGAGCTATTAACTCCGGCCTTGATAAGGAGGCCACTGTCGCCGCCTTTGATAAGCGCATCTATGAACTTACTGGCTTCAAGCTGACGGAACTGACTCCGCTGCCTCTGGCAAAGAATGTTACAGTTCCGACCCTTTTCGCTCAGGTTCGCAAGGATTTCCTGATTGATACGTCTGACAGCCAACAAATCTTTGATGCTCTCGGAAGTAAGGAAAAGAAAATGGTCTGGATTGAGGATACCGACAGGCGCTTTGATGGTTATAATTACTTTGCCAAGGAGCCAGCGGAGATGCTTAACTGGTTTGAGCAGTATGTCTAGGTGGTTCTTTTATCTTTACTAGGGTTAAATTATAAATGTCAAATACCTTGTTGCAATGATTGATGGATTCTTTCATCATACAACAGGCTCTGCTATAGTGTCATACCTACTCATATTGCAAAAGCCTTCTGACTATTTTCAGTTTATGGTCCCAAATACCTTTTGGCCTGAATTTATCCTGCAGTATCTCGTTCACGTCAGGTCCAATTTGCCATGCAAATGATATTGCTATACGCATTGTAACCACTGACTAAACATGAATTTCCTACCAAATATTATCAGTTTGAGTGCTCTATAATGCCCAAGTCCAAATCTTGCCATCTCCACAATTCGGCTAGGTTTCCAAGTTCCTCCTCAGATATAGATGCAAACAATGGTTGCTCTAAGCCCCCATCATCAAGGCTCGATAAAGATGGGAAACCCTTATCCATACTGGACTGGGCCATAAGTGATTGACCAACCATAGATATTTCATGAGCTGGTACCGTGCTATGAGAAGGGTGGTGGCGTTGAGGGCCAAGATTTGGTTGACCGAGTAGATTATATTCAAGGCCGGCGTTTGATAGTCGGTTGACTGAAGCTGTGTACTCTTCATTATGAGAGTCAACAGAAGGGCTGTTGCTCTGGCAGTTGGAGATGGTGCTTGGTGCAGCATATGCATCCAGCAGAGGCGATGCCGATTTCGAACCTGAGGTTTTCAGACACTTGCGTGGAGGTTCATTGACTTGTGGAATCCTGGGAACCTTGCCCCGAGCCTTGATGCGTAGTCGACGAAGGATTTTATGGTAAAGTTGAAAGTTTGGAGCAATCGTCCTCAAATGCCTGATCATGTCTAGAGCCATGTCAAATGAGTCGAGTATCTCTTGACGCCTGGGGGCTGAGCCATCTTTGTCGTGGACCAGAATGCTCGAGTATAAGGCAGCCGTGTCGAAAATGGAAAATATGACGAAGTGGAACTTAGCATCACGAGGCCAAACGTGGTTGAAGAACCCACGTAGAGTAGTCATCAACTTCAAAGCGTAGTCGATGCCGTCTGATCTTAATTGGACCTCAGCTTCGGAAGCGGTCTTGGTATCGATGGATGTGGCTAAACGAACACGAAATGGATCCAGAATCATAGAATATCCCATCGTGTGAATATAGTGGCGGTGGAGCGGAATCCATGGGCAAAGAACGTCCTGGCTATAATCCGGATTATTGAGGTCAAATGTCGGTGGAAACTTCTCCATCCAGTCTTCCAACATTTTCTGATACTCTTGAATGTCGGCAGACTCAACGACATTTCTGGTAGACCCAAACCGATTGAAAAGCTTTCTAATAAGCTCGGACTGTATTTTCAGGTGTAACAGCGGTGATGGAGTGGTGCCTTCAAGGGTCAGCTCGGGCAGCCCGACCTTGCAACAGGTTCGATCTATCATCAGAGGCCTCGAAAGCAGTGCAGACATTTGCCTATCATTTATCAGATATGTTGACTATTTTGCCAGCAGAGTACCTACCAATCCCATGTATCAAGCACACACCAAGCTCGTCGGTACATTTCGCGTTCAAAGTCAGATATGTCGAGCTTAGAAGCTTCTTGATGCATACCTGCGAAGATACATTAGCGCTGCCGATAGGCTACGTAAATTCGAACCATACCAATTTCCTGAGCTTCCCGAATAGCGGCGGATAAGCTATACCAACACTCCGTGAACCGGGCTTCCGACTTGTACCAGTAACACGAGTGTAGCAAGTATTGCACACCATGTAAGTGACCTTTTCTAGGTGGAATGATGCTGTAAAGATCATTTGAAGCACAGTGGTACCGTTCTGTGAGTGTCTGGGTCTTTTCACCGAGTTCATGCTCAACCTTTCCTTGTAGCTCGATACTAAGATATTGAGCAGAGCATGCACAAATGACAGTCAGAAGACACGTCCATTGTAACTTAAGAGGGTTTCCCAAGATCCGATCGGCCCACCAGTCCCGATAATCATCCAGAAAGGTCGAGGGGTAGATGATGTAATAGTGAAAGTTGACGTTGTCGAAAAAGTTTTGAACAAGGGTGTCTAAACGTGGAATTTAAAATCCGTCAGGCAATATTCAGACAGTTGCTAGAAACTTACCCATAAATGATCGTGTAGGAAGTACATCCAGAACGTGTTGAAGTTGTGGGCATGACTTAGGATCCATGCGAGGTTGACTCGGCGGTGTCTTCTCTTTCTAATCTATTATTAGTCGCTGTCCTTTTCCCTTTGCTGTTATGTCTAACGTTGGGGTGGTCTGGCATACCTTCGCTTGAATACAAATCATAGAGACGAAAGATTCTGAGTCGTACCCTAAAACCTGAAGCACTTGTGCCTCATCCATTTCATCACCAGACTCGTCTTCAATCGTCTCCTCGTGAAATCCAGTGTCCATTGGGCGCTTCTTTTGACGTGGACTCTGACGTTCGACGGACCTGAAATGGCATTTGCTTGCTACATTCCGTTTTTGACAGTTATTGCAGGGCCAATTGCGATCGCACTGGTGTTGAATTAGCTGCGCAGCCAATCGACAGAGGCTGGACTGTCAGATACTTGCCTTTTGCTTACGCCGCGCACACTCTGTACAGGCGGTGCGGCCGGAGTTGGGTTTTCCTGTAGCTTCATTTTCGTCTACACTTAAAGTCATGTCCAATGATGGCGCGATGATTGGTTGTGACTGAGATTGCGAAATGGATAGAGTGGAGGAGACAGCGGGGTGAGATTGAGATAATGGTCGAGTTGCGTTTGAGGTTTTAGCTCAGAGATGCATAATTAACGAGGCCCGGCGAATAACCGGAGCATGCCGAATTAATATTAATCCGTTATATTTATATTTGGTGGCGTAAATGATAATGGCAAATATTGCTGGCCTTCTTTCTCTAAATATAATCTATATAAATGTAATTAAATTGATTATAATAATTTATATTAGCTGCAACTTCGCCGGCGATTTAACAAGGATTTAATGGAATAGTCAAGGAGCAGTACATGGCGGGCTCCACTAGTCTTGGACAAAGCAAAACCGGTAATTCTTGACATATATATTAGCAGCTATTGAGAGGGTAACCCATTGATTACGAAAGCAGTTCTAGCGGGTGCTCGAAGAGGTAGGGACTATCAAGATTAATTGAAGCAGAGATGAATGTTTGGTCAGAAAGTTCGCTGGCAAAGTGGAGACTGAATACTCTACTGGCTCTCTTGCACCTACTACTGCATTTGCCCTTAAAGAAGGACTTTCCCAGGAAACACGATGTTCGATGGTGAAGTAAGTGACTGGCCGGTACTTCCTTGGTATGGCAAATGCTGCAGCTTGAACAAATGCGCTAGAGGCAACAGGCGTGCGGCCAACGGCGCAAGCCGAAACCGAGACGGCCTTTTGGGCCACGACCTATCCACACTATGCGGCCACTCCCGCCAAGAGGTAGCTACGTTGATCTGGAAAGTCTCAAGGATGGCTTGAAAAACCTTGAATCTCTCTAACCTAACGACATAGACATAGAGAGAAGCAAAAGGCACGAAGCAATAAGAGGCCGCAAGAGCAATATGGATAAGCAGAGAAAGGAATTTAGACTTTTGCTTTAGATACTTTGGTCGAGTTTATGAGTAAAGAATAGGCTATGGCACTCAGGTCGAGGCTATCGCAGAGATCTCGCTATCGGACGAGGTTTTCGTCCACACAATCCAGAAAGTGACTGTAGAGGCTAGTGACCCTGGAATCCTCAAACCCAACCATAAAGCTCACCAAAATACAAATCTTCAGCTCACCATTTCCTCTGAAGCTTGAAGAGCTGGTTGGGGCTGCCATGATAGTTGTACGTTAGGATTCTTCCGGTAGGGATGCCTCCCTCAAGATCCAGAACACTATCAGGGCGGCTTGCACTGCAAACTCTATTCAAGATGTCAAAATAACCCTATAGAACTTGATGATGCTATTCACACTTACGATACTGGTTCGCCGTTGTCCAGGTTATCGATATCGCTGCCTTGAAACCGCCACTGAGCACGTTCATCGCTCCAGTGAACATGTTCTGTGCGAACTGGGCTGTCCCGCCCTACAATAATTGTCAGCCTCCTGAAGCATATTAAGTAGCGATAGACCTGCCAGTGAAATACAGCCACAACCCGTCTGCCTCGCTCTTAATGACAACTGTGTGCTTATCTGGTACAGAATAAACGGACCAGATTTGGTTCCGGTGATTTCCGTCGTCTTGCATCATACTAGGAGTAAAGCCTTGTCAGCGCCAGGCTAGATGAATCATTGAAATCCCGAATGGTCCTTACTATGCAATTACGGGGGGTTCTTGCCCGCCACCGCCTGCAAGATCGATCAATGTGCCGGTTGCTTCAACGATAAAGTTGAAAGCACCAATGAATTTAGGCTGCTGCGGCCTGCTAGAAGGTTCTGACATTGTGGAAGGAGAAAAAGAAGATAACTTGCGGTAAGCAATTTATCTATTCAATTACTTGACCTGGTCGATGATCGATGGGCCTTGGATATGTAAAATGAGGGCATGTGTTGATGATGAAAGACATGGGATTGCCACCAGCTAATAAATCCTCTTCTCTGCATAAAAATATACAAATTAACCACCGGTGAGCCAATTATCAAATAACAGTGAGGGGAAGCTTACGAGTCTATTGGCTTGGCTACTGCAGAAGCTCGTCCGGCTAACCATAAGACCGCAGTCTAGACCAGACTATCGATTAACTAGCATCGCTTAACTGCTTTTGCATCAAGACTGTTCAACCCAATTGGGATCAATCGAGGCCTTGTCAAATGTTGGCTGGGAAGTTATTTTAGCTAGTGTTCGACTATTGAAGCCGGTCCCATGGCCTTATATCTGTCACATTAATTGTACCGCTTGTGACTCTTGTTTTGTTACTTGAATCTGTAATTAAATGAGCAGTAGCAGCATATAAGCTAGTGCCATACCTTGGTACTGTAAACACTGACTATACTAACCTCCTAGCTATGCTAAAGCCAGTCAGTGCCGATACATAACTATAACTATTTACTATTACAGTCAATATAAATTAAGTCGTATTTTCCAGCGGCCAAGATAGCCACTTAGCCCAGAATGATCCTAACCAGCTCGACACACCTTTGGTGATTTGTTGCCCTGCATCCCTAACCGCCCAATGCTCCCTTGCACGGTGCAGTAACACCGCATAGTATGCAAGCATGACCAATGCCTCAGGAACTTGCTGCTTCAGCATACTGATGAATTCATTAGGAACACAACAAGCCCACGCAAGGACCGCTGTGACACCGTGGTCGGAGCCGTGCTTGCAGACCTGCCGCTGTACATCAAAAGCCCACTGCAGAGACTTTATGACTCGCACGAGCGTTTCACGACGAGCTAGGTCCAGATTGGAAGCTTCTACAAGTCCATATAAAGCCTCACACTCATAGCCATTATTAGGAGCTTCGAAATCAGTAAGAGAAGCAGAACCTAGAACCATTGAAGCGTGATCCTTGAGGATATTCCCGGAACCAGGTTCACTGGCTATGGCTGCAACTCCTCTTTAAATAGAAAGGTAAAATGCAAAGCGGTCGAGGAACTTCTGAGGCTCGTCTGACTGACACGTTATTAGAGCGTCGAATAGGGCGTGCATACTGAGCAGAGAGGAGTAGAGAAATACGGCTTTGCGTTGTTCCTCAGAATCACTCTCCACGGGCTGGAAGCGATTGAATTGTTGGAGGGCACGTGTTTGTAGAGATGTAGCTTCGGTGGCATTAACTGCTCCAGATCCGGTATGGTTGACGCTCATGTGTGCCGCGGATAAGGCCAGCATCTGATCTAGAAGAAACGGGAACTTGAACGCGGTTTGCATGTACTCCTTTCTCTGCTGCTGGCCAGCGGGATCCGTGCCTGACCGCACCACCAAGTCAAAATTGTCGAGAAGTCGAAAGTGTTCAATGTTATAAACACTCCCTTCGTTACCGAGTCCAAAGTTAATGCTGCTGGTTGATGGTGCTATTGGCAAGGCTAGACCGTGGCTGCTTGAGGAGAAGAATCTCCCCGTAGATAGTGACGTTTCCTGGTTAGCGTCTTGATGACAGACAGGATCATGGGCCTGATAAAAGCACTCTCTGTTAACTTCTCTGCACCTTGAACACGCAGGCCGGGCTTCGTTGCATTTGACATGACGTGCTTTGCATGGGGTGCAACCCCTGCGTGATTTGCTGTGCGGTCGCCGAGTTGGCATTGTCAATGGCTGACGGCCACTGAGAGATATATACGCCTGACTGCTAGATGCTGTATCAGAGCCTTATTGTTGTCAATTGATTTACTGAATATTGACTTCTCCGCGCTGTGTCTACACGTGGGGATGCAACGCGAAAGGGAATTTTAGGTAATAGAAACGCAAAGTCACGTGAGAATTTTGTATCTTAAGGTAATGTAAGTTGTTTAAATATTGGTTTTAGTCGTATATAACGGCAGCCTATATAGCTAACAATGATTATCTCTGCTTGACACCCCTTTATGCACCGAGCATTCGATAGCAAACCCAAAAACTCTTGCATACCAGCCCTGCGACCAAAAGCTCAACTCCATGCAGTGAGGCGCACCCCAGATAAAACTACTATCAACACGAGGACTTGTAGAAAATGCCGCCGCACAGGCTCTCAGCCGTTCTTCAGATACCACAAAGAACGGCTCGTGTTCCATCATGGCGAGCATGACGGGGACTTTTACATGTGCAGCCCATTCCTCTTTCCAGTGAGGTAGCCACGAAGCTGGCAGGCTTTCAAGCTCAGCAAGCGGAGCCGGAGAGTCAAGCTTCTTTGTAAGCTTCAGAATATCCTCGTGGACCGTCTCTGGTCGAAACATGATCTCATCTTTTACTTGGCTGGGAATCGATTGTTCGCCTAGAGGGTCGTATGGTTTTCTGATGCAGTTCTCGTACATATGGGGCTGCCAAACATCCCCAAGTCCGGACCAAATGACACCTCCAAGTGGATACAAGGGGTTTTCGTCTTGGCCATGTAGCGCTGCCGCTGCAACTCCGTACATAGTTCCGAGACTATGGCACAGTAAGACAATACAGTTGCATTCATTCGCAACTCCGATTTTAGACCATAAAGTCGGAAGGATATAGTCGTGCAACCAGACGGCGGTTTCCCTGACAAAGTCGGACTCTTCGGATACAGGGAGAAGCGACGAGGACTCTCCGTAACAAGGGCGGTCGATAGACACGAAAGGGACTTGGTAAGCATTACTGGAGATGGATGCGGTGTGACGAGAGTCTGCATCGAAATAGTGGCATTCATACATGCCTCCGTGGAGAGCAACAATAAGAGGGCGGAATTGGGGTGTTGATTTTGACGGCGGCGGAATGTTTTGTATCCCTGATACTACTCCGCCGTTCGGGAGGGAATGCTTGAACGGGTCCATTGTGATAAAATGAGAATGGGATAATTGGCAGATTTTGCAGTGATACTGATTGAGCTAAGGGCAGAGACATCCGGTATCGTACAAGGTATATATTCTACCACGACTGAAGAATTCTTAGGTAGCTCGGTCTTAACATTTCTTTTAACCCCGATGACGGTGGAATTATTCCCCATCCTAAGATTCAGAAAACAACAATTCCACTTTTGAAGGATGGGGCCTGGTGGAGCGATGGCCAATTACAAGGCTTCGTATAGAACCGTACTCGCTTATTTCCTGGACTTAACCTGATACGTCTAGTGGCCGGTCGTCATTGCCGAGGAGTCAATCAGCGGCGATCCATGACATTCAACCACGTCAAGCAGGTAACAAGGAAATATGGATTCATGTTTGCGGGAAATCGCCAAACGCGCCAAGCTTATGGAGTATGATTAAACCTTGGAGTAAGACCGTTTGACTCATAACGGTTCTATGTCTTAACTCCGATGGATAATATTGAGGTTCCCTGTATTTTGAAAATCTTGTATAACCTTCATTGGTACTGGAGGGTATGATAGCCTAATTCTCCAACCCGGCCCTATCGGCGTGACGTTTCTCATGAAGTTATTGGATACTCCGTAGGCAGATCCGCGTATATATATATATATATATATATATATATACCCAAGAACCGCAGTTGTCTGAACCTGTTACTCATCAGTGACTTATCCTTTCCAATAAGCACTATAAATCACATCATGGTGTCTATTGCACTTCTCATCTCTCTCACTCCTGCTCTCGTGTTTGGGCGGCCTAAATGCCATCAGTCCTGCGAGCCAACATCCAAGCATAAAGCTCTGTACGCCTCCTACACCAATACCCATTAGGGCATTTTGTAGAAAATATTGCCGTCCGCCCGAATGGCGAGCTACTGGTCACTCTGCCGTACATCGCCGAAGTACATAGCATCAATCTTCTGCACTCTGATCACACTCCCAAAGTAGTCCACAAATTCACAGGAATCAGCAGCGTTTTTGGCATCACTGAGTATGATCATGATATATATGCTGTGAACGGCGGCAACTTCACGATTGAAGATGGTTCTGTTCTGGGGTCTCATCGCGTCGATTCCTTGGACCCGACCGGATTTAAACCCAAGGCGACCAAGATTGCAGACTTTCCGACTGCACAGTTCCTCAATGGCATGACATTTCTGCCACGCTGGGGCCAAGGACCGCGCAATGTGCTCGTCAATGATGTGCTTGGCGGTGTTGTTTATCATCTTGATCCAATCTCTGGGGATTATCATATCGCTCTCAACAATACCTATACGCAAGCCCACCAGCACCCAGTCTTAGGGTCTTTCGGCGTGAACGGCATCAAGATCGGAGACGGGATGGTATACCTTACCAACACTGGACTGGGTGTACTTGTGCGATTCCCCATTCACCCCAACGGAACAGATGTTGAAGGCGGCCCAGTCGAGATTCTGTCCCGTCAGGATAATTCGACATGGTTCTACGACGACTTTGCACTTCGGGATACCACAGCATATGTCACAACCGGCTCCGGGAATTCCATTGAGCGCGTTGTTGCGCCACTTGTCGGCGCGCGAGGTCCAATTAGCACAGATGTCGTGGCTGGAAGTCTCAACTCTACGGCTGTGGCGGGGCCGACTTCTGCTGCTTTCGGCCGCACTCACAAGGATCATCACATCCTCTATGTGACAACGAGTGGTGCTGCGAATGTGCCAGTTGATGGAACAGTCAAGGTTGGCGCGCAGGTTCTGGCCATTGATATAAAATCATTCATTTGGTTTTAATATATATATATATTAATAAGATATCTGGGTTAAATAGGATTAGTTTAATTATATTGATAATAAATAGTATCTATTTAATATAAGTTATCAAATAAGTTATATAGTATGCATTTAACTTATTATAAGGTAGTTAATATTTAATTAATAAAAAATACAAAGACCTCTTTACTTATATATATTAAAAGTGTTAGGTTATAATACTTTACTTTACCTTTTTTTTTTTTTTTAATTAATTTAAATTTTATACTTATTATATTTTACTCAAATCTACTTAATTAATTTTAACCCTTTTATTAAAATCCTTTTTTACTTAATACTTATTGTATCTTTATTAATATTGTATTTTCTTTTAACTATATTACGCTATATAAAATACCTCTGGACCTAACTAGGGCTGCCCCTTTTACTAAAAGAGTCCTAAATAATAGTAGCTAGCCCCTAAGCTATATTTCTATAAGATTAATTTCTTAAGTATAAAAAGGCTAGTAGATACAGAACTCCTCTTCTACAGGGCCATTTTCAAGGTACTCGCCTTGCATGATCCCATCGACATAGGCATCCCCACAAAAGTAGAATCCTCCATCGCGCCGCAGTCGCAAGACGATGGGCGAACTCACGCCCCAGATTAGAGAGACGATATCTCCAACCTCAATACCCACATGGCCAAGCCCCAGCATTCCTTTACTTGTCTTGAACAGTGTCCGATCCCTGTTTCCACGACCCAAGCTCTCTCTCCAATGAGTTGCAAACCATGTAACCTGCTGGTCATTGAGAACCCCAGAGTTGGAGCCGAAGTTGTTGTAGAGAGGACCGTGGTGGATAAATTCGATTTCCTGGTCTGTTAAACTCGTGGCATCCACATCTTGCAACCGCATTATTTTGCGGCGAAGCGTACACGTCCCTTCCATAATGGAAGTACGCTCCTGTGGAGGAATACGTGTTAGTTTGGGTAGCGTGTTGTGCGTGATGGTCCGCCAGATATAGTCCTCCCCAGGACCACATTCTGAACCTAACCCGGCGAAGGTAGCAATGGATCGAAACCAGTTGTCTGGATCTTTAAGCTCGGATGGTTCATAAGGAGTTGTTTGAACCCACTCTGGCGGGTGCATGACGTGTGTTATCTCATCCACTCGGCAACCGAAGCGGTGAAGGACGTTGGCATCTCCTTCAACACTCAACGCCCGTCCTGGCCCCGACAACCTGCCGGTAGCCTTGTAAATTCCGTAATGATTGATACGGTAAGTTCGAACACCCCAATTTCCAATCTCGCGCCAGTCAGGAACCCATGTAGGTAGATACCCGGTTGACAACCCAGGATTGCAGAAATCTAAGTCAAAGGAGGCCTGGTCCTCATCTTCAGAGGAAATCATAGCTCTGGTTAAAATCGTGAAGACCTCGGCAACTGACTTGGTATAGTCCACGCGTATGCCTCGAGCTTGTCCTTCCGTTAATATGCCGAGCAGCCCAAAGAGGATGTCTCTGGGATCAGTTGCACTATAGTGCGGGCGTCCTGGTGCACCTCCAGTTTCCCAGAGAACGTCTACCAAACGTACGGGTTGCGCAGCAGGGATTTGTCGCAGATGATGCCGGATATACAAGGACTTTATGTCGTAAAGAGTGACCGACAAACCCTTGCAAAAACCATACCATTCTGGGTGCATGCGGCGCAAACCTGAGCGCATGCAATACCATATGGCTGTAAAGGTTGCATCAAAGAGTTCAAGCGACACGCTCTTTGTGCCCACAACAACAAGTGCTTCTTTCGCTACAGCCACTTCTTGAATAATCCATATTCGGTGCCAGTAGTCCCTCTGCAAAATGTCGCTTATACCAGTTATTAAAGGGGATGGCACCAGTAGAGCATCCTCATTCAAAAGGTCCCAGAAAAAGGGCCCTAGTTTCGACTCCGAAACCGTATCTCCATCGGTCTCTTCGTGGCGGGACTGCTTCTTGATATAGGAGTCTATCTCCCGTCTCATCGCCATCTTATTCCATAAGTTCGCGATATCGCAAGACTGTGCCCTGGGTCCCACTCGGGAGATAAAGTCCATCGTTAAATCGCTCTCAATGGTTCCCGTTCCCAGCCACAGATAAACAATCTTGGCGTGACTAAAAATTTCTCGCATTTCCATAATTTGCCAAGATTTTTCGAGGTCATTCGACTGTTCAATACAGATCGCATCAATCCAGAGCCAGGACTCAATCCCATCTCGTCGGAATTGCCACAAAGCCTCATGTAAGTTTTGAGTAATTTTGAATTGACACCCGTTGACCTTGATCTCCACAGGACCTGTAGTGGTTCCCCAGGTATAGGAGACTGCTGCGTATGAGATGTTGTCATTCAGCGATACATGTTGCAGTTCCAGTGAGATCGTTTCGCCATCGTCAACCGGCCCGGCCGCAGCACAAGCGAATCGGAGGACCCTGATCTCGCGAGCTCCCTGACTTAAAGGGCTGTGATTGAACATTATGGTCCGTTAGAAACAATGAGTGAATTTTCTTGAAACATGAACTCTTGATCTGAGGTTTCTGATGCAGGAGGCAGCCATAAGAGTCAATTTCTTGCTTGCTCCACTTTTAGCGCGCTTATAAAGGTGTCAGCTGCCAGTAATCCCTTATCACAAGACACAGCAGTCCCACCATGACATACGCTAGACTTTGGCGCTTATGGGTAGGTTATATTTAGAGCAAGCAATTGTCAAATCAGGTCAGGTTATTGGTTCGAAACCCACCAGGTCATAAGCACGCAACGAGACAACTTCTGCCATTTAAGAGAAATAAGTTCTTCAGGCCCTGTAGAGTGCTCAAAGAGTCCGTCCGGGCGGATGTAGGTAGAGATCCGAGGAACATAGTAGGCGTATTACTCTAACTTGAAAGAAACTGTTTTTGGCCGCCTTTAACAAAAATTGGGGCTATGCGATGCCTACCACATTATCAATCATAGTGTCCATCATGGTGTCTACTGCAATGGGTACCTCAGAGATTCTACGGGAACAATCAAGGAGGATGATCAAATGCCCATTTATTTTGCTTCCTCTTAACCAGCCACAACCATCAACACGGCCTGCATAACGACCACCACAACGACCACTATCATGCCACGGCCACAGCTTCTACTGCCATATAGATTACGTGTCAACGGCGTACCATGCCCCTTAGCATTTCTAAGTGGACCCTCTTTTCTGCGGCATCAATCTCTTTCCCCGACTCACCAAACGGCGTCATGTATTCTGCAGCCTGGACGAGTTCTGTGGGGTACTTGCCGTAAATTTTATCTGCAAGTTCATCCAAAGTCTTGTTAGCTACATTTAAATCTCGACTTGTGAGGGGTGAATTAATTATAATTTGACTTTTCTTTTTATTCGGGACGGCTACCTACATAATTCGCTCTGCTTTTGTAGTATGAGTAATAATGAGAAGTGGTGCATTCCTTACGAGACTTACCTGCCGCTTGTGAATATAGCGGAGCCAAAATGCCTGATGTTAAGCGACGGTCTTTCCTTAAGCCGAACCGAGAGCACTGACAAATATGTCTATCGCAATGCTATCAGCCCTCTTTCTAAGGATAACCCTACCACTTTAACGGTCGGATTTTATCTGACTTTATAGAGAATTTATTAACTGTACTAATTGAACTAAGGCGAATCTTATAAGCGCTATATCTATATTCTCAGATTCTTCTGCCAAGTCCTAAAGTATAAGGCTGATATGCTGGTCATTAGATGCCATACTAGACGGCAACGTGGACTTTTGTAGCATGCCCACCCAAATATCGTAGATTGACTCTAAGTTTTCTATAAAAAGATTCCTGATGTTCTTTAAAACCAGGCCATCTGCAAGCACTGTAATCGAAGGTTTTGATTCGCTCTCGTGAAGGGATGTACTGGCTGGTACATGACTCATCGGCTTGGCGATTGACATGCTGACGAGGACAGAGAATTACCTAGATGTGAGAGTGTGATGGGATATCTTGAGGTTTTATCTCTAGCAATCTTTGCACTTGCGGCTTGGACGATGGGAGTTGGAGTATGCTAAAAGACACAACCAAAAATTAAATTTAGTCTCTCTAATATTAGTTCTATCACAAAAAGCGACTGGTGCCAGCAGAAACCATGTCTCTCTACTCGATAAGCGCGTATTGTTGACTCAAATTTAAGATCATGGGGACGATCATTCCACTTGAAACTTCCATTGGCTCCAGAAGCGCTAAAATCCTGTGCCAGCCCCACCACTGAGTTCAATGGCATGGAACAGGAACGAGAAGCATGAACGGGAAACGTATAAGTGTACAAATATAATTCTGCTAACGTCATTATTTGTTAGTATCTAAAACCTTCATCTTGAAGCGCTTGCCATACTCATTATTGAATATCTGCTCTAATGTTTTTTGTGATGGAAATCTAGGGGGTGTTATTGGTCTTGAGCTGTATGTAGCATTTCTGCCTTGCTTTGGTACAGCAACCAGGGGGCAATTAGGTGGCGGCCCAGGGGAAGGAGGAAGCTGACTCAAGGACATGATAAAAATATTACAGGCCAATCCGAGTAAACTGTAAAGTAATTACGATCTTTTCTTAATAGAGATCATCGTTGGTGACAGGAGTTAGCATTATGGGTTTATAGCGTCAGAGATGCTGCATTAATTCATATGGCGTCTGAAGCAGGCCACAAGGCTATCTCGGAAGCTTTACTTGAACGCCATATCAGCATCGAATCAGAAACTACCTTCCTAAATGCCATAACGACAGGCAAGGATGAAGTTGCAGAATTTTTTCTTCCATACATTGATGACCCGATAGCCCAGAATGATGTATGGACCTCCATGTTGATGGCTGTTGTGACTGGACTTGCGTAGTCCTCTAATTGGAGAGATGCGTGGCCACTAAATTACCAGGCGCTGGAAGCAGAACCACGCCATTATCGACCGCAACTCCACAAGAACTGGGATTGACTCTTCTCCTAGAAATTGAGGGTACTCCATACTCAAGTGGCTATTCAAAGTCTTTGATTGAAACCTAGGGCGTTTTTGGTAGCGTGATGAAGCTGCTCATTGACCAGGTAGCCGCGGTTGGAAGAGATCTCAATGATTATTTAGTTCTCGCCGCGCGCAATGGAGCTATGGACGCTTTGAAAGTCCTACTTTAAAATGATGCCAATGTAGATTCGGAAGACTTTCGTAACCGTACTGCTCTCTCACATGCTTGTGAGATGGGAGATGAAGATATTGCTCGACTTCTGATTTAGAAAAATGCAAATACGGAAAAGATAGATCGTGATGAGAAGCCACATTGGATGTACGTGAGTCTGAAGCAGGAGGCTATCCAAAACTTGCTCCTAGTGTCTACTACCAATAATATAACAAGAGAAAAGATGTATTGGGAATGGGATCGGCAAGTTCCTAGTTTTGAATACTGTTTATATTAGCAGGTACTAAAGACTGAGAATCTAAGCTATATTGATTACGTAGATAGTTTATATAATAAGCTTAAAATAAAGCTAGAGGATGTTAATATATAGATTTCTTTATGCTGGCTCGGTCTCCGAATGGGGACTTAATTACAGTAAAAGGCTATAAAGATATCTAGGTCTAGAAAAGGAAAGCAGGCTAAAGAAACCAAGCTCCAACACCTAAATCACAGTGAACCTGTCCAATACATAAAAGTTATTAATGGATAGCTCGAATTATAATATATCCTCTTGGAACACCACGACTAGTACTATGATATAAACGATAGATCATTTAACCACGAGTGGTATCTCGCCTCGTTTCTTGGTCCTTGGCTCGACGTCTTGGCACTCTCTCGAGACACCTAATGGCTTACATCTTCTTGCAGAGGTTTGATCACAACCTGGGACGTTAAAACCGTCACAGCTATTTTACGAATTTGATGCCGCTAAGGACATGTCATTTTCGACGGGCGTGACTATGGAGTAGATGAGACTTAGCTGTCCTGGCCTAGACGCACCCAGGGCGAACTAGACATCAATCAATGGCAGGAGAGGTGGTATGACATGGCATTCCGAAATAACTACCATCTAGCAACATCTTCCTAAGGTCTGCTCAAGATCTGGAGTATCGTTATAATATGAAATAAAAATACAGGACAGAACTCCCGTCGTAATTATCACACTTGATGTCGCAATAGATAAGTGCACTAGGGGTTCTCCACCTTTCGGTGCAGAACATTACGTTGTTGGCTAAACAGGTGTAGTATCCGAAGTGGAGGAGATGTCGCCATTCGATCAGCAACTATACTTCCCTTATTCTCCACAGATAGTTCCATTGGCATGCACTATACCCTCTCTGTAGCTCGCACGTATGTCTTGTCCAGGATATTTCACTGCGTGTGTATTTGGTTCTCCTTATCCGGTGTCCAAATCAGGCACCGTGAACCGAAAAAATGTCGCGATGTTGATGAACCCCGTCGATACTACGTCTTGGCGAATAAGCTCGCCATACTTGCAGATTAATGCAAGATTCCTAACCCTCAAATCTGTCGGTCATGGTATAAGACTATGCTCAAGTGATGGATTTTATCCCCGTTCCCGTCTAGCTGTAGTTTCTCATTTACATACTGCTTGACGAAATCAGCGACCCCAGATTAGTCAAAAATGGGAGTCGTCGCAGCCTTGAAAAGGAACAAAATTGGGGCAGTGGTGGTGTCGGTGTTTGACTGGTACAGTACGTTCTTTGTACCTGATCCTGCAGGGTATGGGTATGTGCTGATAATGAGGAAGCGTCGGAGTACCCCAAAGAAGAGAGAAGACTTCTTCGCAAGCTTGATCTCGCCATCCTTGTCTTCGGATCTCTAAGCTGTAAGTCGCGAAAAGTCTACTGTGATCGGATAATGTGCTGACTCTTGTTAGTCTTTTGCCGCGTTAGTCTCGCTCACTGCCCACCAGCCTACAGGATTTTACACTGACAGTATGTTCAAGTTCCTTGGGCAACAAAATATCACCAACGCATATGTCTCTGGCATGAGGGAGGATCTAAATGCGTTTGGAAATGAGTTGAACTACTATGTGGTTGCTTGTAGGTCATATGCACAAGTCACCAAAGGGAAAGGCCTGATTTACAAATCCTTCGTACAGATAATACGGCCTACGTCTTGGGTCAGATTCCACTTATGACACTGCAAACAAAAGGAAAACTGTGAGTCTTAGCCAAATAACCTGCCAACCATAGAAATGGACGAAGCTAACAATCGCAGTGCGCCATTCCTGCTTCCTTCGCTCCAGATACTTTGGGCCGTTATTGCCTTTTGTCAGTCAGAGATCAAGCATAGCTGGCAACTTTATATTTTGAGGGCCCTGACTGGGTTCCTCGAGGCAAGTTCGTTTGGCGGCACCCATCTCATCCGTAAGTTTTTACACAGCAACTATCAATAAAACCGTTGTGACTATTGGGTACTGACGTTTGTCGATGCAGTTGGCTCGTGGTTCAAGAATGAAGAACTCTTCAAAAGAGCTGGTGTATGGTTCATGGGCAATTCACTCGGCTCCATGTTCTCTGGATACCTCCAAGCTGCTGCATACCGAAACCTCAATGGCGTTTTTGGACGTGCTGGCTGGCGATGGTTGTTTATTGTCCAAGGTATCATTACGTTGCCCCTTGCCTTTCTGGGATTCGTCGTCTGGCCTGGGCTTCCTACATCGCCGAGAAGGTGGTATATGACTGAGGAGGAGCATACTCTTGCTCTCAAGCGCATCCCTACCGTCGAGAAAGAGGGAATCACATGGAAGACGTTCAAGTATACTCTGAGTCGTCCCATGTGGTGGATTTGCGTCTCGTGCTACATATTCTTGTGCCAGGCGCATTATTGGGTGAGTTTGATATCTACAATTATAAATGCTCGATGCATGATTAACATCCAATCAGACGGGTTATATGGCCCTTTGGCTTCGTCACGCTGGCTACTCCATCGAGCTCGTCAACATTCTACCCACGTTTATCGACCTACTCCGCGCCATCTCCTCCTGGCTTGGCACAACACTCGCGGGATGTCTCAGTCTTCGGGGACTGTGGACATTCCAGGCCTCCTTTGTGTTCTTTGCATGTATTGTACTATCTATATGGACGGTGCCCGATGGTCTGAAGTTCGTCGCTTTTTACTTCGGTGGCTTCTCAGGCATGGCATCGCCCATTCTTTACTCATGGGTCAACTCCACCTTAAAAGAAAACTACGGCGAACGTGGACTCATCATTTCCTCTATGATGACGCTGGGCTTTTGCAATCAGATCTGGATTCCGCTTTTCACATTTCCAACAGTCGAGGCGCCAAAGTTCCCAAATGGATACCCAGCGGCAACAGTGTTTGAGTTTACTATGTGGGCGATCCTGATGGGAGGAGTCTGGTATATGAAAAGGTGGAAGACTAAGCACCCGGATCTCGAAATGCGTCTGGCTGAGCCTGCGAGCCTTGACCCAGTGAGCGAGCCAGACTCTGAGGATACGGGCAGGACTGACACAAAGGGTGCGAGCAAACTTGTGAGAGCTTTCTGATTCTCAACGGGATTGGGTGTCTGGATAGTTCCAATGATGAGAGGGCGAACCCGTGAGGCATATATTGTCTCATTTTATGATTATATATAAACGTACTTTATCGATTACTATATACAAAGAACATATAAGCCGAAGTGCATCACCAAATTCTCACACATATCTTCTCCTTCTTCTTAGTCGGACATTCTTCCCAGCCTTATCATCAACCGAATGTATAGAATACTAACTCGGAGATTTAACCGAGTTTGAAGTCCACAAGTGGTTGCGAGTCAAAGTCTGGGTCGCTGTTTCCGTAGTACCTGGAATTCCTCGAATCCCAGTACCAAACAATAGGAGTTGGGCCGATTTCAGAGGCACAGCTGAGGAGGTTATCAGCATCTGCTGTGCACTGAACGTAGTGGTAACTAGCAGGATACTCTTCGATGTAGGATGCCGTGTCGAACTGGAAAGCGTAGTTGGGGCCAGTGGGAATGACGGTGTAGAGGTAGACTTTGGTGCCGTCAATGAGATAGGTAAAGAGTCTGTTGGTATCGGGCTCGAGTTGGAAGCGGGCCTTGGAGGTTGAGCCACCCTGCTGAGGGGTACTGTAGGTACCGCCATATCGATCAATGTATGTATCCTTCTCGGTGTTGTCGGCAAAGACGGCAGACATTTGAGTTCCCTCAAGAGCCTCTGTTGTAGTGGTAGTCTCAGCAGCGGTCGTGGTAGTCGCCTCAAAAGTAGTCGTAGTTGGCTCGACAGCGATGGCAGTGGTGGTTGTGTCTTGAGCAAGAGTAGTGGTGGTGGACTCTTCAGCCAGTGCTGTGGTGGTTGAGCCTTCGCTGAGGGTGAGAGTGGTGGACAGGTCAGAGAGGGCAGTAGTGGTGGTAGTCTCCCCAGCAGCCGTAGTGGTAGAGTCGTCAGTGATCACAGTGGTAGTGGAAGCCTCCCCGACAGCAGTAGTCGTGGTGGTTCCCGCAAGCGCAGTAGTAGTCACAGGCTTGCAGGGCGACGCCAGGGCAATACGAGCCTGAGTCGAGACCAAGCAAATGGCCAAAGATTGAAGTGAAAGACGCATCGTAAAGCGAGTGGACGTGGTTGAAGAACCAGCAGATCAACGAGCGTGGGGTGTTGCAAAAGCGTGACAAAGATTCGTTTTTATGTGCGAGAAATGCCATCTTTTTATCGACGGCAATCAGGGGTCGTTAATCTGGCAGAAGGTTCAGCCATGTAAGCCATTGGTTTCTAAAGAGAGACTATTGCTCACTTAGATCTACCGGGCCTATGCCCATCGACGCGACAATTCGTATTCAGCCTAGCTGCTGCATATTTCGTGGCTTGATTGGTTTTCTCACTGGTTAGAGGGCGACCTCAACTGCGCAATTTTAATATTGCAGTCCAGCGTTTCTCCTCATGCCGATACGAAAATAGCTTAATTCTCTAGCTTCAACGTGAACGGCCTACATATGCTCTGTAAAAATACCTCTAGTATTCATGTCGTGGCTCAGCACTGGGGATCGCAGACAACAGACTACTACCTTGTCCGTCTCATCTCATCATCAGACCTTGACAATGCATTTATGCCCCTTGGGCGCAATCAAGAACCTGTTCTCCATCTCCATCATTTCATCAGTCATCTCAGGGCTTAGCGTGGCGCCACGGCATTCACGGAAGAATAGCGCGGCACCAAGTCGTAGCTCCATCCAAGCCAAGTGTAGACCAATACAAATCCGTGACCCAGCGCCAAATGGAGAAAAGGCAGCCTTCTGTGCTGCTGTAAGTGTGGACTTGTCGATAAAGCGTTGGCCATTGAACCTACCAACTATGTTAGTGTCTAATGTAAGTAAATAGCAGTGATCATACCTCTGTGCATCTTCAAAGATGTTTTCGTTGCGGTGCAATGTGAACGCTTGAGTGCTGACGACAGTACCGGGAGGGATGTAATGCCCGCAGACATCAAGACCCTTACCTGGCACGACGCGTGGAAGAGCACCGGGAGCTGCGCCATACAGACGAAGTGTTTCTTCGATCACACTGTTGAGTAGCGGAGCACTCTTGAGCTCGTCAAAGGTCAGCTCATCACTGAGCTCTGATATCTCACGCTCCAGTTCAGCTTGAAGCCGAGATTGTTTGAGAACGGCCCAGATGAGATACGTCAAGGTCACAGCCGTAGTGTCCGATCCCGCAACGATAAGATTGCTCGCTTCCTGCTGCACGCTTGATGTGGAGAGACTCGTCTTTTCCTGGCTATCAGATTCAGCCAGCATTTGGCTGAACAGATTTGCCTTGCTGAGACCATCCCCTGCGCTCTGCATATTTCGCACAGCGATAGAACCGTGCTCGAGGACAACATTGTCGGCATTCAGTAACTTCTTCAAGCCTTGGAAAGGCAGACGCTTGAGGAGAGGATAGATCCATGACAGTTCGGCGCGAATTCCACTCATAAGAAGTGCAGACTGGATCGCATCGATGTAAGAAGTTTGCTAGAGTCGGTTAGTCTCGATGCTCATTACACTGAGATAGACATGATATAGTTACCTTGCCAAGCTCCAGCATCCGAAATGACTCTCCGAATGAAAGGTGAGCAATCACATCCGTCGCCATAAGAGTCCACCACTTAAACACATCCGCCCCAGTGCTTTGAGCATCTCGTTTTATGTTGTGCACCGCAAGCTCAGTCTTCTGTCTAATTTCCAACTCCCAATTGCTTAACAACGAGCTGACACTGAAAGCACGAGCAAATAATCGTCTTCGGGCAGCGTGCTGGTGAGGATCTCTCATGACGAAGATGCCTGGCTCTCGGTCGGGAGTTACAGCATCGTACCAAGCCGACTTGAGAAAGCCAGAACCAATCTTGTGGATTTTTGAGAATGCTTCTGGGTCACTGACAGCAACCTCGCCTGGTGAAACGCGTACGACTGGGCCGTAGCGCTGATGCAGTGCGTGTATGTAATGAACGCGGTTGCCAGCTAGAATGTGATATTTGAGGATGAGGTGAGTGAAATGAGTGTACCAAGGCCCAGGCAACCCTCGGAGGGGAGACTTGAAGGCGTTGACCAAGGCATACAGAGCTATACCGACGACAAAGACGCCGGCAAGCAATGGTAGAGTGAGATGATTCGCGATATACATAGTTGCATCGGTCCACAAAGGATGCTTCTTTGATCCTATCGGGTCGTTTGAGGTGTCAACCTCTTATAGATCCAGCATTTTATCAAGATCCTCCCCGTGGGGTACCGGGGCTTAGTGTCGCGGGGTATCGGAACGGCTGGGGCATCGGGATCTGGGTTAGACTATCGGAAAGGTGGGGGTCACTTTGCCGACGGATTTCTTTAAAATACCGAGACAGGTCCGTCAGTGCTCCGGAATATCATAATCTTGATTGGATATTGATCTCAAATCGTTTCTGTTACCCCAGAGGACCTTGCAGTACTCGTGTTCCGGTTGGACGATGCAAGTGGTACAGAACCTAGTTCGTATCCCTTCGTCCACAACCCGATAGCCTGGATCTCCAGCTCAATTCGGCGAAGCTGATGAGAAGTCCAGTCTATGAACGATAATATTCCATCCAAATACATGATAAATATTAGTCCACATCCATTTCTATTTCTCACAAATAAGATGTTCTCCACGAGGTAGATCTGCAGCCCACGATCATAGTCTATTTGCAACACGTAACATCGGACTCTCACCGCTTAGCCGAATTCAGTTATCATGGAAGCCTTTTCTAGGTAAAGTGATGTCGCGAGAAACAACACTTTGTCCGTAACACAGTAGTTGGCGATTTAGAATACCCTTATCGCCAGCAATCACCTATGCAGTAGCTGTAAGTCTGCGAAGCGCATCGGCAACCTCTTGAACAGATGTGTAGTCCAGATTCCAAAGCCCCTGGATGACATATCGCGCGGGATTGTCCTCGCTTACATGGGGGTACTCTCCACGCATTAACTTCTCCTGCAACTCCTCGATCTCAATCTCGCCATATGGTACCTCCCATTCAGTAATCTCACAGATACCAGTGCCAAGTGCAAACAATTCCTTCTCGAACGCGCTTCTCTCTGGGCTTGGGGGGTCTGTTGTAGGGATCCAGTAGCGAGGCTCACAAGCAAAGAGCAGGTCTGGATATACACCGCGTAGACTGGAGCCAGCAAAGTCGCTGAGTTTGATGTGGTGGCCGTCAAAGAGAAGGATGTTCCGCGTCGAGATATCACCCCAAATCACGCCTCGGCTATGCACATACTGCAGGGTGTCCGTAAGGTGTAGTGCCATCCTCAAGCGCTGGTCTATAGGTAGTGCATCGCCCTGTAGAATCCGCTGACGTAGGTTGCCGTGGGGAGCTCTCTCGAGCGTCAAGGCCCAGGCCTCTCTTTCGCTATCGGCCATGAGCTCAGATTCTTCGCCCGAAGCAGGAGGGAAATATGCAGCTCCAAATGATTTGAGGATGTGTGGATGGGCGCCCAAAGCATCGTAGACAGCAGCTTCGCGTTTGAATATGGCGCTAGTGTCTGTGCCCTTGGCAAAGGATGCATGGTCATACATTTCCCCATCTAGCCAGAAGCCGGTGGCTTTGATAACGACTTGTGGCTCAGATCTATCGGCATAAATAATGTTGAGGCCTGTTCGACCCAACGGCTCAAGTCTTGCTCTGATCGCCGGGCCGGCATCTCGGTCACTCATTCGCATGGTAGATAAGATGGAGCAGGTAATCAGAATAACAAATTGTTGGGAGTGCCTTGGAACGCAATTGAAGCCCTTGGTAATAGGTTTCCTCAAGAGGATGGTAAAGAAGAGACTGCTGGCAATATAGGCTCAATTGTCGTCCCGTGTTTAGCTACTAACGGATCAGAACAATATATCGATTTGCTTTGTGAAAGTGTCAGAAGTAACGATGCATCACCGGCCGGAATATCTCTTTGCCGCTTACCGCCCATGTCAAACATTATGAGAATGTTAATAATCGCAGGACTTGAGTAACAGGACTTAGTCTTAATGAACAATCATACATGATCTGAGCTTGCTACTACTACTGAATTTCTTTGGACATAAGACATTGGCAATCTAGCCGCCTCCGGGCCCCGTTCGCGGCCAGTAGCCTCCGATTGTCCTTTTATGCAAGATCGCGCTGAAGAACATGGATGCCGTCCTTCTTGCCAATAGCTTTGAGCTTCTTGGCATTTTTCTTAAACACCAAGTCCAAGAATCCGACCATAATCTCATTCGCCGCCTTCTCAACCTTTCTTCCACCAAGCGTCCCAAATACCTCATGGACCATAGCTTCTGACTCGGCCGGAATCTTGAACTCAGTCAAGAGCAACGGAACATCGGTAAAAGCATAGTGACGCGTGTGCTTCACCACCATCTCCATCTTGGCAGCGTCGATCTTGTCGTAGAATGCATTCCAACCGGGAACAGGATCAGGCGCTGTCATGTTGGTTCCAACGAGTATGTAAGGCGTGAACTTCAAGCCTTCTTCAACCACGGATCCATACATGGGACCGTCAAAATTGAGACCTCCAATGACGCGGCGATCGCGCTGGGCTGTCACGGCAGCAGTTGACCCACCAAAAGAGTGACCGTACACGGCAACTTTGTAAGGGTCAAATGTACCAGGGAAATCACCAAAGACCTGCTCCACGAGTGTGTGGTTGCAGAGTTGTGAGATGACAAACGACTCATCTTTAGTTCTGGCCTAATAGGGGGTGTTATTATTGTCCTTGTGACACGGGCTTAATGGAGAACTTACCTCGAGCTGCCGATATGTCGAGTTCATGTTATCGGGAAACTCAGCAGCAGGTGCAGCCGTCCCATCAGGGAACTCAACCACGAACGCTTCATAAGTATGGTCTACAGTAAGAATGATATACCCAAGGCTTGCAAGTGACCTAGCCATAGCCCCATACACAAGCCTTGAGCCTTGATAACCAGGTGAGAAAAGCGCGACGGGGTATTCCTTCTTGGGCTTGTGATATCTCTTTGGCTTGACACTGGAGATATTGCAGACCTTCATCTCGAAATCTTTGACTATGTTGTCGGGTAGGCCAAGGGTTCCGGCCACCTTGCCGTACGCCTCTGCAGTAAGTGCGGGTACATATGGTACGACTTCATCTTTGCAGCCATATTGGGCGTCGATGGGAAGATAGGCAGAGACCATGAGACGGCGCTTGGTATTGGGCTTGGGTGCAAATGTGTCGATACGGTTCGTATCAATCAACTCAAAGTTTTTGACGGCGACATCATAGGGGCCTGGTGGAGAGGGGACAAGCAGGGCCTGCGAGGACTTGAGAAAGATAAGAAGGGCAAGAAGACGCATTTTGTGTGACCGGTGAATTGAAGATGCTGTTGATTGCCAAGACAAAACGAAGCAAGAAGACGCAGGTACACTGTTGATATTTATGTAGCCTGAATTCGTCATCCAAACTTGGTGTCCTTTGTGAAGTTAAAGACCGAATTTGGCTCTATAGCGCGCTTGATCTTAAAAACAGACAATTAAGCCACGACACGATGCTCAGCCATGACCCAAACCTGTAATTCAGTTGCATTGAAAATCCTTTGAATTAATAAAAGCTAGCATGTAGTATTTTAATGACGAAATATTCAAGACCGAAGAATTTAAAACAGCCCAGGTCTGTAGATCCTGCTCGGTCTTTGAGTTTAGGGTAACATAGCGTGATTCTTATCGATAGCGCACAGGGGTAAAGACCGAGCCCTGATGATTAACCAATGAACAGTCATCTACAGCAGTAAGCTTACTTTCCCCTTTCAGTACTTATGTACCGCTCAGGTTGGTCTGAGCCTCCCAGCGCCACGTTTGCAATAGAAGAATAATGACATCACGAGCCGATTGGCCGTTGTGAATTTTCATCAGGCAATTGCTCGTATTCTGTCACGGTTTTCGTAACGCATAAGCACGGCGGAATTCGTTGCGCCCTGTGGATACCGACTCCTGGCCCTGAGTGGTCTGTTGGGGCTTGGCAGTAAGAAAGCCATCCTATACCCAAGCGATGCAGTCAACATAAACACCTCATGAGATACGGCTGTGATTTTAAATGATCACAGGGCGCAGCAGAATTTCACGCTCGGGAAGTATCTTGCATTGTTCTGGTAGTAATAACGCGAAATAACGACAGTCCACCACTAGCGAGGACTGCCAAGAGCGCCTCACCGTCACGCGCCTCGGCCAGTTTTCAGCTTCGGAATTTATCGTGAATTGAACAGTCAAAGTCACAGGCAGACTATAAAAACGCATATCATATCGTGAATCTGTAACCAAAGCCCAACAATATCTTTCTACTCTCAATCAGCATGACTCTCCCCAACGAGCCCGTCAAAGTCACCGGTGGCTGCTCTTGCGGCGCCGTCCGCTATCGCGTTGACGTCCCTGCACTGGAACACCGTCCATTGAACCCTTTCGCCCCTCCTGCCTTGGAGATCAAACTCCCAGGCGCGATGACATGCCACTGCAATGACTGCCGTAGATCGACTGGCTCGTTCCTGGCAGTTGGCGTACTTGACGTCCCAGCGCCTATGCTCACCGTCTCTGCAATGCCACCCTCATCTGAATCCAATATCATTTCTGGCCGCATCTTGGACGTCCTCGCGGATGATTATGACGCTGCCAAAGCAGACGCGGTCCGTCCTCCATACATCCCAGCCATGGAAGTTCTCCGTGCAACAGGAGAGACCAAAACTTGTCTGCGCTTCTTTCACTCCGTCAAATGCAATTCCGACGTATCGCGCAGCTTTTGTGGACGTTGCGGAACGGAGTTGTGTTTCCACTTGAAATTAGAGCCAGAATATTGCGCTGATGGGAAATTGCCTGACGGATGGCGGGACTCTTTTCACTTGAACCTTGGAACTCTGGATCGCGAGTTTCTTGAGAAGGATTGGCTCAGTCCTGGTAGTGAAGTAATGTTTAAGCACGGGACGCCTCTCAGTCGACGTGTTTCTGCGACGGCCAAGGGACTGAAGGACCTACCAAAGATGCAAGAGTTTGATGATGAGGTTACTGAGGAAGAGCTGGCGACCTTGAGAACGTAGTACGGCTGTGAAAGATAGTATGAGCTGGTTCGAAGCATTATAAAGTTAATGAAATTACTAAAAGACATTAAGGTAGCTACTCCAACGTGTCAAGAGTCACATTTCAGCCAACTAATTCTCCTTGTGTTCGACCTGAACTACACCCGCCTTCTCGTTCGCGACCATTCGACCCACGTAATTATCAGTATCAGCCTGCTGCAAATCGGTGACATAACGCTTAAACTTCCACGCGGAGATCCTCTTCTCAAACAGCTCATCCAGCTGCTCCAAGCTTCGGCCCTTGGTTTCGGGAATGAAGAAGTATGTAAAGACAGCCAAGATAAAGTTGCTACCAGCCCAGATATAACAATACTTGGGACCCCAGTTGAGTGACTCGGGGTTGATAAAGTACGGCGTACAATACGAGCACAACCAGGAAGCCAAGAAGCTTGTACCTTGCGAGAAGCCAACTGTCTGAGCTCGCAGTCGCTGGGAGGGTATCTCAGTCTGCAGGGCCCATAGCACGGGACCTTGGCCGATACCATAGATCCAGGTAAAGACGATACTCAACCCGACAAGAACCTTTCCAGCAGTAGGAGACCCCACGGGAGAAACTGTGTAGGCAACTGCCATACCTAACATCAAACCTGCGTTGAGAAGAGATGTGCCAAGGAGAAGATGTCGGCGGTTGAAGAAGCGAATAGCGGGGAAAGAGAGCATGTTTCCCGTGAGGGCGATGGCGAGAGATACCATTACCCACTTGAAAGGGGAGCCAATTCGAGCCTGAACGAAGAAGAAGACTGAGAAGGCTGAGATGAAGTAGATACCAGTACTGGCCTGGCCAACAGCTGTGGCAATGCTGAGAAGAGTGCGTCGCAAGTCGGTGCCACGGAACGCGTCGAGCAGCCGAGTGGTGGAACGCATCTCAGTCTCTTCAAGCCAGGCATTCTTCATAATCAAAATGTCCTCACGAATTCTCTCATCATCGGTCATGCCCCGTAGCTTTCGAATCGCAGCCTCGGCCTTATCGTCCTGACCCTTGGAGATGTAATACCGAGGAGTCTCTGGTAGGAATATCAACCCCACGGACATCATGACTGGAACGACAAACATGACCGCAAGAGGGATCTGGTACGAAAGGCGACTGAGCATGCTCTGAGTTCCGTTGTCGACAGCAATACCGACAAGAGCACCGATGTTGATCTGTAAGACAACCAAGCCGATAGCCGCACCTCGAAGGTACGCTGGTGTCGACTCGCCAATATAGATTGCCGAAAAGGTACTGTAGAAGCCGTTGGAGAATCCAAGCATGATACGACCGAAGTATAGTGCGGCGAGATGTGTGCTTCCCATTTGTGCAGCAACTGAGACGATGCCAAAGAGCGAAGCGATCCAGAGGCCGACTCGAGGGCTGATGAAACGACCAAAGTTGAAGATGAGGATACATGCTGCTAGGGCGCCGAGACTGATGAGACTTTGCAGGAGGGTCTGGACTTTAGTGGTGATGTTGTAGCCGATTGGGTTCGTGGGCTGTTCCGAGTACGGTCAGAGTTTTACATTCATTTGAGTTGCAAGGGAACTGGCTGGAGAATAGACTTACGTCAACATAGCCAAAGACGATGAGAAAGCCCGGCATGGATTGGAAGCCAGAAACAGCAGCTGAATCAAATCCATACTGGAACTGAGCCAAGGCGATGAAGAAGCAAATGGCGATCAATCGCTTCTCGCTCAATAGCGAATTGAGCTGACCCCTAGCAGAGGCCTGTTGTGCCTCCATGTCGGCAATGATTTCTTAGACAACAGAAGATGATGTGCAATCAAAAAGAGGACTTTGAATCTGTGTGATTGTCCTTGCATTGGAAGTGGAGAGGAAGGATCAGCGATATATCCTTTTATCAGCGTCGCACACGTTCTGGGCCCTGTTAGACGCGCTTCCCCAGATCTTTACCCCGCGATCTAACATTCGGCGCGATAACAAAATTCGGCTTGCCTTTATCAGAGGTGCATTCCCCAGCTTTACAAGGGTTAGTGGTGAATTTGGTGTCATCGGCGGTATGCATCCGACAAAACACAACAGCCGAACCGTCGAGGCCGATAATTTCCCCCCCTCAGTGGAGGCTGACAGCCACTCCCGAAGTAGCTAGTCTATAGGTATAAGACCTCCCTGAGATCCAATGGGCTTCAGAAGGTACCGATCAGTAGAGTGTTATTGTTTACTGTACATTCAGTTCCCTGTTCCTCAGCATACCAAATTGACGCGTCGCTAGCGATTTCACTGGCAGCATGGATACCGAAAGTGTCATGAAACAGCTTCAGGCTATGGAAGCCAAGATCGAAAAGCTCACAGGTAATATCCATCTCTGTGGTTTACTTTCTTTGACTAACGTTACGTGTTGCAGCTGAGGCAGAGGTACGAAAACTACAGCATATTTACGGATACTACCTTGACAAATGTCTTTACAAAGAGGTATGTATACCCTCCAGCCAATATGATCCCAGATTCCATATTACTAACACGATAAGGTGGTGGATCTCTTCTCAGACTCACCAGATGCATACGTGCAGTTCCTAAACGGCCGCTTCAGAGGTAAAGACTCCATCCGTCGACTTTTCATCGATCGTTGGTCCAATTACTTCGTCGGCGGCCGCAACGGCCCCATCCACGGCTGGCTTCTAGACCACTTCATCGGCCAAGACGTCGTCGACTTCCAGCCGGGCACAAACACCGCCAAGTACCGCGGCAGAACCCTCATGAGCGCCGGCACCCACAAGACGCTATCCCCCGAATACCCCGGCGGTCAGCGTCAATGGTGGGAGGGCGGCGTCTACGAGAACGAGTACATCAAGGAAGGCGGTGTGTGGAAGATCTTCCGGCTGCGGTACCATCCTTTCTGGCACGGGAGTGTTGAGAAGGGCTGGCAGGATGCTGATAAGTTTGTGCCCCTGTTTAAAGAGACGTACCCGGCGAATCCGCAGGGGCCGGATGAGCTGTGGGAGGGCGGGGATTTGTGGCCTGATACGAGGGTTGTGCCGTTTCATTATGTGCATCCTGTTACGGGGAGGCAGGTGGCGGATGAGGATTTGCAGGCGCCTAAGTGGAGGGAGCCGGCGAGTAGTGCGCCGCCTGCAAGGGTTATTAATGACTGGACTGTATGATAGGCATGCATTATATACGGTGGCTCCAGTAATACATACTTCACTTTATTCAAAGTGTTATCACAGTAACATAAATTATGCTATCAATACCGACAAATCGCATCGAACTCAGTAGAGCGTGGTTTAGGATGAATTTATGACCAAGTCGATATTGAGCAAACTCCACCATTCATGAATCGAACAACACTGGCTCATTCCATCAACAACTGCCAACCATTATTTCCTTTAATATACACACATGAATAAACTTTCAAGACTGCTTTGTCGCTTGTGTCGAGCGCCATCTCATCCAGCGCCATCTCCCATGCGAATGGCACAGCAAGGGAGGCAAAAAGACATTGGGACGTCTATCACAAGGGACATAGCGATATACGGTCTTGGGTCAACTTGGGATAATTTAGTAGAGATTATTAGCTATCTGATAAAATACTTTTGACACCTTGATTCGATGTCAAATGTTTTCTTACGCCTCAGGGCACACAGCGGTTACGCGTCTTTCATGTGTGATTCTAATTTGTTACCCATCGGGTCTACAAGACAACACATGCATATCGCCCTGGATAATATTGCCACCTACTCCGTACTTGCATTCGCTACCGAAGCGAGTATTTGGTGGCTTGAATAGCGATAAGCAGTGTGAGGTCCGGGCATCTACACTCCGAAGACGAAAGAGGGGCTGGGACCCGTGACCATGGCTTCGTGGTCATCGGATGTATGGCTCCGAACTTCAACAGCCAGCCACATCATTTCTCGGAGCAAGGGTCAACAACGCGGGGAAGAGAAAAGAGACGAACCCCAGGGCGCTGATCGGCAAAGAGCCCCCGTAGGATAGACATCGATCGGCTAATGTCACTCTTCAGGTGTCGTTGCCGCTTGGATGGAATATGGTGAACGGCATGAAAAGGAGGAATCTCAATGGCCATATCATAATTGATCCCGATTATCTACGCAATTGACAATAATCATCTATCTGTGACACTTTAACGATGAAGTCAGTACCGCTCTATGCTCTGGTAGCCTGTTGTTTGACTCTCGGATGGGTCATTCTAACCCTTGTCAAACTCATTCGTTCCCCCTTGCGACGAGTGCCTGGACCGCTTCTTGCACGGTTCACAAGACTATGGCTCCTCAAGGAAGCGTACTTTGGGACATACCCCAAAACCAGCATCGAGCTCCATAGAAAATATGGTCAGTTGGTCCCTTCGCTGTATCAACTCGGTCTGATAGTTCATCCTAGGGCCTATCGTACGCATTGCACCGAACGAGTACAGCATCGATGATCCTGCGGCAGCCAAGATCATCTATGGCGGTGGAAGGGGCTTCACAAAGGTCCGTCATGCACTGGCGTGATGCTATCGAAGTTAACTAACACGCTTGAGCAGTCTCCCTGGTATTACGCCAGCGGCAATCCTTTCAGTCCACTCCCCAACATCTTCGCCGAACCGAATCATCATATCCACGCCCAAGCCAGACGAAAGGTTGCAGCAGCTTACTCAATGACCAACTTGGTCCAGCTCGAACCCTTCATCGATAAATGCTCCGCTGTTCTTCGGGATAGATTGGAAGAGTTTGCTCGGTCTGGCACCGCTGTGGAAATATCACACTGGATGCAGTGCTATGCCTTTGACGTAATAGGCATGATGACGGTGAGACGCACAGTCGTTGTTACTCTGATGCGGCTGATCAAGTCTGATAGCTCGGTAAACGCTTCGGCTTCTTAGACACTGGTGAAGATATACAAGGGATCATGTCATCCCTGAGCCAGTACCTGATTTACTGTTCCAATGTCGGGGTGTTCCCGGAATGGCACAAGACTCTGTTCCGCCGACAAATGCGCTCAAAAACTGCATCAGGCCTAACTCATATTAGAGAATTTGCGGATGCTCAACTGGAAGAGAAGCGCGAGATGATCAAGGCAGATGATATCCCCTATCCCGAGGTAGCAGAGGATTTTGTCAACAAGTTCTTACGCCTCCAAGCCCAAGATCCAGCCAAAATCACCAACACTGACATCAGTTCTGTTTGCACTATGAATATTGGCGCTGGCTCTGACACAACATCTATTAGTTTGACTTCAATCATCTTTAATCTAGTCAAGCACCCAAGAGCTCTTCAGCAACTCCGTGCTGAGATCGAACAGCACGAGAGTCAAGGGACAATATCAGATCCCATCAGATTCGCCGAAGCCAATCAACTTCCCTATCTCCAAGCCGTCATCAAAGAAGGTCTCCGAATGCATCCTGCCACTGGCCTCAGTCTGGGACGGGTCGTTCCACAAGCTGGTGCGACTTTGGCAGGACAATACTTTCCTGCAGGGGTATGTACTGCTACTTATCAATAATAATACATGATGTAGTCTAACCATGATAGACTGTCGTTGGCGTCAATGCTTGGGTAGCCCATGCCAATACCAAAGTATTTGGCCATGATGCTCACGTATTCCGACCCGAGAGGTGGCTCGATTACCCAGAGCTTGTCAAAGAACGTGAAGCATATTTCATGACAGTAAGTGATACCCTCAAACTACCTCGAAGTACTCTATTCTGACTCCCTACTTCAAAGTTCGGTCAAGGCTCTCGCACGTGTCTGGGCAAGAACATCAGCCTTATGGAGCTTTCTAAAGCTGTTCCGCAAATAATTCGACACTTTGACTTTGCTCCAGATACGGAGTCTGGAGACCCCGAATACGCTACGGAGAATGTTTGGTTTGTAAAGATTAGGGAGTTTTATTGCAAGGTTTATAGTAGACACACCTAGTGATAGTACAATTAATAGTCTTGAGGGACTCTATAGTCTTGAAAAATTACATTTACAAAATTGCCTTGTATTCCATCCGTTATTCCTCGAGCTATTTTCGTAGCGACTTGTCACGGCCGTACTGAACGGTCATTCTATCGAATCGCCGACGTACAAAGGGAAAAGCAACAGAGCCCACAAATGACATGAACACATCGTAAAGAGTGCTATCGCGCGGGCTTGGGCCTCGCATGTTGTTCAATGTCAGGTCAGTCGTCATGTCCGTTGTGATGATGTACCGCCCTTTCCTGATACCTCTAAAGATCTTTGCGGCTATGTCTTCGGCACTCTGTATGTTTTTGAGCAGTTCCTCCGTGTCCGAGTAGTTTGAACCTTCCATGTTCTTGAGAAGCTCTGGTTTAGTCGCCTGCTCCATCATGAAGGAATCCGTGATGAAAGCCCCCGGAAAGGCAATGTGCACACGATACATGCTCTCGTCACCGTATAGGAGCAGCTCTTGGCGGAGAGTGTCTGCTAATGCTCGTACGGCAGTCTTTGGAGGTGTATAAGCGGTGTAGCCTGGGAGAGCAACAAAAGCAGCGCCGGATGCGATATATACCAAACGTCTGGTGCGACTTGGGTCCGGCTGTTCAATCCAACGCTGCACACACCACTGTGTGATAAAGAGGGAAGCATGATAATTAGACGAAAAGCAAGTGGCGAGTGATTCTGGTGCAAGGTCTGCAAGAAAACCTATCTGATCTGGAGTAGTGCCACCAACGCTACAGATCAGCAAGTCTGGCGTGGCATTGTGCTCTGACATGGCATTTCTTAGCTATATGATTGATTAGCTTAGGCTGCCAACTATGTATAGATTTTCTTGTCTTCCTCACAGCAGCGTGATCGCCGAGATCAACAGAAAGGGTGTGAACAGTCTGTTCTTCTGATAGACGGGCGGCCATGATTTCTCCCTTGGCCTCCTCGAGGGTCTTCGGGTTCCGAGCAAGAATGACGATGCTAGCCCCTAGCAGTGATCATATCAGAATAAACCGACTACTGGGCTTGCAGTACTCAGGAACTCTTACCTTTTTTCGCAACCTCTACCGCCATGATCTTGCCCAGACCTCGAGATCCGCCTGCGATACATACCGTCTATGATGGATTTAATGCCCTCGCTTCTTCTAGTCGTTAACAATGGGTGCATACCTGGCCAACCAATGTATCTTGGCGTGCCATTTTAGAAGTGTTTATTGCCGTTGTTCCAAACTGGACATTCTCATATATGGAAATCGAATGGCAGATTGGCAAAGAGTACTGATAAATAGCCACATAGCCGGTACTGGATGCATAGCTCGGTCCCCCGCGGATCGGACCAAGGTGGACCTCATTGGTTGATCAAGCACGGGGCTAGGAAAGTCGGCTCCCTCGGGTCCCGGCCCTGTCAACTCTTAAACTCTCGTTGAGGCCGGGGGAGGGACCGGGGGATCCTCACCTCAATACTACAACATACTACCATAAATAAAGGGTAAGTAAGAATAAACCTTAAAAGCTGTTCTATAAGTAGTTTAAAACTTTGGCCTTACTCTAGATACAGACTCTAGAAAACCCTATCACGCAGAACAGTTAGTTTATCAAGATTATAGAGTTTTATTACAAGGCCTACAGTAGACATAGGTAGTGATAATACATGACAGCTATTCTTGGAGGACTGTTGATCAAGCACGATGATCGTTATGATGGCCCAAAAGGGAAGATGGAAGAGATGTCCATTAGATTATCCAGGAATCCATTGTCGACAACGATATCTGCCATATCGAGCTCGTTCAACCACGTCATCGCTAGTTGATCCGTGCTCTGGTCAAGGCTAATTCTGTGCACCTATTAATATCACTTCACGGAAGTTTAATAAACTACTACGTACCGTTGCAAGGGCTCGGTCACCATCTGAGGGTACCCTAAAGGCTCGGAGGGCTGTAAAGCGATATTTGATGTATCTTCAACACCCTCAGCAAGTCCACACTGCTGCAACTGGAATAATGTCTCTGGAATCAGATGCTTTGGGTATCCAGATACGCTAATAGCCAGTAGTATCCGGAGACATTGCTTTGCCCGAGCTTGATGGCCATCCATGTGGTATAGGCCGCAAGCAGCGTGGATGACTTGAAGTGCTTGTAAGGCGAACAGATAGTCAGCCATTACCAAGCTGGAAGCTACTTTGTGAAGGACCATGCTCTCCAGGATCTCAAATGTTGACTCAGCTGCAGATACGCAGGTCTTGGCAAGTGTAGCGAATATGGGTTGCTTAACTGTCTCAACGTGCTCGATACCTTGTAACAGATTGCACAGAAGGAAGGGTTTGGTGACGAGCATCATGGTGCTCCAGTAGCGAAGATGTAGGAGAGATATAGATCTTCTGTAGGACAATGATACTGAGGTCGATAGATGAAGGTGAGCCGGTACGTGATCTAGCCAGGCTTGCAGTGCACTGATTGAATCGTTGATGTGAGTCCTCGACAGCTTTTGTCCGCCATGGACAGGCCCATCGTAGAGGTTCTGCCGGATACTTTGAGTTATTTGAGCGAGACGTATACACTGTTCAAGGTATCCGTTTGGTGTATGAGAACCTGGACTGACAACCTGAGAGCTGTTAGAAAGAGTTTCCGGGGCGTGTTTATACCAAGTACCTACGAATTCTGACGGCAGAGGCGGCTTCCAAGAAATCTCATTCGGTGGACTATTCATGCTTGGCTTTCCGAGGGCAAGAGATAGATCTTGATCAACGAGGTACAACGTCCACCAAAGACGTCTTGCATGCGCTTGGCTTACCACGCCGCTCTTGGTGGAGTATTTGTCCAGATGCAAACCTAAGGAGAAGGCGATGCGAACTGCGAGTCCAATGTGAAGATACGCTGAGTTGGTGAAGCCGTTGGATTGGAAGGCTAAGGACTAGAGATAATTAATCGCGTAAGTAATTGTATTAGCGATTATGAAACAGAGAGGGACTCACCAGCACTATCAAAGCTCTAACACTGTCCAGGTCTGCCTCATCACAAACCCTCGTCACAAGAGACTTAGCCATCTCCAATGAGTCATGCGCCCTCTGTCCGTTGACCAACCCATTAGGCGATGGCTCACACGAAGCGCACAACGCCACTATCCCATGAAGTGAACAAAGCCATGAAGCATTCATTTGCCCATTATCACCCGAGTACGTCGTCTCAAGTCGGGTATAGAATGATTCGGCAGAGTATATCCAGTACAAGCAGTGGACCTGCTCAAAGAAGCGAGCTGCACAAGCGGACAGCAAATCTTGGCACGGGAATTGGCATGGATTCCCAGGTGAAGATGCGACATCCGTTAAGGGAGATTTGACTGATGGTGGGCTGACTTTGAGCATTCCGGGTATCTTGTCCTTGTCCTTCTCTTTGCTTCTTGTCCCTGCACCCATTCTGAGCATCCATGACCGTACGGCGCTGTTGAAGCTGGCACCCGACTCAGCTCCCATGTAACCTGCACATGTCAGAAATGGGCACAGGCGGCGTGTAGCTAGGGAACTTACGGTACTCCCCATGGGCATCGGCTAGCAGACATCCCAGGTCATGGTGCAGATTGACAATCTCTGGCAACAATATCTCTTCCTCTTGACTTTCCTCTACATCATGTAGCAAAGCCTCTCCTTGATCTAGAGTTTCATCTCCACAATCTATGAGTGGTGCATCTGCCGACACTTCGATAAGAGACATCGTAGGTGTTGCAATATCACTCTGGGTTTTGAAGGCCGGCTTTTTATTCTCGTCAATCAATCGTCGCAAGTTCGGTATCGTCAGCTCTTCATCCGGGAAGCAGTTACTGCACAGCTCACGCAGCAGACGATATTCCTCTTCAGAAACGAAGTAGAAGGGCTTCTGCCGCCGCTTCTCCATATCCACTGAGCAAACCTCATCAATGCTGCGGCAGTAATCGCAAGGGCCATCGGCATCTTGACTCTGCGTCAGTCTCCCCTCATCCAAGCGCTGCAGTCGACGTACCAGGTTTATTGCACTTGGAGAAACGGTTAGTAAGACGTACAATGCGATATACTCAGGGACAGTTACCTTTGTCTTCCTTGACTTGCAGCGATCGCAGCTGATGGCCGTCCGACTGACCCTCGATTTCTTGGTGACTTTGGAGCTTCGCGTCGACATGATGTTTTTCACACCGTGGCCTAACTATGGGACAGTGAGCAGAGGTAGATGCTGTCGAGAACAGTCGCGACTTGGGAGAAACGAGGTTCGCCGGGTTCTCCACTACCCCAGACTCCAGATCGCCACGTTTGCGGGGGTGACGAGCTCTGCAACGAGCAGGTATTGGCTAATCGGTTAGGCTTAATTGAGCCCCTTATCGAAGGACCAGGGCTTCCCCGCACCTGGCCTATCATACCAGCTGGGTTTCAACTCACTAGCGATGCCACAAGCACACAGCTTATCGCTTTGGGTATGGCCAAAACGCGGGGAAGGCTGAGCTCGGCATGAAATAGCGGCAATTGCATGCGATTACCAATTCCAGCTCCAACTTTGAGCGGAACCGCTCTATAACCTTGAGGAAGCTCTGGTCCGGAACGGTTTTAGTAAGCACATTAACATCCCTAATACTGAGTTCAATCACAAGTTAATGCTGGTCGACACAACCTTGCCAACCTCTGATTCAGATATCACATCGCAAATTCTGACCTTCACGTCCTCCACCTCCAGTATCCTATTATAATGATTATGATACTCCCGCCTAGCGGCGTGACCTGAATACACCGTGAGTCTCTCGTCATCCCAATATCGCTGTTAAAGAAATCAGGGACCTTGATGAAGCACCGGATAGCGACGTTAGTAACCGTGCAGCCAAGAAGTACGAGCATCGACAGCATCACCATGGCAAACTACCCCATGGAGAGGACGTAGACATCAGCCTCCCCAGTAACACTTTCGATGAAATATGGCCGTTAAGTTCCCCAGGATGCGACCTCCTGGAGTATGCCGAAACCGCTCCACCCGGCAGTCCAGACTGTCCGACGCGGCGAGCTTTGTGCAGGCTACGTCAGCCTTTGGGTACGAGGTGCTGATCTTGCATGTCCGAAGTATACATGCGGAATCCTTGAGTTCGCTGCTAAAGAGGGCCTCGACGACAAGCTCAAGCTTAGATGTCGGCTGCCTGATCTGTTCTAAACCTTGCCAGTGGGTGTTGTGTTCACTGATGACGTGACAGGAATTCGCAATGTCAATAAAAATGTTTGGCTTGGCCTCATTTAGGTTTTCCTGACCTTCTTACAAATGAGAGGCTTTGGCCCCTTTCCTGGTGCTATGCAAGGACAACTTTTCAGAGCCTTCTTTCGCCCAGTCCATTCCGTTGAATTCTTCCCCGCAGGACAACTGATAATGCCACTGGATTACCATAGCAGAGTTACCAACTCCAACGGTTGATCCGCCACGGACAGGTACCCCGACCAGCGACATCCACGGTACGGCACAATCTGAGAGGACTGTAACCCAGCCGTGAGGCTTCTCAGAGCTCTATCTCGGGGGTAGCTGTAGGTAAACGACACGCACGTTCTACCAAAGGTCTTTGCGGCCGAGTCGGCTAACTCCCTCTTTGCCAGCGAAGGAATAGGCAATAGCGGTGAAGTCGATGCTTGAGTAGTTGCAGTAGGATACGGATTTGTCCGGAGATGAAAAAGATGCCACGACTATTATCCTCATGCCAGATATGAGCGAGCCCTACGCCGAACCTCCCTAGAGAGCCCCCGCGTCGTCGCTCGACTAGTGGCTTTAATAGAAGCGGGCAATGTCTGAGACGTTGCTCCTGAGATAATGAGTTGCTCGGATATCATGGGCAGTGGAGTTTGGTCGCAGGTGTAACGACCGTAGGACGACCTGGCTTCCCAGAGAGCTGAGGCAACTTAATACACCAATGCCGATTGTCCAAATGCTCAGGTGCTGCCTCACGATGAGGTTCCCCAACGCGGCGAAGGTGGTCTGACTCGACAGGAGAAACTCAAGTAAACCTAATTTAGTCCCTCTTTCGGCGCTGTGGAGGGCGAGGGTCTTGAGTGTTGACCCCAAGACAGCTGCAAGCGACAGAAGTTATAGCATCGAGGTGATCTGCAGAACCTCTAAGTTCTCTCTGCTGATTTAATCTCTCAGTCACCGGTCTGAACTGTAAAAGCACAAACAAGGGTCATGCAGCGCCGTCCAAGGGCGCATAGGACAGAGATAAACAGGGGTCGTTACAAGGTTGTGTCAAGCGGCTGAACGCTGTCATGCGACACAGTAGCTTATCTGGTGAGCAGCCTTACGAAGTGGCCCGATGACCATTTTCGTTCCAATATAAGGAGAATGTAACGCTAGAGGAAAGTGATAACAGAATTGAGGAACAAAAACGCCCACTATAGCCCCTGGTGATGGTGACTCAACCCTGTAGCCCTATCACGCGGCCCAGTTGCTTGTTTAGCAATGAAGCTAGTAGTGTTGGATATGCTTTTGGGGAGTAATAAAAGGTAATTGTCATTGACCTCGACGGCAAATGTATTAACTTAAGTGTATCAGCAATTCTAACATTAATAATACTAGAGATATTCAAAAGTGATGCAATACTATTCTTGTCAAAAGTGGGTGATAAACCTGTGCCCGGGCTGGATATGAGTGGTTCTTCATTTACCATGTCTCGAGATGTCCGTCGGTGCATAGTTAGCCCGACATTATTCCATAAATGGATTGAAATATCAGCTGTCACGGTTGTTCATTCCATTATGGAGAGTCCCAGCCTGATGAGGTCGATACATTGATCCAGCAGACCCAGGCCTCAATACCGCCTCGTGTAGTTTATTCCTGCCGGTTCCAAACCATCCAAGACCTGGATCATCTCTAATAGGTGCAGATAGACTCCATCGCCCCGATATATATAGCTAATTATCTTAGCATGGCGGCATTTAGTAGAGTGTCTAGGTTGTGACTAACACCAGACTTTCGGTCTGTCACATTCTACATAAGCAACGGCGATAGTGTGCTGACGGATTTGGCTAAATATGGCAATACCAGCTTTTGAGCACAAGTCGCAATAACTGTCATCTTAACCATTAAACAATTAAGATGCCCTCTGTGTCAATGCTTTGTCTTCTGACTGTCTTTAGTGCAGTTGGCAAGTTAAATTGGCGCATCAGCTCAGGGATTGGCCCCCAATGTACAACCCCAGAGGTCACATTTCGAGCCAGGGTAGCGCTTCTTGCCGGTCTTTGAATGGCTGGTTCGCGAGTGGCTGGCTTGAATGGTACAGCGCAGCGGCCATCAATGCTACAGTACCCGGACCGTCAGATGTCACTTCTGAGCGATTTTATTAAGCATTTAGCCTTAAGTAGGTTTGGACAATACATGACTGGTCTCTTGATCACATTTTGGTGGAAATACTGGCTATATCACTTTTTCTTTTTTTCACTAGAGAGAAGGGATCCATGCTTGCTTATTTATATGCTTTTAACAAAATTCCCTATAGTGGTGCTAAGATTAAGCAAATACACAGAGGGGGTTGGGCAGAAGGAGGGTAGGGCTTAGCTCAACAGCCTGTCACAATCCGACACAATGCAGTAATCCGTCACCTCATACCCCTGCATCCTGTCAGCCCACTATTTTCGTTGCTTACATGGGATGTGACAGAAGAAAAGTTCGGGCTGTCCCATAATAGCCCTATTTAACTCCCGGGCAGGTTCTTAACTATATTTCAAGGCCCTTTCTTTTGTTGTCCTCTTTACAGCCTTTATCCTCTCGTCTTGTGCCAGTCTCCCTACATCTTGCAAATATCCTATGGCAGTTATTCGCAATGCATTACTCCAAGGTACTGAGCCTTCTGGCTGCCTACAGCCTATACTTCTCTATCGCCGCTGCGGGTCTCAGCCGTTCCCGTTCGCAATTTAAAACCTTCTTCCCGACGGTAGAAGAACACGATAAGTGGAAGTTCCACGCAAATTGCTCCGACCAGTTTACAGACTACTGGAACGAGAGCAAAGAGGATCCAGGCAGGGGCCACGAGTGGTCCAGAAACCTCTTGGAATGCATCCTGGAGGAATATGGAGAGGCCAACAAGGCCAACATGGCTGTGACGGGCATTCTTCTGGCGCTTCTACCTGCAGGCCTCGTCCAGTTCGGGCCAGGCCTAGCTGAGATCAGCCTCCTGAGCACCCGGAGACCAATTCTCGCCACGCTACTTGGCTTTGGATTGCTGTCACCAAGCCCAACCGAGTTCGACTTTGAGAACATTGTCAACAAAGCAGTGAACGGCGGTGAAGCGCTCATACCGATAAGGGCTCTGAATGGAGACGGGACACCCTTTCTTGCTAAGATTCTTGTGTCTGTTATTGAGTATGGCATCGCGATGGCGGCAACGGCAAACTACTTCTACCACCTCTTCCGGTTCACCTATCACGCCGTGCCCCTGGCCCCGTTAGTTGTCTACATTCCAGGCATACCAGAAACCGCGACTCTTTTTGGATGGGGCTTTTTGAACTTGCCAATCTTTCTACTTGCTTTTGTCGTCTCCGCCAAGACCGTGGGGTTGATTACCTCCAGATCGGATAATGACAACAAGAGAAACGTCGTAGCCAGGTTCATCGTTGCTGAGCTGACTCCCTGTGGTCAAGGCCCAAAGCTTAAGGAGATTCAGACTCCAGAGTGTCCAAGAACCTTGCCACGTCTTCTTGGCCCCGTCGTCCGACTAGTCGCCGGACTTCACATCATAACCGGCACTGTTCTTATTGGCAGCATTGTTCTCATCCCCTTAGGCGACTCTCTTCCGGTTATCTACGCCTTTATATTCGCGGCTATATGTACTCGGGCTATACTGAGCTACGAGTTGAACGGTCTGGCGCTGAGGGCAGAACGAAAGGAGGGAAGGACAAAGAACGACACACGTTGCCCTGAATCACAAGATTACACCAGTGTAAGCCAGGTTGATTCTAGTGTAAAAGCAGCTTAGAACCGAGTGGGTTAGGCACTGAACTGTACTAATCGCCGCCATTGTCCCTTGTCGCGTCAGGCTCAAAGTAAGGTCTCAATAGCTCCAACGAGTCACCAAATAGAGACTCTTGTACCCGTGCCCATTTGATCTGCTTCTCGATCTCGTTCATGTCATAATGCTTCATCAAGCTCGCCAGAATGGTTTCGTGACCTTCCTCGGCAGCGACCGTAATGGCATCCCAAATATGCTCTTGTCGGACACCCCTCAACGTAAAGCTCGCCTCCAGAAATAGCTCGACAGTCCGGTGGCGGTCCTGCCTGGCAGCGATGACAAGAGGTCGCTCATCCGACCATTGATCCATAAAGACGTCCGCGCCGTTCTTGACGAGCATTTCCAGTAATCTATCGTTATCCTCAAAGTCATCGGGCTCACACCCGCTCAGCGCAGAGAGAAGAACACGATCATCCATGTTGGGATCTGCTCCTCGCTCGAGCAGCAACTTCACAACATCGTCATGGCCACTCTCCGCCGCCCAACTCATCGCAGTCAAGTATTGCGTCTCGTCTTGCGCGTTGGGGTCCGCGCCGGCATCGAGAAGGCGTTCTACGATGCCTACGTGTCCAAGCATAGCCGCGTGCAAAAGCGCCGTAAACTCGTCGTTATCCCTCGCATCTGGGTCAGCTCCATGCTTCAGCAGCAGAGCCACAACTTCGTCATGGCCACGTTCGGCCGCGACCATCAGAGGAGTCCATCCCTCGTCATCCGCCAAGTCGACATCCGCGCCATTATCGAGCAGAAGCGACATTATCTTGATGTTTCCGCCGAGAGAGGCGCGGCAAAGTAGCGTCTGTCCCTTCTCATCCTGTTTGTCCATAGAAGCACCCTGACGCAACAGGCTTGCCACTATCTGCTGAAACCCAAGCTCGGTCGAGTGAGAAAGTGATGTCTGCTCGTCACCGTCCCGGAAATGTGCGTTGACGGCTTTTTCTAAGAGTTCCTCAACGATATCCAGACGCGCTTCCTTTAGGGCTTCCAGAAGAGCTATTTCAAGATAGAGCTCTCCATATGGGTTTGGCCAGTTCAGCCTCAGGTAAACCATGGCATCTTCCAAGGGACTGAGGCTTGGCTGCTCTGACTGTTCTTTTGTTGGTATAGGCTGCCAGAAAGGTACTTCCGGATAAAGGCCCTTGTATTGGTTCACGTCCAGCTTCAGACGGGAAATGGCATCCTCCAGGGAACTGAGGTCACCATGCCCCGATTGTTCTGTTGGTTGCATGGTGTTTTGATACGTCTTGGTAGAGTCGAATAGTCTCTTAATTGTTCCTTGAGCAAGATTCTCTCTATTTGAAGTTTCTGAACTGTGTTTGGACCATGTCCATACCTTGCAGGTGCCTGGCTATGACCCACATAGTCGGATGTCGCCGGTGCTCACGGACGCCGTGCCATACTATATTTGACAAGTCAGAGGAGTCGTCCCACCAGATAAAAGACCGGTATCGCCAAAACAAGGTAGAAATACGATGATCTTCGAGCTAAGTCTGCTCTGCCTAAAGTTTGTTTTCGCCCAGAGTTGAACGCTGATGTCTATCAAGAACACGGTAAGATCCCAATATGGCAAGTCGTCATTTACTTGAAGTTTCATTTCATTTATCCTCCACTACTGATATCATAATAAGTGGCAACCACAACTAACATGACCCTTTTCTCTGACTGGAGCCGGCTCCTTAGTCAGGCGCGACATTCCCTTGACCATCATCTTCTCAGTGTAGTTAAGAACTCAAACCAACTGAGTGTTGCTATCTGTTTTGACAAGCCTGGCGCGCATATTCGCTGCATCCCTAGTGAACCAACCGGCGACAATTATCATTCCCACAATGGCCAGCTGCAGGGAAAAAGTGACAAATCTCATGGCAAAGCAGCCCGTGGTAGGATGCAAGATGGCGATGTGCGTAAATGAGTAAATAAGGTCGTAATTCATGCGGATCAACTGAAGGACTGTGGCAGGCGCAGCAGCCATCATCAGCACTTCAGCAGACCGATAGCTTATATCTTGTCGCGCATAGTAGATGTGCTTGCCGGCAGGGTATAGCCAGATCAGAGTGCCTATCATGACAAGAAACATGATGATGTTTCCCGTCTTGTCCATGGCGTCGTTGTTTACGTTTTCCGGCATCGATGTATTTCTCGTTCCGCCGTATGCTGCTACGATCGTGCCGATGGCATATATAACATTCATGGCGACCATGACTATCCGGTTTCGTTGGCGTTTATATGGGAACAGCGGGAGTTTTAGACTAGAGCAATATTAGTCCCCATCTAAGACATTGGGGGACATAGATGTTCACATACGCTTCATAGATCAAGCCTATAATAGCCGCTGATAAAGTACCGGTGCTGGCAGCAGCGGCCACCATGGCATATGCAGTCGGAATGTCAGGTTCGTTACGCCGTGATAGGTAATAAATCTCCGAACTGATCCGAAAGATAAAAAAGAACATAAACGGTGGAAACCACGACTTGCCAATCTCTCGGTGTTTATACGCCACATATACCGCTGGGAATAACAGGGAAACGAATACAATAACGATTGTAGCGGAGAGACCGATGCATGCTGTCGTGGGAGGGCTGGGGGGTTGAGAACTGGAAGTCGACATAATGACTTGGTAAAGACTCTGTAAGTGTAAGAACCGCTCGATATTTTGTTGTCAATTTGATAGAATGCCAGAACCAACTCAAATATTTATCACCTACAAGAGCCGTACATATCGACCATACAATCCTTCTGCCCAGCCCCCTATCCCAGAAAAAAAGGGCTGAGCCAAAACAAAGACCAAAACCCCAGTGAAACCGAGTCAGTTTCTGTGCCAACAGAACAGTGCCCAGCATCGCCTTACAACTTTAAACGCTTCAACCGCCGGGGAGACGTCAGCAAGCGTTCCGCCATCCAGGGCCCTTGACCTATCAGCTCGATCGACGTGCTTTGGATAGGACATATAAAGAAACACAATGCGTAATCGTGAGGCGCGGCGGGCCCTGCAAAACCGTGTGGAGCCGAGTCCCGAAAGATAGATGCAGATCGTTGTGACTAAGCGGGAGAACTTGCACTACCATTTACTTCCGGCCGGCGCTCGGCAGAGCTCGCGGCAGAGCTCGCTCGCTTATAATAGATCTTATCTCGTATATGGTGAATCCTGCCCTGGTTTCAGCGGCATAATAAACTTTAAAGACGGAGGATATTGGCTTTTGTCCCTTTTGACAGGGCTTCGCTTGAGGTTTAATATAGCATCGCGTGCCTGGCCTTGCCTACCTGTGTTGCGATCTGCGACCCAACCGCTTTCATCACTTTTTAAGCCACCTCATGCTTGTGGATCCCAGTGATGTGACAGTCGACCAGTATTTGTTTACATGCACTAAGTTATTTGCAAAGAGCAATCTTGAGTTGCGGCGTGGACCTACAAGCATTGGGTGGCTTCAGCCAGCTCAACATAACAGTCCTTCTCCAAAACACACTTCGGGCGGTGTACACTACCCACACAGTCTTCATATAAAACTCAAGGTGAAATGTCTGTGACAGGTTTCATCAAGAGTTTGTCTTGGATCCTTTATGGCTTCCCTTCCAGCTGAAGACTCCGCCCGAAACAGAGTTTCCTCCCAAACGGATTCTGCATTAGCTCTGCAGATCTAAAACAGCCCTTCCCGCAAGACTCCCACTTTCCATCTCCCTAAAGACCTCTGTCAACTCACTCAGCTTCCTCGTCTGATAGTGCACAGTAATGACTCCCCTCGCTGCCAAGTTCAGCACATCGATCGCGTCCTGGCGATTCCCTAGTATCGATCCAACAATCTTCAGCTGTTTCTGAACGATAGGGCCAGGCATGGCGCTTGCAATAGAAACAGGTGCTCCTCCGGGCATTCCAACGCCCACCAGAGTCCCTCCAGGCCTCAGAAGTTCGAGGCCTTGAGAGTATGCTGCGTTGCTGGATGCACATACGACTACTGCATTGGCGCCGAGATTGTCGGTGAGCTTCTTGACCTGGGAGACCAGATCCTCGCCGGGTGTCGCAGCATCAATAAATGTCTCTGCTCCGCTCTCCCTCACAACATCTTCCTTACTTCCTTGATCGATACCAATAACACGATACCCGAAAGCCTTTGCTGCTATCTGCGTGACAAGATGTCCCAAACCACCTCCAGCTCCCGAAACAACAACCCAATCGCCTGGACTGGCAGTCACTTTACGCAGCGCCGCGTACGAGGTCAGTCCTGCGCAGAGCATTGGTGCCGCTACTTCAGAGGTCACGCCGTTAGGAATAGGCGTCAGATATCGAGCTGGTACAGTGAGATATTGCTGGAATGTCCCGGGGTTGAACATGCCAGACACAGACTGTTTGGCACAGAGACCATCCTCTCCAGCGATGCAGTATACTCGAAACCAGTCAGCTAACTGTGTAAGTGGGAGCGAGGTCACATACCGCAGCTACCGCAGATATCCCTTAGCCATTTCACTCCGACTCGATCCCCAATCGCGAAGCCGTGTATATCTGCGCCCTCTCCAATCTGAACAACTGTTCCGACACCCTCGTGGCCACCAATTTGGGCTACATCCATTATGTCAGAGAGGTCCACTCGTAAGTTGAGAATGAGACTCACTATCAGGAAGCGAAAAGGGCATTCCCCAAGAGTTCTTCATGATGGAAAGGTCGGAGTGGCAGACGCCCGAGTGAGAACTTTTTACTGTTAGGTAGTGTCCCTGTCTCACAGTGTCGACAGACTTACAGTCTTACCAACACTTCTCCTGCTGATAGGCTGGGAGTCTCAATTTCTACCACCTTGGTGCTGAGTTCACCAGGCTTGTCGTAGACGGCAGCCTGGTGACACGACGGAGTGTTGTTGACGATTGCCATGGTAAGGTATGATGAGTATGAACAATTTCAGAAGATGCAGAGAAGTCTAGTCAGATTGGCAGTTAGCTGTTACTAAAAAGCTCATATAGCATAATATCTATCGATAAATGATGTTTTCTTGCTAGCTACAAAAGCACTACTGTTGAGCTCCCTTCGGCTCCATCCGACAAAGCCGACGGAGTCTCGCCGAGTCGGAAGTATTGAAGCGATGGCTCAAGACAACCCAATTTCCCCGCTTCTCAGTACTCCAACGGAAGTTTGAACAACTTTATAGCGTTAGTCCTTCCAACTTGCTCTTTCGCGTCAGCATCCAAGTCCACAGCCCTCCACCACGCCTGCGCTTCCTCAATATCATCATACGGAGTATCTACCCAGAAATTAGCATCACTCTGCAATCGTTCTCATTTTGAGATTTATTACCTATAGAGTACATGCATCTGTCGAGTCCAATTGTCTCGATGCAGAGCTTCAGGCCGGGAGTGAAGAAGTTTCCTGAAGTCGTGATGTAGACATTGTGCTTGAAGTAGTAATTATAGTCCTCCTTTGACGGGCGCGTGGCCTTTTTGCTTGGCTTGTTGTACCAGTGGCTGGCTCTCCAGAGATTGAGAGGGATGCTGTGCCCCAGCGTCAGTAAAAGGCTGCAGCTAGTGAACGTGTTCATACTTCTCTCCCAAATGCCCAGCGACAACCTTGGCGCCTGAGAATCTGTCAAAAACTCCTTTGATGTGGTCAGTGTCTGAAATTGTAAAATTGAATTGCGATATCTCACCAGACGAGCAAAGCGCGTAGATATGGTATGAAAGATCCAGATGGAACTGGACAGCTGCACCTTGAAGATGAGGCCGATCTCCATACAGCGATCCAGGCTGAAGGTCTTTGATCGACACGTATCTCGGATGCAAATAAATCGGAACATCCAGCTCTTCAACCTTCTTCCAGAACGGATCATACTTGGCGGTGTCAAAGTACTCTCGTCCTGATCCTCCCTCGACGCTCTGATAATCATTCACGAGTCCACCAAAGAATCCCAGTTTTTTGACAGCTCTTTCAAGCTCTTGCGCCGCTTCTTCGGGGTCATGCATCGAGAGAGCTGCGAGACCGCCGAATCTCTCTGGCCTTTTCGCGACCTCGCTTGCCAGCCAGTCATTGGCTTCTTTGGCTGTTTTCTCTGCAAGTTTAGGGTCCGTTATGCCCTGGCATCCTGGTGCGGTCAATGACAAGAGCATGTATTCGACACCTTCCGCATCCATGGTCGCGAGGCGCGTGTCGTGAATGTCAAGCAGCTTTGCAGCGTGCGCTTCGAGAGCCTTGTTGCTGCTGTCGCCAGGGTTGAGAATTGAAAAGGTTTCTTCGAGGAGCCATTTTGTTGATGGCGTAATGATAGCCTCTTCCACGGCGATGGTACCTCGCTTTGGCATTTTGGTATATGAAAGTGAATAATGGGGGGAATGTTTAGGTGATGACAGTGGACGTACGACTTTTTGCGACTAAGAGTTGTCGCAAGGATCGGAGATCAACACACAAAGTTCAGATCAGACCACACTTCAATTGTTGGGCAATAAATTAGCAATTTACTTTATCTCATAAATACAAGGTCACCATCAAGGTAACAGACTCTCCGTAGACTACCCCTTCAGTGCATCTGCAGAATTCATCGCCTGAAACTACCCTGTACTGAGCCGAAGACGCAGCCGGAAATAGACGAAATGGAGGGGCTGTCGTGAGGGGCCATCGGCGAGATGCTTCCGATAAAGGTCTCCACTTTAGAGCCTACACAACGGAGGCCTAGAAGTGGAGACGGCCCAGTATGATCCGATGCCAGATGCTACAAATCGAGGGCTATCTATAGAGGTTAAGACAAATAATTAATGAATCGAGCCTACGGTACTCATTGTTTTTGATTGCTCCTGAAATTCATGTTGTGCTAGTTAATTCATTCTCTTATCTCTTATCTGTTATCTTATCTCAAGATACAATGGCCCACATTTTCGATGTTGCGCCTCTTATCGATACCGGATATATAGACGGGAAAAAGCTCGGCAACCAAGTCAGGTATCCAGACACTGGAACATTTAGCGGCTTTAACAAGCCATTCCGCTTAGAGGGCGATATCTTTGATCTCGAAGTATCAGGAACTATTCCACCCGAGATCAATGGCACTTTCTACCGAGTCCAACCAGATCATCGCTTTCCTCCCGTCTTTGAAGATGACATCCATTTCAACGGAGACGGCAATATCACTGCCATTCGCATCCAAAATGGCCATGCAGACTATAAGCAGCGATATGTCAGAACAGACAGGTTCTTGGCAGAGACGAAGGAGAGGAGAAGTCTGTTTGGAAGGTATCGCAATCCATTCACGGATTCAGAGCTCGTCAAGTCAGTCATCAGAACGTCTGCCAACACCAACATAACCTTCTGGCGAGGAATGCTTCTGGCTTCCAAAGAAGATGGCCCTCCATATGCCATGGATCCCGTCACTCTGGAAACCATCGGGCGATATGACTTTGAAGGACAGATCCAGTCGCCAACAATGACAGCTCATCCCAAGTTTGACCCTGAAACTGGTGAGATGATCTGTTTTGCCTACGAGGCCGGCGGAAACGGAAACGATGGATCGCGTCAGATCGCTGTCTGGACAATCGATGCCAATGGCGTGAAGACAGAAGAAGCGTGGTACGAAGCTCCCTTCTGCGGTATGATCCACGACTGCGGCATAAGCAAGAACTACATCGTTCTTCCCATGACACCTCTGAAGTGTAACCCAGATCGTCTTCAAAAGGGCGGAAATCACTGGGCGTGGGACCCGAAAGAAGATCAGTGGTACGGCGTAGTCCCGCGGCGAAATGGAAAGCCCGAGGATATTATCTGGTTCCGGTCTGATAACGGTGAGTCAATTCGGCAATATGATAAGGTGCTTACTGACATGCAGTCAGCATTCCACGGCCATGTTGCAGGGTGTTACGAAAACGAGGACGGCAACATTGTGTTTGATCTTACGGTAGCAGATGGTAACGTGTTCTTTTTCTTCCCGCCTGAAGATACGCCAGCTGGTACCGTTGCAAAGCGGAACCGCTTGAACAGTCCTACCAAGCGTTGGATCTTTAATCCCAAGAGTCCTTCGGGAACACGCGTACAGGCTAGTGAAGAGTGGGACACGAGTGGTGAATTCTCCCGTATTGATGATCGCTTTGTCACGAAGAGGTATAATCACTTCTGGCAAGCAAAGATCGACGGATCGCGAGAGTACAATGCAGCGAAATGCGGTTCACCAGCGGGAGGACTCTTCAACTGCTTGGCTCACTATACATGGAATGAGAGGACAGAAGATATCTTCTGGGCCGGCTCTTGTGCTACATTCCAAGAACCATCATTCATACCCAAAAAGAACGGTGGAGAGGGTGAAGGATGGTTGATTGCATTGTTAAACCATCTCGACGTTCTGCGCAACGACGTTGTTATCTTTGATGCGCTGAATCTTGCTGCAGGACCTGTGGCTACGATTCATCTGCCCATGAAACTAAGACTTGGGCTTCACGGCAACTTTGTGGATCAAGCGGATATAGAGGAGTGGCAGGTGAAAAGACAGCCAGGTGGAGATGTTGGTCCTGTGAGAGCGGCGGAGAAGCCATTGCCCTGGCAGTCGGAAGCTGACAGCATATAAGTGTTGACTAGTCATTTTCAGAAGGATCGGGTTGTTCGGTTAGGATTGAGATTGCATGTAGTAGGGATCACTGGACTTGTTTTTTTGATAATGAATTTTAAAGTTAAGCTTGATCCTAATGAATATTTGATATACGTCAAAACTATAACCCCACATACGCGAACTTATTAGTATCGTGAGGATGTGGACTTGAAATGTAACCTTGGGCCCCGTGACCGCCAAAAGATGATATCAGCATTTGAACCTTAATAAACAAAGGATTGATATTCCAAATAGAGATATCTCAGTCTCAGAGAGATCAAATAGTGGTGTAGTGCACTCAAGGACTTAGATCGTCCGCTCGTGCCTTAAACCCGACCTACCCCAGTCACCATATCAGCGGAGACCTCGGACAAGTCTACGGGGTACGATCAAAAGGCTCCGAATATGCAGTGACAATGCAAAGCCATCAGAATGTGTGATACCCCTCAGGTCCTCGGATGGTTAGATTGGGCTCGGAAGGAACATCAACTGCGGGGATGCCATCGGACTCATCCTTCCGACGAACGATGGATTATTCAGACGCCTCTAGGTGGGACACTTGACCTCTTATCGAAGTGGGGCATCATAATGCCGGCCGTTCAGTTTATAAGTGTGTGTGCCATTGTATGCAGCATCAGAAGCCCACCTGAGAGGAGAAAGAACCTGATTTCACATCCGCAGTTCAGCATACAATCCAAATATGCCCGCCGCCAAAACACCACGTGATATTGAGACTCGTCTCTTCATTAATGGAGAGGTATGCAACATGTCCAACTAGATAGAATTCATGTGTTATTGACCAGTGTTTAGTTCGTCGAGTCATCTGATAAGAAGACATTTGAGCTCAAGTCTCCATCAACTCACCAAGTCGTAGCTGAAGGTCCGTCCATCACCCATTTCTACCAAATATGTACTACTAGATCATCATCTGACTGGTTCACAGTCCACGAAGCAAGTGAAAGCGATACCAACGCCGCCGTCGCAGCAGCAAAAGCCGCATTCCCAGCATGGTCCGAGCTCTCCCCCAAAGATCGAGGCCAGTACTTCAAGAAGCTTGCCTCGCTCATCCTCGAGTCACACCATGAACTAGCATACCTCGAAGCGATTTCCATGGGAAGGCCTGTCAAGGGATATTTTGATGCTTTTGCCGCTGCTGACACGTTCAATTACTATGCCGAAGCTGGAGCGGTAGTCCTTGGAACAAGTAGTCTGAATATGCCTGGACACTTGAACTTTACCCTTCGACAGCCTTATGGAGTTGCTGCGGCTATTATTCCGTGGAATGTGCCGGTTCTGTTCCTTGCTCTCAAGGCAGCTCCTGCGCTGATGGCGGGAAACACGGTGGTTTTGAAGAGTAGTGAAAAGGCACCATTGACCGTGAGTAATATGTCTCTAATGTATTATGGCGGTTGCTCATAGGTGTCAGTCTGTAAAAGTCGCGCAGCTTGTTCAAAAGGCTGGTTTTCCACCAGGCGTCTTCAACATCATCTCAGGCCACGGCAAAACATCAGGCGCCATTCTTTCCAGCCATATGGACGTTCGAGTCCTCAGCTTCACAGGATCCGGCCCAACAGGTCGACTGATCCAAGCGGCCGCCGCGAAATCTAACTTGAAGAACGTCATCTTAGAGCTTGGCGGAAAGTCTCCAGCTATAATCTTCGATGACGCTGATCTCGAGAAAGCAGCTGCTGAAACGGCGTACTCTATCCAATGGAACAGCGGGCAAGTATGTATGGCAAACTCAAGGATCTACGTCCATGAGAGTATCGCAGAGACATTTATCGAGTCGTTCAAGACCAAGTTCCAGGCCATTGCAGCTGGAGATCCAACCGATGAAAAGGTCAATCATGGACCTCAAGCTGATGAGATTCAATACAACAACGTACGGTCATACATCGAGATGGGCAAATCATCCGGAAAGCGTATCCTGGGCATGGATCATGAAGCCACTCCAGACGGATTTCTCATCCACCCAACGATCTTCGTCGAAACTCAAGAAGATGCTCGAATCATGAAGGAGGAGATCTTTGGTCCAGTTGTCAACATCAACACTTTCAAGACTGAAGCTGAAGCAATAAGTAAAGCCAATGACACAGAGTTCGGTCTGTACGCGGCTGTGTATAGTAGGAATATCGACAGGGCAATGCGTGTTGCGAAGAGGTTGGAGGCTGGAACTGTTGGTGTCAACTGTACTAGCCCTACGCAGGCAAAGGATATGCCCTTTGGTGGATACAAGACGAGTGGCGTAGGCAGGGAGGGCACTACAGTTAGTCTGAATAACTTTTTGGAGACCAAAACAGTGCTGGTCAAGTTGGAGGAGTTTTAGTTAATGAAGAGCTCTCGCTTATTCTTGACCATTAAACCATCACCTCGTTATACCCTGTGGCTAGCTTCCAATCGGCGGAACCTGGTCAAACCTGATAGACAAACCGGCGGTGTTCCACAAATCTGATATTGGAAACTCGGATTAATACTAATCCGAAAGCCATTACTCATTCGCCAGGTATTACTGCGAGGGATATTTATTTAAGCAACTACACTTAACTATTAAACGACTATTTATGCTATCAATAATATTATAATCTTTTACCGGCTTTGCGCTAGGCCTAGAATATCCACCAATTAGACGTTTAACTCCAAGCAATCTACAACAGACTCACCTAAGCCAGACATGCCACCAACCCAAGGTAGTCGACGCCGCCACCGGACCTTTACTGTATGTACGCACAAGAAGTCATAAGTTCTGAAAAGCTCAAAATTATATTACAGGGCTGCTGGAAATGCCGATCGCGTAAAGTAAAGGTAGGACCTATATACGAATCCTGTCTGTTCACCGCTCCATCAGGCTCACTTATTCAGTGTGACGAGACACGTCCTTGGTGTCTCAATTGTCGCCGCATCGGCATGCAATGTTCTGGCTATGATTCTAAGATAGTATGGATGGAATAAGACACATCAAAGTCTTTTAGAACTGATGGGCGGCGGATTTTGCGCAGCGGTACGTCATTTTAACGTCCCTGGGCGCTGGGATATCTTCAGGATATGAGGCCCTTGTCGTCGTCCTATCAAGGCCCCGACTCGTCGACATCCCTGATGGGTACATCCTTGCTAATAAACAATAGAGTCAACCTGGTCAGGATTTGAAACTTTATCTAGCGAACTTGTCGACCTCCTGATATTGTCCTGCGATGAAGACCCTTGGTGCACCGATATCAATGTTCATCATAGACTATTATCACATACGCCCACACCTCACAACCCCTTCTCGGTATTCTCCTCGAAGCCCAAGACTTCGACGTCGTTCAGATGCTCCTTTAGTCCGAGGCTTTCAGAGGGGCTGGAAGATTTATCACCAAGTCTCAATCCAATCACAAGTCCGCTCCCAGACGAGCGTTTCTTATTCCATCACTACGTCACCCACGTAGCTTACATGATGCTTCCATACGAACATCCTTATAATCTATGGCAATGCTATTGGGCCACTGCGGCTTTAGAGTTTGCATTATCAGGCCAAGAAGTCCTATATAGAGCAATGCTAGCCCATTCAGCTTTCAACATTGCTCACTTGCGTAAAAACGACGTCAATATGTCCAGTATGGCTTTAAGATACTACAGCAAGGCACTGTTATATCTAAAAGATAATTTGGGGCGTAGCAACACCGACTCCTCGGCTATGCTAGCTTCTATCATGAGCTTGATGTTTGCTGAGGTATGTGAACAAGAACGTGTCCATACTTTGGCGTCCTTTCAAGCTTTACTTTCCCTAATCACCTTCCAGGCTTATCGCGGTCATTCTCTAGATTGGAAACACCACTTGCGAGGAGCAAGGACGCTTCTCCTGTCGTATCGCGAGTTCGATCCTTGTGACTTGTCAGATTTGGCTCGTTCATCGCTAGAGAGCCTGGGCGTGATAGATATCATCGCCGGATCTTCTACATGGTGCAATCGCTCTAATGTCGAGGCTGATCGTCAGCATTCATCCGACGCTGGGAACCCGAGTCCTTTTACGATGTTGTCCACATCTGATTTCATCTTCACAATCGGGGCGCCACGCTGCATTTTGGAATTAATTGCCAAAATCACGCAGTCGAACCAGTTGCAACCTGGTGGCATATCTCAGACGACAAACAATGAGCTGCTTCACGAAGTCCTCTCACGTCTCAATTCGATCCAAAGGAGCAGTAGTTTCGTTCCCAACAACCCTCTAGAGGCCAAACATCAAGACAATGCTTTTATATCAGCGACTTATATCTATTGCTACCGAACATTGCTCGATGCGCCCCCTCACGCCGTTCAACAACATGTTCACGACACCTTGGGTCACGTGTCATCTTTTCATGCTAACAGTGCCGGGAACTTTTCTGCATGGCCAGCTTTTATTGCCGCAGCCGAGGCGTACGCAGAGGAAGATATGGCGACAGCGCAAGAATGGCTTAATTGGGCGACATCAGTGGGCATTGGCAGTCGAACTGCGATAAGAGTTGTCCTCAATGAAATATGGCGCACACGCGAGGGAATCAGCCGACAAAGTGGTTTGGATCCCGGAAAGATTGCCTTGGATTGGAAAAAGGTCATGTATGAGCTGGGATGTGACAGTCTGCTTATATGACGATTCATGCTATCAATCTGCGTCCTTCGGATCTTACTTTCATACTGGAATTGGCAACGTGGATGGAAGTATGTGGCGCCTATTGGGCTTGTTGTTTACTACCCGAGGGTTAATCTATATTACCCTAAAACCTCTTCGCTCAAAGCAGATCTGCTAAGGATGCTGCCCATTTGGGCTCGATAAACAGCCTAGTAGCTTCGACGAGTACTGTACCGTTCTCTGCATCTTCAATCACGCCCCGAACCCACGCTTTCCGACCCTGAACTTCCGTCACCTCGGCCCGAATCAAAATAAAACTGTCTACCTGTATCGGACTTTTGTAGTTCAAGTTGAGGTTTGCCGTGACCGAGATTTTGCCGGCCAGTCGAGGAAAACTCGCTCTCCCCATGCATTCGTCCAGCAACACAGCGGCTATGCCGCCGTGAACGAGGCCAGCATGGCCGGATAGCTTTTGGCCAAGGTGATAGAACGCTAGGATGTTCCCAGCTGCATCATCTTCATAAACGAAGGGTGGGGGCGAGATGGCATGGAGACCAGCCAAAGTCGTTGAGGTCAGGTTGTCTTGGATATGTTCTTCTCGCACAGTCAATACCGAACGAGTAACTTCGACATTGATCCTTTGTTGCAGGTCGAGGGTAGCTGGATGAGAAGTGGCTATGCAGGCGAGACGCTGGTATAGATCTTGGCTGGTCTGAAAGCCACCAGTTAGACTTGAACAGACTTCAGTGGACATTCTTGTAAAGATTCAGGTCCTGTACGTATCATTAATCTGAGAAAGTAAGGAATCAGGGGTAAGTGAAGTTAAGGATAAGACCAAGAAGGCTATATAAAAGAAGAAGAAAAATAAAAGGGTCAAGCTATATGCCAAACTTAGTCCTTCTTTCATGGGCTCTATCCTGCTTTCGGAGATTATTTATCACCAAAAGATAAGTCGACCAAAAACAGCTCATATTAAATGTTGAAACATGTATGGCGTTTTTGTAATGGCTTCGTTGAAGTATCTTGGTGACAAATACCCAGCCAACGAGTAGTCTTGGATTTCCACTAACGCAACTTGGTGGAGAAGTGCTCGGTATGCGTTTCTTGCAACTCCTAAATGAGTATAGCGCGGGATATCGGCGTAACAGAGCGTAATGCAACTAGCGTCGTTGAGCTCCTTTAGTTAACTTCCGTAACGTCACTTGATCTTACCAACTCGCTATAGGATACTATCATTTATCTTTTAGGCATTTGGATCGGTATGAGTTTCCAAACTAGATTTCAATCAATATGTGGTTTCTGATCTGTAAGTCCGATATCGGCGGTCTATTCTCAGGTAGCTCTATATAAACATGAAGCAGGGAAACAAACCTTCTAAGCCATTAACTATTATCTATCATTTCAAATCATCATTTATACCTTCATCCCATTCTCTCACTGAGGACTATTCGCTCGCATACAGCATGGATAACCACGAGTCTGACTCTGTAGTGCTTATCGAGCACCCTATCCCGTCGGTCGTGAGAATTATTCTGAATCGGCCCAAGTCCTTGAACGCCTTAAATGCCCCTTTACTATCATCTTTTGTTGAAGCACTTCGAACCAATGCCAGTGCCCGCATAATCATTCTCGAGGGACGAGGCGACCGGTCATTCTGTGCTGGCGAAGACCTCAAACAGTCTCTGGCACCAGGAACAGGCTCGGCGGAAGAGCTGAAACAGGCTTTTGACCAGTTGCAAGATATTACTCGTCTGACATCATCCTCTAAGTCCATCGTCATTTCTGCTGTACAGGGCTTCGCCATCGGCGGCGGTGCCGAGATCGCGCTAGCAGCAGACTTCGTTGTCGGTGGACCCAAAGCCAAGTTTCGCTTTCCGGAAGTCTCACTTGGCCATGCTGTTACAGGAGGCATCACCCTTCGTCTACCACATCTGGTCGGGCTGTTGAAGGCCAAGGAATTCCTCCTCACTGGCCGTTGGGTGAGTGCCGACGAAGCCCTTAAGCTCGGGCTCCTAACAGAGATTAGCCCTGACCCTAAAGGGCGAGCACTGGAGCTTGCTGCGCAGCTCTCTGAGCTTCCAAGCGTTTCATTGTCATCATCTAAAACATCCTTAGAGAGGACACTTTTTGATAACATGGAATCATGCTTGCAGGATGAAGTGAACGTCGCAAGTCACTGCTTTGCCCAGAAAGATGCAGCCTTGGGTTATGCCAACTTTGCAGCTCGGAAGGTGGCCACAGCACCACCAGGTCATGATACCAGCAGTGTCAAAACGGGCATGATAAGAGACCTTAACACGGCACTAGCCGACTCTGTTGCAAGATTTCCGAAACGACCATTTTTTCGCTTTGCTGGTCAAGACGTCACGTTTCAACAGTTCGACACGGCAGTGGGAGCACTTGCTGGGGGATTAAAAAGGATTGGTATCACGTCAGGCGATAGAGTTCTCGTCATGATGAAAAATAGTGTGGAAATGGCCTATTCGTGGATGGCTGTTAATCGACTTGGGGCAATTTGGGTACCAATCAATCCTGAGTTTAAGTCTGTCACACTCAAGGGTGTGATCAGATCCGCTCAGCCCAAGATGGCCATCGTCGATGAAGCACTGTTGCCTGAATTCCAACAGGCTGGCGTGGTTGACGACGGGTCTATATATGTTAACAACGCAGATGGAAGTGGTACTCAGAGTTTATCCAATCTGATGAAGTCGGCTCCATCGGTTACAGAACCAGTGAGTGTCACTCCGGCTACAACATCGGCATTTCTATACACCAGCGGCACCACTGGGAAGTCGAAACCCTGTGTTTTGTCACATGAGTACTTTCTTCTCCAGGCCAAGGCGCTGATCGGGAGTTGCGAATTGCGCGATACCGATGTACTTTACTGCCCATTCCCCTTGTTCCATTTGGATGCCACAGCCTTGACCATCATCCCTGCCCTCTTGCTCGGCGCCGTTGCTGCATTGTCGGTGAGATTCAGTGCCAGTAAATTCTGGGACGAGATCCGAGCTACGGAGGCTACCATATATAACTACATGGGAGCTACCTTGGCAATTACATACAAGCAACCGCCCAACGAAAGAGACCGCGACCATAAGGTTCGTCTTGCTTGGGGTGTACCTCTGCCAAACTTCGCGCAAGAGTATGAGAAAAGGTTCGGCCATCCATTAATCACACTGTACGGAAGCGTCGAACCCGGTATACCTGTTTTCCAACAACTTGGGGTCCCTTCCCCTCAAGGATCCTGTGGGCGTGCGCGGAAAGTATACCAACTACACATCGTCAACGACAACGGTGACGAGGCTCCAGTTAACAATCCCGGCCACCTTCTGATTCGTAGTAGCCATCCCAACGCCATGCTGAAGGAGTACTTTGGCGATCCCACATACACAGCTGCAGCATTTAAAAATCTCTGGCTACACACGGGTGATCTAGCCAAGGTGGATGAACATGGCAATGTGTACTTTCTTGGCCGATGCAAAGATGTCATACGCCGACGTGGCGAGAATGTCAACGCTAGTGAAGTCGAGGATGAGTTCTCTTGTCATCCAGATGTTGTCATTGCAGCAGCATATGGCGTGCCATCACAGCTAGGCCCGGGTACAGAGGACGATCTCAAGTTGGCTGTACAACTCCTTCCAGGAAGTGCAGTGACGGAGGAAGAGCTCTGGCAATGGTCGGTTACACGCGTAGCTCGATTTCAGGTGCCGAGCGTGATAGAGATTGTACAGAATATTGAAAGGACACCGACAGGAAAAGTAGAAAAAGGGGCGATGCCTTTAGTAGGCGGGAAACGGTTTGATATAAGACTATCTAGATAACAGAAAGCTTTCCGTTTGTAAGTAGAACTAGTATATTATCAGATATAAGATTCTCTATTACATTATTACCCTAAGAATAACTTCCCCAACACCCAGATAGTACTAGTTACATCAAAAGAGTTTTAGTATGATCAAGAGGTATCGGGTAGGTCTTTATCACAAAATCACCGCCCTCACCTTCATCTAGGCTTAGCAAGTGCTCCTCGCTCGATCAAGTCCACCTCATAGTCCGTCATCCCCTCCGCCAATTCAAACCTGTCGAATTCATGCAAAGTCCTTGCTATGCACTTCATAATATACATCCATGCTAGGCCTCTACCAATGCGTCGACCAGGTTGCCACGTAGAGTATCGCCCGCCAACTGCATCGTTAATGCGGGATCTATGAGTGTACAGAAAGTCCTTGGTACTCCAGTGTACGCAGGATGGCTGAGGCCTGGTGTACCATGCCATAGTGTACAGAATGCCCGTGAGTCGTCATTTTCCTCTCCGTCTAGCATGACTAGAGTCATGGTAGAGCTATCTTCTATCTTCTCTCGGTCGGATTAAGCTCTCAGCCTGTGTTGGGCTTCGGTTACCAAGTATGCTATAAGCCCAAAGCACGAGAGCAGCATGGTATTTCGCCGCGGCATAAAGGTTCTGCAGGGTCGTAGGCGGAAACTGGCGAGCCCTTCTAAGAACTTGGTCCGCGTGCCGTATTGCAACTCGAGCGGTGGATGATTGTTTCCATTCACTCACGATAGGCGCTACTCGCCTCGCCTCAATTTCTCCTTCTTTACCCGCAAAGCGTTGCATATGGGCCATAGGAGCATGAAGAGCCATCATGACGCATTCCAGCAACAGGCGAATCTCGTGGTGTGCGACGTGTCTATCACAGTACATACGGATAGTTATCAGATCTTGGTACAGGTCGCGTTGTTGGTTCATACACCATGATTCCATCCGGCGTCTTTTGGCCTTGGAGGCTGAAAAGAGAAGAGTCAGCTGCTGTTGGAGGTCCCATACCTGATTGGCAAGCGCATGGATAGCGGCAAAGTAGCAGAGCTTGAGCTTAGCCTGTCCCCGGCATTTTTCGAGGACTGTGACGTCTGAAAGAACCTCGGTGATCAGCAGATGACGCGATTCACTAATATAACGCAAGAACTCTTCTCTCCATTCTTTAGAATCCTCTGCAAGCCATACGCTGCTCGAGCATGAGCCAGCTCATGTCATTAAAGTAAGTCTGCACGATTGAAACTTTTTGGGCAGAGCCGACAGCGGAATTGATGGTAATTCTGGTGGGATTGGACATGTCACCGAAGGTGGTCAGGTCTTTCATAAGATTTGCTGCACACGAGACGGACATGTTTATCGCTCTGGTGAGACATTTGACCCGACAGTTTTGGACGGAGAGTTTGAGCAAGGAAAACAGCAAGGTCTGCCAAGGAGAGGACCCTTTTGAGTTTAATAGCCTGTCTCACTAGTCTACTGGAATAGTGATTCTGGGAATGTGGGCTCCCGAAGTGCGAGGGAAAACGAAGAAATGTAAAAATGTCCTGTGATGGGAGTTTAGGAGAGGCAACAGCCCCAGCGCATAAAGTCAAAGAATGCCAACGAATGCTAAGTTATGTCAGCTGGAATAAGCTCTCAGCCACAAGCCTCAACTGAAAATAACACATCTAGCTCACAACACATAGTTATGGAGCACGAAAACCCCACCTGGTTATCGGAGCTGGTCAGTGACAGATTTTCAGCATCAGACTTATCGTCAAGCAACGATAAGCACAGTCAATAGAAATTGCAAAAGATGAACGCGGATGTATTTGTACGAAATTGAAGTTCTAACAGAAACAAGCCCTTTTTCCCACGGTGCATTTAGTCCCATTCATAAGGTACCGCATAAGTAGGATCAAACGCATCGTGGACAATGCCGGTGCCCCGTGTGAAGTGAGCCTAAATCATCCCTTCTTGGACAACAAAAGGAGGGGGGCCATCGCCATAAACGTATTCTTGAACTTCTCTGTCAAGGCACACGTAGCGGCCGTGGTTGAATTGATTGAGTAGCATCGAAATACTAACTTTGACCCTTTCACTGGCAGGTCGATGCCTCCAGCCTAATTCGTCGCGGATAGCAGCCAACATGGTAGCATGATTTCCATGGCCCCGAACCAAGGCGAGGAAGCTGAGATCCACAGACTTTATTGTTGATGGCAGCTTGCCGAGAAACGAGATAAGATCATCCTGGAGAACTGGTAGCCCGGACAACCCAACGTGCCTCAGCTTTCCAGTTGGAAAAGTGTCGACGGGAAAGATATCAAAGAGTGATAAAGACTCTTCCATATCGCAAAACCAACCATTCAAACTATAATCTATTTGCAATACAGCTTCCTCCAGGTCGGTTGCTTTGGCTAGAAGACTGGATATCCTGCCGTTGGTATAGATACCCCAATCTTCGGAGCCCTCAAAGTTCTCGCGGTACCCAATCGCTAACGACAGAACAAGGCGTCTAAATCCCGGCTTTGCAACAATCCTGCACAGACTATCATATTCTACATTTGGCTTGTCAAAGAGAGTATAGTCGATCCCATTGGGAAGCTTGTGACTATCCACAACCAGCTCAGAGATTTGAAGCTTGTCTGCGTAATCGTCTAGAGCCTTTAGAACCATGCAGAATCCGCGCCACTGTTTCCTCTCTTCGTCATTTCCCCATCCTTCTGGGCAATCTTCAGGACCATATCCCTCTGTAAGAATGTCGTCACGTGGCCAGGTGCGAGGAGTTGGATATACAAGTCCAGATGGAAGTTCTCGGATCATTGGAGTATCATAAAGTGGCATGAAAAGAAACCCGTGCGCCGCCGGTGTTATCGTGACCCTTGCGAGTCGGGGAAAACGTCGTATGGCGTACCGAAAAGCCCTTTCGTCTGCGCTCGATGATAACACCTTTCGTTGCTGATACAAAAGGTCTGTGTAATACGCCAGTGAGTCTCGAGAGGGCATTAGGTTATTCATCTGCTTCTGCACTTCGTTGTCGCCCTCGTATTTGTTCTTTTGCTGCAATCTACTGTTGGTGTAAAAGAGGCTTTCTTTGCAAAACTTCACAAAATCCCTCGAGATCCATTCTTTGTTCTCGTTGGCGGCACAGTCATCAGGATCATTCTCGTCCCCGCTATAACCACAGGGGCCGTAGCCGTCTGTAATGGGAATCTTCCTCAACAAAGTGTCGTCCCATATAATCTCTCTCACGCGATGACGAAAGACGTCATGGTTGGCAACTGCGAGCAAGACCTCGACATTGCGTGGGTTAGCGGAGATGAAAACGCGGTCAAATCTTAGGTACGACTTGTCTCCCAAGGCTCGACATGTCAGACGTAAACTTTTGATATCGCTATTGGAAAGGAGACGACAGGTAGCACCAAGAAGCTCATTTGGTAGTGTTTGGAGTGCAGGTGGGGGACTTGCATCGTTGGGCAAGCCCATGGTTGCAATTCGAATTAAGTCAGGATGTAAAGAACAAATTCTTAGAGAGGTCCAAGTGGGGACAGAAGACACTTTATAGAGGAGGATATTTGCTTGTCCAGTGAGGTAATGATATCATGTCACGAACCTTGCTTGGTGGAAACCTACAGAACCAATTTTGGTGGCTCCTTCATGCTCTGTACATGGCGCTGACTGACTGCGGGTTGCTGTTGAGGCTTGTGGCTGATATTTCATAGCACCACATTGAACTCAGTAAGGCTGTCTGTCAATAACTTTGGTGGGTTTTAACCATAAGCTTCTAGCCACAAGCCTCAATTGCAAATTGGCCACAGGGATCAGAGCTCAAGTGAAGAGCTACTGCGATAAGGTTTGTGTTCAAAAGAGACCTCAACCCTAACATCAAGTTCTCTGTGCTGATTTAAGCTCTTATTCATAGCACACAAAGGCAAACAATGTATTTTGATCCACATGAGCAGCAACACTCGTTGCCCTCTGTGATAAGGTTGAGGTTTAAAGAGGAATTATCAACACTCATAGGCAGTATACCCATTAAACTCACTGATGCACAAGATCTGGCTTTTTTCTGAAAAAGCTAGTTATTCTAATGACTCATTCTAAAGGTGTATAAAGGGCCTGCATGTGCCGGCAACAGGGTTTTCGAATTTCACTATTTTCTGACGAAATCCTATACTTTTCCATTTTTGTTTTGTCTCTCTGGTGACCACTCATCATGGGTTACTCAAAGAAGATGCTTGTGCCACTATTTACTTGTGCACTAATCATTCCTTCTCTTTTCACATCAGCTTTGGCCGCCGCCATAGGCAGTACACCAAGGAGACAGTCAGACAGCCGCGACTTGGACCCCGTCTATCTCAAGGCGCTCTTCCCCGAGGGGCACATTTCCTCAGATACTTCTGATCTACAGTATGGCCTCATTACCGTTGGAGCCAACTCCAAGTCTGGCGCGGTAGACCCTATCAGCTCGGGATCTGGCGTTCTTCTGGCTGTTGGAGAGTCTCATGGACTTGCCCAACTCCAGAAAAGAGATGGCCAACCAGATCCTTTTGTCTTCCTTGACTGTCCCGCCAACGTACTCGACCAACCAGTCAACAAAACCCAGAAGGCTAGAGTCGTCTGCGCAAGTGAGGACGTCGATGGCTGCTTCAGGGTGATGGAGCGTGGAGTGGAAGGCACTTTGGTGGAGATGCCAGAAGAGTGTGCACCAAATTCGTTTGCTCGAGCAGTCTCTCTAGATCTTGCTGAAGGTAATTCGGTTTCCACTTGTTCGCCCTTTATACGATGACCCTTAGCTGACACCTCAAAAGACCAAACTATGCCAGACCACTTGGCCAAGCTATATAACCCCACGTCCCCGATATACGAGTTTTCCTTCGACTTCAACAAAGAGAAACGGCGAGACGACGCGGAAGTAGCCATACGAATGGATGTGACAAACGTCAAAGGACACTGGGACGGTCTTGTCGAGTCTCCCGGTGTTGAGAAGCGCCATCTCGAGCGCAGATACTTTCCGCCTGCAAACACTGACTGGAAGGAGAATTTACGGAAAGGAGACAGATTCCAATACGGCTCTGGTGGAAACTCGCTGAAAGTCCAAAAGGACTTAAGTACGCCGGTCTTTTGGCAAGCCGCCGAGAACTGTTCTGTAGGTGATAAACGCTATGGTGAAGGTATCGCAGCTTTCGTCAAGGGCAAGGTCGATGCCAAATTATCCTATGCCGTTACAGTCATTGTGAGTATTCCAACAATGTCTTTATTCCCACTTCGATCTTGCTGATGCGGCTCTGTAGGCAACCTCAACCAGAGGCACTTCGAGGGTCGATGTCAAGGAGGCTAGTGGCTTCATCAAAGTCACTGGGCAGACGGATTTGACCTTTGGAGTTGGCTGAATGGGTCGACTTGATATTGCCATGGCCAAAAAGGGCAACCCTGCCAAGAGCGAGGAACACTGGGAAGCCTTTCAAAGGCACACGATTAGTGCAGGGGCATTCTGGGGATACATGAGCCTCACTCCCTTCATCAAACGGCAAACTTTCTTGGCCACGTCTCACATGAATGTGGCCCCATCCACCAACACTAGTCATGCGGCGACCTTGAATGGACGCCTAACTACACGAGTCAAGTCTGACTTGGGCGACTTTCCAGCCTCGTTTCCTCACGTTCTGTTGCCAGACGAGATGCACACTCTCAGAAAAGACCACAAGGAAACCGAGATGAATAGTTTTGAGGATGACATTCTTTACGGGGACGGAGGCGAAAAAGGCAGCACCATACAAATCGGACATAATCTCACTTTTGGGCTCAGCTTGAGTTTTGGCGTATACACCGATGTACAGGGTCCGAAACCAAATGGCGAGTCCAGCTCTGCATTTGTAAGTTTTCTTTAATCCATTACCACCACCTTCTAGTATCTTTGTACTAATTTGAAACCACTATAGTTACTTGTCACCAGCGAGACATATGCCAATTGGGATATTCCACCAGCCAAGAACGACCAAGTCTGCCCTTATGCAACCGCCTCGTAAGTAGATTCTGCTCCCGACCATGCGCACTATAAAGAAGGAACTGACAGAATGTAGGAGTCTACTTCGACAAGGGGTAACCGGCAGGTAAGTACAGTCCGATACTGAGAGTGGGTTTCTGGAAACCATGCTAACGGATGAACAAGAGGCTTTCTTAGCTGGGAAAAGGACGACGGGTCGGCGCTACTTTTCGTTGATAAAGTGTGTCACAATTCACGTACATAAGCATCTCATTCTAACTATCATATCTAGGAAGCTCCTTACCGCAGACCCTGCTACTCGACCAAGAGTGGGCTAGACAACCCTAAAGATACCTTTGGTTACACGCACCTCAGGCCCAGCAATGCACTTCGCCACGGAGCCGACCTCTTTGTTCAACAAAGAGTCGATCAAAATCTCGGCCGCATCAACTGCGATAATGGGCAATGTGGGTCTTGTCTTAATATGGAACCTAGTCGAATATGAAGTTAAGAGCGAATTACTATGAACACCCTGACTATGACGTAAAGCTTGGTTGGGTAGAGATGCTGATAAGTTACTAAATATTCTATCCCTTTCCTATTGACCAAATGTATTAATAATGAAAACGATAACTATATTATTGTCCAGTTTTCAAAATGGAAAAAATAATACTATTGACTTATCCCACACTGTTTATTGCATTCGTCTGCTTTTAAAGAAGCTCAAGCTCTAACCCACTATACACATATCTTCAATCCGCTGTCGCCAGCAACATGAGCGACGCTCCATTTTAACACAAGACATTAAATAATACTGTCAAGGAAATTCGAGTAATACGAGCGAAATACAAACGAAATTCTCCATCTTTACAACTATATCCAAGTACTCATTTAGTGGCCAACGATATGCGCTATTTCGCTGTCTCATACAGGGAGAGTTCAAAATGCATCAACATCGATGCATTAGTAGTTGTAAACCCACATCTTGCTTGTTCAACAGATACTCGGCCTTCTAGGTTAGAATCATTGATCTTTGTTGCATAGTCGGGATCGCATAAGATCTTTTCGAAAGTCTGAAAAGCCTCCAGTGAGAGAGTGTTCTCTATGCGAAGACCATTTATCTCTGATTCCGATAAGAAGCCTGCCAGTTCACAATAGTGCCATTGAGGTATCAGGTGGGAATCCTTATTTTGAGTCGTGACAGCAAAAAGAATCATTTCCTTCGTTCCTGGTGAAATGGTAAACTCAACAATGGTGGCTCCTATGGAGCCTGCATCTGTTCGAGTCATTCTTTCAAGCCAGTTAGGGCCAAGGACCTGACAATAATCTGCAGGGCATATCACGAGTATGCTGTCAACCTCGGAGAACCGGTTTGGTGGAAACGTGTTAATTTCAATAAATTTAGATCTGGCAGAGCTGCGGCCTGCGAGGCCGAAAGATAGCAATGCACCGGCCTTACATTGAGTTCGGTTAGTGAGCGGTGGCGACCCCGTGCTTTCTGAGTCTGCATGTCGTGCTGGAGTGAACATGTCTGTAGTTGGTAAATGCGGATAGCGGATTGAAGAGACTAAGGGAATCGGGACGTCTGGGTAGGAAGCTCGACTAAAAACGCCAGTAAGAGCTTCTCTCCGCAAAGCTATTCCGACATATGGCAGTCCTCCCAGCCTCACATTGAGGACAGCAATGTAAGAAGACCAGCATTGAATCAGAGGAAGCCCGATGGAGAGACGCGAATTAGCAATAGCGTATGTAGATGGCCGGACACTGAGCTGATTAGGTCGATAAGGCGAAGCTTCTAGAAAGCTATGTGGTCTAGGTGCAAGAAGACTGATTTGGTTATTGCTCATGGCCCATGACCAGCAGAAGAGTGAGTGATCGTCTGATGATTTCAGAATCTCCTCTTGGAGTCGCAAGAAGGCTCTAGGCCCCTCGCCATATACCAGAGGCATGTTAATACCAAATATACCCAACATGCAGTACGCCATATCCTCAATTCTCGTTGTCTCGCGGCGGGACAACCAAGACATTCTTTCAGCTATCGACGCTTTATGGCACAATGGGCTTCGAACTTCTGACCAGTCTACTTGCGTGGCAATTGCCGTGTTTGGAGCAGAGCTGAGATACGTGATGCCTATACCTGTAGCTTCGGCAATATGGCGCACGAGAGTCGATCTGGTCCCAATACGTGACCAGTCAGCTGCATAGAAGACCACGCGGTCAGGGGCGAGTAGCTCTTGAAGTGTCCATCCCCTCCTGAACCAGCGACTCTGTCGGAACTCCTTCGCGTAAGATAACGGCTTGAACGTCGGGACATCGGAAAGATAGGCGTAACAAATATCGGCGTTGCTGTACCATGCGAACATCGAGTTGATAGCTTCCGTAAGCTCAGCTGAGCTAGATTTATCGATACAGTTGGTGTCGACCCATATATACGAGTAGTCGTCATTTCTAGCTTGTTCGCAGGCCTCAATGATCTTGATAAATCCCGACTTCTGCATCACCGTTGTTGGGTCTGCCCAATCTAGGAACGTAACCTCCTCCTGCCCCCAAGTATGTGAAAGAATTGCATACTTTGGAACCTTGCTTCCGTAGAACTCCTCGAAAGCTCTGGTGTGGGTGTTTATGAGTCTCATTTTGTTGAAGGGATAGCCAAGCAAAGGTTGCAGTGGATAAAAGCGATGTAGTATGAATCATGTAGTAGCTCTAGACTGATGAACCGCGTTGCGGGGTTAACGCTGCTCTTTCACTTAGGTGTATGACCAAGTATTGCATATTACTTACAAGAGACAGTAGATACTCAGTATGCAATCAACACGTTTATTATGTCTAAATGAATACGACAGCTAAAACCACTTATAGACAATACATTAACGTCGAGAAGAATAATTATATGTAGTTAAAGTTACAGAAGATCAACTATTATAGATACTATTTCCACTCCTTGAAAAGCAGCTGTAAATATGTTTCTATAAGTAAATATATATAATTGAAATCAAACTGTCTTAAGACTTATACTTGAGTCCTAGCAATTGTCAACACCTTTGCTGCCTGGTAAAAATGAGACGCATTTAACAGCTCCTTTTCAGAGTAGGCAAGTTTCTCTGCTGTCCGACGTATGTTCTGAATCTCTCTATGTGAAAAGTTCCAACTACCTTCTATATCGGGGTAGAATGTGCCAATAGTCTTTTCCAACATCAAGGTTCTGGATTTATTATTGAGGCGCAAAGACGACCTTACACGTGCTCGGTGTCGGAGGGCGTTATGTTCTAGACGGACTGCTCATCATTTAGTCAAAGAATGTCAACTTGCACAGACGTCGTAGAAAGCGCAACTTACGGCTATCCTCCATCGTAATGACAGTTATACCAGAGTAGTTGTCAATTGCTTGGAGAATGATCGAGGCAATTGAAATGCCCGATAAGGTTTGATCTTGGCCGTACCCTAGAAAGATTTCGCAATCATCCAAAAGAATGACTTGGACGCATTAGCGTAAATCAAAGTCGGTGTCTGAAGGGCTTGGAATAGAACTATACCTGCATTCCATATATCGCCAAGATAGAACGCCTCTTTAATGTTATTCTCGACTTGCTCAAGCTCTATACCGATTTCATAGGGCGTTAATCGATACAACGGTTTCCTTGCAAATTCGGCAAGAGCCTCCGCAGCGAACGTCTTGCCGCTTCCTGAATCACCATAGAGCAAGATCAACCTACCCAGGTCTCGGCTTGCTATGACATCTTTAGATACCTTGGTTTCGGGTAGAAGTGCCTTTAGAATGTTCTTCTCATCCTCTGGGATGATCAGCATATCAAGCATATCCTCCTTCCAGACTATATCGGCTGCGTATTCTATAGCAAGCTTTCCTATAAACGTGTTGTCAGCCTAGCCTTTGTGATATTAAAATCGGAGGCACCAACGCCATTTCTTGTCGTATAATCCGAAGCCATATGTTGCTGGTGGTAGAAGAAGGGTAAAGCTGCCAGTAGGAGGTGAGGCTGACTCGGTGGTTTCTAATGGCAGGTACTCTTCAACGTCCTCAGTGACCACGTCATCAAGGGTGTTTAGTCTGTGAAAACGACTATAGGTTTCCATGTCAACCATATACCGGCCATTTCCCTATACAGTGGAGTAAATATACGATCAGTATAATGAGTTAGGTCTCAATTACCATGCGATACTCGAGAACCTGTCTCGGGGCATTGTAAAGAATTAATCTCGGGTTTCGAAGCTGCCAGAAAAGGTCCCCACGTTTTCTAAGGCGATGCTCAACTTGATGGTCAAATCTAAGCGGAAAGATACCAAGCGATTTTATTGGGACCTTGTCTACCTCCGCGGCATGCTTTGGCCAGGGTATGGTGACAATCTTCTTGACTTTTGCAAAACGGCCGTTGAATTTCCACATTTCGCATTCTAGCCTGATAGGATTCGAGCCAGGAAGAGGGGGATATTTCGACACCATGGCGACGTGGTGACCCTCTTCAACAGTGACTATGATCTCTCTCGGCCCAAAAAGCTTATGAAAGTGTTTCCTGTTTACAAGCCCATCGCCAAGGAAAAGATTCTCGGCCTCTTGATAGTCGGTGCTATATTCCTTGTCCAGATACCCAAGAAGGAGAATGAGTTCTTTGCTTTGACGCTCTGGTAAGTAGGGAATGTAGTCGCGCAGCAGATTCCGAGTGTGATAGAAGTGAAGGTACGGTGCCACCATGCTACTTTCTCGTCCCCAGCCGAGTAACAATGACTCGTCTACAGGGGATTTCTTAGTCCCTGCCACTTTGACTGCTTCTATTGCTTTTTTCAAATGCGTCGAGACAACTTCCATAGACTCTCCTTCTGCTACAGCATCATCAGCATCAGTCGGCAGGAGAAAGAATTGAGAGCTCGGATCAGGTGTCGAAGAGTTGGCTGAAGCCTCCCTTAAGGCGCCAAATACTGTTTCATGGTATTCGAGGCAGTTGTAGGTGCGGTGTATAATAAACGAAATATTATGGTCCTTTTTGGCGCGCATCTGGGAATTCTCATCCGGGATTCGACCTCTGAGGGGCATAAATTTGTTATCGCCGACAAAGAGACGTGGAACGTCTTGATATGACGAAGTGGCAAGGTGACCAGAATGGGCTGGTGTTGATCCAGGGCATTCCACTCGGTGGATAACTATGTACCGAGGTATCAGAGCGCTAGGCTGGGACGACATAGCCTCAGTACTACTAGGCACGTTATCAGCGCTATTTTCCGCCATATTGAGGTTAAATAAGTTGCAGTATTTGTTATCGCGAAGCCAGACTTGAAACTATGAGGGTAATCAGGCAGTTTGAAGCAACAAATCACATTGCGCCACGTCAGGATAAGGAGGGGGATCCTTGGGCCAGCTACATGGTTTACCTGTTAAGTCATAATATGCAATATGCAAATAAGTATTTCCTGATAAGCTAACATAGCCATCAGCCATTTTTTTGTTAATACAAATAAATGTAAGTAACAACTTGATGCAATGAACCAATATTGTCTGTAGTAATCGGAATGATAGAATACACGGGATCGAAAGACATTGAAGACAGTGATCTTTGTGAGAGTATAAACTTCCAGTGATACTCGGCTATCTCGTTTTGAAGCGATCCGACATCGCTGCCCGTAAATGAAGGACAGTCAGTTGTACCGCACACTCGGATCTCAAATTCGAGTCTAACCTAAAGTCCCTTGTGGTTGACTGTGATCATCTGGACGAGTAGTGTTGTAGATCTGTAGCGGCCGGCTACTAACCGTCTTGGCAGCAGAGCCTCTCTATGCCTAGGATATGGAGTTAGCCGAAGGATGCATGTTACTTGTTGCCTTTTTAAGAATTGGCTTGACCATTCTGTTCTTTGTATGTAGTTGAATACGATAGTAATCCTGCTATGTTATACGACTTCGCGAAGATGACTGCCTCGAAAACACAAATCCCCAGAGAAAGCGCAATAAAAGTAAATATTAAGCATTACTCAGCTAAGTGTGCTTTATTAACCTTTCCCTTTGATCTGTAATCCAGAATCGTCCTTAGAAATAGTTAAAACCATCGACTCTTCCACACATATTGAAAACAGCCGGTTGGAACAGCAAGGGTATATTACCTGACACAGTCTCGCCGGTGGCCTGGTACACTAAATCTGATTGCGGCCAATTCAGAGCCATCATATCGACCCCGCAGATTGGCGTCGAGAAGTCGGTATAGAAACCATTGGTCCACTGCTGTGCCAAGGTATTCGAATTGTCACTACCAACACTGTGATCCATGGATGTTTTCGAACCATCATCACCGTTATCGACATACTGTTCCGGTGGCGATTGCTCATCTCGGCAAGGCGTGGGTAACCCGGTTTCCGGCACCAAGGCCTCCTCCTGGGGAACTTGATCTGTAATTTCCTCTCCGTGTTCGCTTGCAGTATCTTCCGAATTCTCTTCATCTTCTAAATCCATGAGAGGTGTTGGAGACCTGGCTTCGATGCGTGGTTGCGAGTAGCCTAGTTTATGGACAATATCGTGAACTATGACCTCACCACAATTGTCTAACTTAGGTTCATCAAAGTCCCAGGTATCTCCATTGCGCAACATAAGGTAAAGCCGTTTGATAGTAGTTTCAAGAACAGAGTGTGTTTTCTTATATACTTCTGTATACCTGATTTTGGATTTAGTAAGGAACGTTTCATAATTGCAAGGCACATACCCTGGCGGAAGTTGCCTATAAGGATTCTTTGTGGTGAATCCAGTAGTGCAGACAAAGCCATCACGCTGGCACCGTCTACAAGTTGTGTATCCAGCATCGCACTTTGATTATGTTAGTTGATTCGCTTAGTTCAGGTTAATAATACACACCTTTGTCTTTCTTGTTCGACATCTGTCACAGGCTCTTAGCACTTTCTGACGTCGACTGTTGGTGTCATTGCGTTGCTTGTGACCCTGGGCATATGTGGAATGCGACATTGCGTACTTAGGGGGACTAGGAAGGCGGTCTGCCATTGCGACAGGACGTGAGATGGTCGTTCAAATATTGTGACCTTGGTGAAAAGGGCAACGTCCGAGTGTTTTAAATAAAAGTATGAATCAGTGCTACACGTATATATGAAATAAGAAAATGCGGTACGGAAACTGCAGTTATTAGCAGACGTAATATATTGGAGAAGTGCAAGGCTTGCAATGTAATTAAAGTATATATGCTTCCTTGTGCACAATCGTGATTCTTGAGTAAATCTCTTATGACTTACCCTTGCGGAGTATTTTTTATTAAAGTTAGTGATTTTCGTAGTAATAGACTTTTACGGCACGGCACATTCTTAAAACGGTGATGAAGATATGGGCGGTAAGGTGTCATTCACTGTCTTTTAATAACCTGTCCTACGTGACTTTAATATGCATCGTTACATTATGGCGTTGGTGGCTTCACAACTGCCGACAGTTTAATAATAATCTGGCCGGTAGATCGACATCAACGCTTGGTTTGGTATGTGTTAACCTTAAACGCTGCCTAAAAGAGATCATAAAGCACGGCAGAGGAGATTGCGGAGAAATTATAGTAACTGCATGCGGTATTCTATGACGTAGTGAAAACCGTGTCTTGGTGATCTTCTACACCACTAACCCAAACGGTCCAACTCAACCCTCTCAGCCGTGTCGCACAAAAGTCCCTTGACTTAACCAAAATGCGTCGCAAACCAATCCAAAGCCTGTTTTTCAGCCTCCTTGCTCTGTTGAAACAGATTTTTGTTCTTCTCATCAACCCGCACGCAGAATCCGTGCCCAGCTCCAGGATACACCACCACTTCTTTGGGAGTATCCAAATCCTTCCAAGTCTCTTTCATCAAATTAACCCGAGACATGGACGTGACAATGTCCCTGTCGCCGATAGCAACTGAGACAGGCTTGATGATTTGTTCTGCGTCTCCAGGCAGCGACATCCCGCTTGGATGGCCTGTAAACACAGCATCAACAAGCGGCATCCCATCTTTGGTAATAGAACCTGGATGCGCTAGAGTCAAGACGGGTTTACCGCCCCAGCAGAAACCAGCGGCTCCGATGCGTCGCTGAGGGCCCTCGTGCAAACGGACGGCCTCGAAAAAGGACCGAATTCTGGGCCATGACGCTGCCAAGCTGTTGTAGTAGAAGAAAGGCGCCATTCCGTATACGGTCTGCACGAGATACCAGCTATACCACGTTAGTCTATCACCTCAGATTTGTTAGACCTGTCAGAGTCACCCACGGCTTCCATATCCAGTTCCAACTTGGAGTTGTATCAGTCAGAGGGCCCACAATGTCCTGTAGAACCCAGTCAATACCTACTGTCACAAATCGCAGTAGTGCCAACATACAAGAAGCCATGTAGGGGCCGATCTGCCATCCATGAAATCTGGAAGATAGACCAGAAAATTGCCATTCAAGGCATATTGATCAGCAAGAAGCCTGTTGTTCACAAACTCCCATCCAAACGCATCTGGTACGATGACAATAATCCCTCTGACGGGCTTACCATCTCGTGGGGAAGCAACATAGGTTGGCCGCCCAAACATTTCCTGGACTTCCCCAGTCGGTTGTCCGTCATGGCTGTGGCCTTTAAAGCACTCAGAGCAAGACATGGCGTAGGTAAAAAGCTACGATATAGATGTATACAATAAAAATTAGGAAAGGATAAAAGACTCTAGTTAAGAGGTGATGCAATAAAATTGAGCTGTAAAAAGTGATTCTTATACATCTATAATTTCAAACAGGTATCCGAAATTCCCTCCGCCGCTAGGCCTAATACTGATATCTCCGACGGACTCGGTCGCTGTCTCCATCATCTTTCCGAAAAATCGCCCTCCGTTTCGTATTGGACTCATTGGGGTAATGGAATTTATCATTACATTTATACCTTTTCCAGTCAAGGTTGATCGATTAATTCGATTTGCAAAACGCATTGGCCACTGGAACCTTCCCGTCTACAATTATTACCCACTGTCTAAGTATCATCGATTCAAACAACGAATAGATATCCACCACTTTACATCTTACTTTTGCGTTCTCTTTATTATTTGAATTTGTCGCCGCCAAATATATACACTTTTCTACCTTGTCAAGAATCCTACATCTCCGTTGAAGAATCACCCTAAAGAGCACGCGTCTCATTCCTTTACGGACCACGACAATTAGCTCTAAATCACATTATATAACCCTCAGAAGGAAGCCACTAACCCTACCCTAGATCGAGGACCAAGTAAGGAGAGGTCGTGGGACGAGTTGGGCCAAGGGAGGGATTAAGACATTTATGCTGGCCTGGTTGGACTGCTTTAGTAGGAGGCCGGCAGCTGAAAGTCAAGAGGAACAGTTTGTCCTGCTGTCCACGTCAGCAACAGCTTCTTCACTCTCGATAGGCCCGCCCAAGTGGAGACTCGTGCAGCCGAAGAAAAGACCGTGACAGGCTCGCAGAGTGCCACTTTGAGAGAAGATTTGTACCAAAAAGAATAAAGAAACATGTTTCTGTGGCTGCAGGTAATAATCCCATTTATCAGCTGATTAACCGTGTTCTCAGAAGGATACAACCTCTCAGCTCCCTCATCTCATCGAATGGAAATGGGAATATTTATAGAGTGCGGGGTCAGCAAGTGAAAAGGGCCCACTTATAAATATCACAAATCATCAAGTCTAGGACTTTTACCGCCTGCTCTTGCTCGACAAAGATCACCACCGAATATGTGTATGCAGAGGAGCAGTGGCGTGAATGTGGCTAGCTGAGAAGGGAGAAAACAAGTTAAGCTGCCCCTTGACTATTCTACCTGTCGACCTGACTATTAGAAAAGACCAGTTGAATTGTAAGAGACGGAGCGATAGTGAGGTGAGCCAAGCGTCGCACTCAGGAAAGCCCTTCGTCTAGTCTGTGGATGATCTTCGCAGCCCACGTTGCCATCCCGCCCGGAAGCCAGCGGCTATCCTGACCCGCTCTGCTGCTAAACCCTAAAGAATATGTGGCTTGACAGCAAGACCGGTCTCGATCTATCTAGGTTATGCAGCTTTCCAGTATATCACCACGCATGTCTCAGAACTAATATGTTTATGGAAAGCTGAAAGAAAGTGGCAAGCTGAGTCTAAAATGTAGCTACTTTTAAAGAATATTCCTGATTATTCTTTTTACCAAGACTTTTAATATAAATTGCTCGATTAACTTTACTGTTCCTTATTGTTTATCAAGTTCTCTGTATTGATTCAAGCTATTAGCTACAAGTCTCAATTGCCAACAATACAGACATCTCATTTTTCACCCCAAGAATTATCTCTACAGACCACTTTAGTACACAATTACCAGCTCCCAGAATGGCCGATTTCAACATCTTAAGCAAGACGCTCAGCGCCGATCAGGTTATTCTCAAGGGCGAAAAAGGATACGAGGAAGCCAGTAAGAAACATGATACATTCATGGCCGTTTTTTAATCGACTAATTCTCGATCTTAGTCAATATTGGTAACCTCATGTATCGATACACAACTCCAGCTGCTGTGGTCAAAGCGAAGTCTGAAAATGATGTCAAATCGACGATTGTCTTTGCACACAAGAATAAACTTCGTGTCACTGTCAAGAATGGAGGCCACTCATACATGGGCTACTGTCTCAACGAGGGCGGAATTGTCCTTGATCTCAGTCGCATGAACACATGTCACATTGACAACGAAAAGATGCTTATACACATGGATGCTGGCCTTATCTGGAAGGAAGTCTACAATAAGTATCTTGAAGACAAGCGTAACATTGTCATTGGTGGCCAATGTCCCTATGTTGGAGTCAGTGGTTTCACCCTTGGAGCCGGACTCAGCCCTTTCTCACGAAGCTATGGCTTAGGCTGTGATAACCTCGTTGAGATGACCATTATCACATGGGATGGAAACAAGATCACTGTTTCCAGGGACGACGAGGATGCCGAAAAGAAAGAGTTGTTCTGGGCCCTGGCCGGAGGTGGTGGCGGTAACTTTGGTGTTACAGTCAGTATGACTAGTAAGTTTCATAAGCTCAACGATGAAAAAGGACATGTGGTTTGTGGTAGGCTGGTCTGGAATCTTCCTCAGCAGAAGGAAGATTTTGAAGACATGATGAACGCTTTCAACACGACAAAATGCCCGAATGCGCTGACTCTTGATGCCTTCTGGTCCCATACCAAAAATAAACAGCTCACCGGTAGCATGACCGTCATTTACAACGGTGCAATGGGCATAGCGAGGGAGGCTTTGGAGTATTTGCTGGCTTTCAATCCGTCAATCATTGAACTCGAAGAAATGGAATGGACTAATTGGGTGCACAAGTCCGAGGGTTGGGACCCCAAGAGCAAGGTCTTCCATCATCATGCATCTTTCATCTTCGCCGAAGGGGCTATCACTCGAGAGCTCACTGCGAAAATCTCCCGCATTGTTGAGGAGGCAACAAAGGTGGTTGGCATTACTGAGGATAACGAGTCAAATAGTCCGAAGTGTCATGTACTTTGGGACCATATTGGCGGTGCGACGGAGGAGGGCATTGCTTCGGATGCGACGCCGTTCCCCTGGCGTCAAGGCCACTATGTCTCCAACATTAAGATGCAGTGGACCTGTCCAAAGAAGACCAAACAAGTCCATGATTTCATCAGAAAGTGTCAAGCCGAGCTTCTTCCCTACGCGATTGAGCAGAAAGCCGCTTATATCAACTACATCGATAGAAACGTCAGAAACTGGCAGGAGGCGTATTACGGCGCCAACTACCGACGACTGCAGGAGATCAAGACTAAGTGGGATCCTCACAACGTCTTCTGGAACTGGCAATCCATTGAACTCATCAAAGATGGCAAGACGGTCCCTAACCCTGGCAGTGTAGAGGAAATGGAAAGCTGGTGGAAGGAATATGCTCCCCTGGTTGATCCAGAGAGTATGTCTTGGCCAGAGACGGAGCAGGATGTTTATGAGAGGGATGCTAAACTTCGGAAGAGGATTTGTAGTGATGTTCAGCTTAATGGAACTGTAACAGCTTAGTTTTAGGCAGAGGTGTAAGCAATCGTATTATTTTAATAGGACAGCTTGTCCATGGCTATTCAGGCTAGAGTGCCAGAGCAATGGTGGCAACTATACTTCACGATAACATGTTTCCATAGCTAGAGGCAATGATATTTACCTACACGGAGTATAGATATGGTCTTTCTTGGACGAAATAAAAGTGGATCACGGTATCCAGGCCACGGAAAATAGCAAAAGTCCGGGGAGGTCCGACAGCCCCGAATCCAGTCTCCCATCCATGTGCCGAGCCGATATAACACATACTGGCTCCGGGTTGAGGGATGGGCTAATACTAAGCATCCGTATATTAAGTAAGATTCCTTCTGGATTTAACTCACAGGGGTCCCTGAAATTTTAGGCCTTGCTGACGGGAAGGGTAGCCAGTGTTCTCGTCCTTTTGACAGCTGAAGAGGCCTTATAAATCAGCAATAGATACTAGCTTCATCCACCATTCGGCCGAAATTACTATCCTGCGAGTAATGAGGGAAGAGCTATTCTACATCTAGGCTTAGCAATGGTATATAGTCTTTTTAAAAGATGAATTAATATAAATATCTATCCCCTACTTTATCAAAAGTTTCGTTAAAGCAATCTCTACTACAACCTCAACCTCCGACATGACTCTCTCCACACCGCTCTCATTTTCATTCCCTGAGGGAATTTCCTCTTCTCACCTTTTCAAAATATCCATCAACCCGGACTTCATCAGCCAGACCCAAGCAAAGGTCGAAACCTGGCGGCCACCTATCGGGCTATGGTCTGAGTGGACCAATGAGGGACCTCCATTAGAGCAGCTTAAAGACATCACCGAGTACTGGAAGAACAAGTATGACTGGTCATCTATTCAAACTAGGATGAACCAAGAGGTCAATCACTATGCAACTATGATCAAGCGCGAAGGAGACGATAAACGGCACTGTTTCACTTCATTTTGTACATAAGCGATCTAACGACGCTAACGCTATCCCGCTCCTACTACTCCACGGTTGGCCTTCTACACATCTCGAGTGGTCCAAAGTCATCAAGTCTTTGGTCAATAATACTACGACGCCTTTCCACATTGTGGCTCGAGATCTGCCAGGGTTTGAATTTAGTCCAGCTCCAACGCCGCCTATTCAGGATCCCCACGAAAACGGAAAGATCATGCAGCCTTATGAAGCAGCTTGGATACTCCAAGTATGGCATCGTGAGCACAGATTTGGGTTGGCAAATCTCCATGTGCATGGTTGTAGATGTACAGGAGAACATCATCGGTCATATGACGGATTTCTTTCCCGTCATACCAGACAGCGATGATTTGTCTCGCAAAGCTCGAAATGAGACAACAGAAGAGGAGAATGTCTATCTGGCGGCTTTTAACGAATGGTTCACTTCGCATTCTGCATGCTCTGAAGTTCATACTCAAAAACCTTTAGCTTTGTCTCTCGCTTTCACTGACAGTCCAATCGGCTTTCTAGGCTGGATGTGGGATCTCATGAATACATCATTCGATGGCTACAAGTATAGTTACGAAGAGCTTATTACTGACGCTATGATTCTGTATATCCCGGGGCCGTATAGGAATATCAGACTTTATCTAGAGTCTTTGAAGGTAGAGTTCCTCTGACCATTTACAATAGAACCAACTGACGCATATCTCTAGCCGGACAAGATGAGTTTTCCCAAAAGCACTGTTCCCACTGGTGTTTCGGAATGGGGTAATGGCAATGGGACATTCCCTGAACTAGCAAGTTTTCAACTTGCAGTATGTATATTTCTTAATCTGGAGACCTTGGTACGTTACTGACCTTGCCTGTCTAGCCTCGAAGTTGGGTCGAGAGGAGCGCAAACGTGGCCTATTTTGCTCGACATCCTTCTGGTAGACATTTTCCCGCAATAGCCCATCCTGAAGAATGGGTGCAGGATGCTCAGAATTTCTTCTGAGGTCTCATTCGGCATTAAAGGCCGTAATAAGGTGTGCTATGATGAGTACCAAGAAGTATGAGAAAGACCGGCACTGGATGGTGGATTGAATGAGCCTCAGCTTGCATCTGTTATCTTTGAGGCAATCTTTGAAGTTAGATAGCTAAAATAAATTGCATTTATCCTTCCTCTAAGTTGAACATATTACTGAACTGATAAGTAGCAGTAAGAGCTCGTAATAGATATTGTCTGAGGCTACCAGTAACATGGTTCAGCAATCACGTAGACTCGGGCATTCGTTGATTGCAGTCAGTCATCATTTAGGTTTTCCTCTTATCAGCCTTATGCTGTAGCAATTGGTCAGACATCTTGGTATTATGTCTAAGTTGTAAGCTAGAAGTGTTATTTGCCGCTGAGACCTGTGGCTGAGAGCTTAATCCAGCCGAGAGAACCTAGTTGATTGCAGTGTCTAGGGTAGCATTTGGCCAGCAGCCAACTACAACGCATCAGGCTAGCTTACACATAAGTTACCCCACAAGAGCCACATTTTCTTGACACAAGGGCGCACTAACTTATCTCTCACGTAAGGACCCAAAGTAACTAGTCAGGTTGGTGGTTGATTTTCACTTTCAGGCTCCTGACCTCGACAATGCATCTTCCATGTCACTACGCGTGAGTACGACACCAGACCACGACAAGAACTTTACTTGCCTGTTCCCAGACGACAGACCCACGCCTACTCCGGGCGCCTTTCGTGCTCCCTCTGAAGCACGTGCATCAACACCTAAAGCGTCGTTCTGCAGCCAGGCAAGGAGTCTATTCGCCAAGACAAGATTTCTTTTTGCTTACTACTGTTCTCGTCTGTTACCCAATGGAAAGTGATCGGTCTGCCGTTCCAGACCGGGCCATGCTTCTACCCCATTGTGATGAGGATGACTTAAGCTTCTGGTGCCGACAGCTTTTCAATGATGACCATGCCCCCATCCTCCCCGACGACTTTTCCCTTGGTTCTCTGCCTGAAGACCTGCTGTCTTTCGACTCATCATGGCGTAATATTGACGAGTTCACTGATCTTGGAACTCATGAGAGTGGTCTTCCCTCCAGTCTCTTGGATGTCCGCTCCTCTCAACCCCCCCAGCAGCAACCTGCTGGGCCCACTTCTGCCGCAACAGGTTATCCGGACTACGAAAGCCTGCCCTCCAAGAATGGAACCCGCTTCACTAAGGAGGCGCTCCAGGTTCTGAAGGACTGGTTCTCCTCTCACAGCGACCATCCCTACCCCGACGAGGAGGAAAGGGAGACGTTACAGCGTCAGACAGGACTTAACAAAACACAGATTTCTAACTGGCTTACCAATGCTCGCCGTCGACGCAAGGTTCAACGACCGAGGCCTACCTCTCCTTATGTCCGCAACACCTGGACCGGCCCTATCGATATCCCCCGGCGTCCAGATACGCCTGCCTTCCAGAACAATACAGGCAGCCTGAACCCCCTGGAGCGCTGGGTCGATTCGCCTCCCGAGAGCGAACCCGCCTCTGTGACCGCGATCGCTCAGGCTGTCGCCTTGAACTCAAAGACTTGCTTGGGGCAGAACAGCCCACGGTCCTTCGCCTCCACTGACGACGGATCCAATCCTTCACTCTATAATGTGTCTTCCGCAAGTAGTGCTGGCACGTCCAGCGGCGCCTCCTTCGGCTCTATGAACCGGCAGCGTGGCCGTCGTCGTCGCAGAAGACCTGTTCCCAGGCGCAAGGAGAAAGTCGCTTCAGCTGTACCCCTCAAGAAGTTCCAGTGTACGTTTTGCACAGACACCTTTGGGACTAAGTACGATTGGCAGCGGCATGAGAAGTCACTACACCTCTCTCTGGAACGATGGATGTGTGCTCCTAAGGGTCCGAGGGTCCTGAATATCCAGAGCAACCAGATCAGCTGCGCCTTCTGCGGCGAAGTTGAGCCCAGCGATGAGCACATAGAATCCCATAACCTGTTGGCTTGCATGGAGAGGCGGCCTGAAGACAGGACGTTTTATCGCAAGGATCACCTCAATCAGCACCTAAGGCTTATGCATAACGTCACATTCCTCGACTGGAGCATGAAGTCCTGGAAGGTTACAGGCCCTGATATTCGATCACGCTGCGGGTTTTGCGGTATAACGATGCCCAACTGGTCAACTCGGGTGGATCATCTTGCGGAACACTTCAGAAAGGGTGTTACAATGGCTTCCTGGAGGGGAGATTGGGGCTTTGATGCTCCAGTGCTCAAGATGGTTGAGAACTTCATTCCTCCATGTAAGCCCCCCGAATTCCACATCAAGGCAATTGAAGAGTCTTTGGTCATCGAAGCTATCTCGGTCGTGTTAAAACTGACATTATGCATTTATACAGATTTGATCGAGAATGATCGCCGCTCTCCTTTCCCCTATATCGCAACCGCCATATCAACAGAGTTCCCCGATGAGTTGGCAAAGCTAGAACTAGATCGTTCTACAGCCAACCACCAACAGTCGACAATACAGGAGGCTCAGCACCGAGAGTTGAATGAAATAGCTCGAAAGAAGTTCTCGGGAGGTTGCTCAGAGGTGATTCCAGCCACCGTTGCAGGTCAAGCGGGAGCCTTCTTTTTGACCGATGCCAATTGCTACCGTCGCCTCTTTCGGGAGTTAAGACGCTTCGTCACGTCGATCATGTCACCGAATAATCCGAACTGCCATATACCGACCGATGCTGAGATCCAGCATCAGGCTCGTTGCATAATATTCGACGAGTAAGCCCTACACGATACACGGTACTTTCCCTAATCTGACCATTTTATAGCGACGACCCTTGGAATCAGACCGCGGCAGATAACGCTGAGTGGCTCTTGCGATTCAAGCGTGATGTTGGCATCCTACCGCCGGGGGCTGGTCTCTCGCTAGACACTAATGCGTGGAACATCACGCATGGCGGCACAGGCTTTGCTCCTCCGTACGCGTTCCCGAATAAGAAAATGTTACACGCTACCTCATCCACGCCAGCATCGGTCGTCAGCCCCAGCGCCACGAATGGGTCAACCATGACTACCAGCCCGGGCACGACATCCCCAGGCTTCGAAAAGCTTGAAATATTTCTCGGCAACAACGCAACGCCGTTCGAGGCCGATCAGACCTTGCTGGAGGGGTACATTGAAACCTTTTCATCGCGGTATGATCGACCTGCTTCAGTCTTTTGCTCTCGGGAGCTCGAGAGCGGCCTCATTAGCTTCGTGGAGACGGAGATGGCATGTGGCGCAGGTTTCCCTTCGGATGAGGCGATAAGGTTGCGTGGCCGCGAGATTTTGAGTTGCGACAAGACGGCGGCTGATGATCCCGATCTGCTCGCAAGGTTTAAGGCGTGGATGATGAGACTACGCCATCAGCAGCCGGTGAACATGCCCTGTGATATCAATATCGATCTGAATGACGCGGAAATGGATAGTTTGCTGGCTGACGCGAACTTTGATATGATTTTGACAGAACTTTAGACATTTCTTATCACATATGTATGTCGAAGTTGAGTTAAAGCCATGGCCCCTCTTTGGAAACCGCAAAATGACATGTCGACAACAAACCTTGGCAAGAAACCTTCTTCAGCTTTAACTTTCATCGCGACATAAAGTTGCGGCGTGACTCACCTTGAATTCATTATAAATATAATACTCCTCCCATCGATTTAACAAGCCACGGTATTCTTCAAAACTGATCGCCATGACGCCAGAGGAATCGATTACCCTCATCAAGGCCAACCTGGCAGAAGTCCTGAACCCCGAGATCATCGACAATGTGATACTAAAAGACGGAAGACCTCTCCGGGTCTACTGGGGAACCGCCCCAACAGGAAAACCACACTGCGGCTACTTCGTGCCCATGGTAAAGATCGCCGAGCTCCTTCACGCAGGATGCCACGTCAAGATCCTCCTCGCCGACAAGCACGCACACATGGACAGCCAGGCGTCCCTCGACGAGATCGAACACTGATGCGAATACTACAGACTCCTCATCCAGAGCTCCCTCAAAGCTATTGGCGTGGATGTCTCTCAGCTTGAGTTTGTAGTGGGGAGCTCATTCCAGGAGACCAGAGAATACGAGGCCAAGCGATTTCGATTCTCGAACAACGTCACCGTGTCGCAGCTGATCAAGGCTGGTTCAGAAGTCGTCAAGCAAAGCAAGAATCCGACACTTGGTAGCGTGGAGTACCCCATTTGGCAAAGCCTCGATGAAGAGTGGCTTGGTGTCGACGCAGAACTGGGCGGGTTAGATCAAAGAAAGCTCTTCACATTTGCAATCGATCATATGCCAAAACTCAAATACAAACTACGAGCATACCTGATGAACGCCATGGTGCCAAGTCTTGGGGAAGCGCAGAAGATGAGTTCAAGCGAGCCAAACTCCAAGATCAATCTTCTTGACTCGCCTGAAGAAGTCACCAAAAAGCTCAGAAAAGCCATATGCGCCCCGAAGGAAATCGAGGGAAACGGTGTCATTGCCTTTATAGAACATGTCATCTTCCGCGTCGAGTCACTGAAAACTGGTGGCAAGCCGAGGTTCACGGTCGAAACACAAGATGGCGAGATGTTGGTCTATGAAGACATTTCAAAGCTCAAAGAGGATTATGCCAGCGATGCTCTAACACCGCAGATGATCAAACCCGCGTTGATCAAAGCACTCAACGAGCTTCTGGACCCAATTCGGAAGGACTTTGAGGCTGATGAAGATTGGCAACGTGTCGCTGAAATGGCTTACCCGGTTCAAGCGAAGCCTGGGAAAAACAAAACAAGATGAAATGAAATGGTAGGGGATCTAAAGGGCTGCCTATTCAGATAAAATGTCATCAAGCTACAGATAATTTGCCCTAAATGGAAATTTGCTAGCTTTTCCATGATAACATTAGGATCGAATCTCGCATTAGCTAAGCCAGGTAACCTAATATCACTTCGTGTTCAGATCCTGCTGTGTGTCCCAAACATTATCTAGGGTCCAGTATCTTACCTACATTCAATCAACATAATCTTGACCCCACTGAACGACGAATATGTATGTGAGGGTTCAATGATTAACAATGGTACTTGACATTAACACATAGTATAGGAAGCCATTCAATTAACTCGATTACTACAAGATCGTTTTAATCTACTCTCAAATAATCAAGCCTATATGTCACAGCTTTTGTCAATGCGGTAGGCTCCAGCCCCTTTGAAGTTATTAGTAGGATATATCATCTTAACAACTACTGATTTAGAGCCTATGTTGGGTGTGAGAACTTGAGATTTTTCGATGAGGACAGAGCTTATTCCACATACCTTTGGGAATTTTGAAGGAGCCCCAGAATCCTCGCCCGATAATGGATTTTGCAGGGCCGTCAGGCAAGTCTCCGACATGATCATTTGACATCATGGCTGGGTCATATGGATCTTTCCCACGACCTTTGAGTGAAAGTGCTCCATGTGTACGACCGATCTCTTTCCCGTCAATGAAAACCGCGTGTTGCTCTGAGGTAGCGTACAGGTCGGCGACAGAAAGAACCATATCTTGTTCATAAGTGCTGAAGTCTATGACAAGTTCTGCACCTGGGCCGAAGGTATAAGAGGTCCAAGGCTTCTCGTTACTGTAGACGCAGGGTGTATCTTCACTGCACGATGCGTAATATTGCAGTTCAGTTGGGCCAGAGGCGATGTACTGTAGGTCTGATGCCTGGGTACCTAAAGCAAAACTGTTATTTAGGGTTCGAATGATTTTGTGACTCAGCTGCTATGACTAACCTGCTCGAATCAGATAGAAGGTCCGTCCGAAAGGGCGTTGAATAGGAGTCATTGCACGCCGAGATTTGTACAACTCAAAACCTGGCTTCACAGGTCCCAGCAAAGTATCAAAGTCGAAGACGTGATTTTCCTTCGCGAGGCTGTTCTGGGGAAGGTCTCTGAGCTCTACGGTGGTGCCAGCCGTTTGGACAACTTCAGGATGGACAGGGAGACCGAAGCATAGAGCGGCCGGAGGCTCGCAGCTCTTATCACAATATTTTCCGAGAAGGTTGAGCGCGCTGTTGACGATTGCCATATACTCTTTGATCAAGACTTCGTGGTCAGCAGAAGCATCAGGGCAACAGACTTCCATGGAATCGCGGACTGCCGTCTCAATGTCGAGACCAGCGAAAGCCGCTGGGCAAGAGGATGGAGAGTCCCCTTCTCCAGTTCCGGGGTCAGGAAATCCCTCTTCGTCTCCGGGGTCAGGAAATCCCTCTTCGTCTCCAGGTTCAGGGAAGCCTTCTTCGTCGTCTTGGATGTGTATGTCAGGAAAACCTTGTTCATCGTCCTCAAAATCTAACTCTGTTCCTTTTTTTCTCCAATTGTATACAGCTTCACCTATCACAGCAATGTTGCCATCTGATTTCAGACTACATGTCTTTTCAGACGGTCGCCACTCTGCATGGACGCAACGGCTTTTCTGGGAGCAGAGATCGGCGCAATCCTCAGCATTTTCGATGTTCGAGCCTTGAAGAATCGTCGATCCCTTGGTAGGGTAGCCGCAGACTAGGACATATTCTTTGGCGCCTCTAGAGAAACCCAGGCTGTTAGTCTCGAAGAAGCTTTAAACGTGACAGCATTGATTGAGTTGCTTACCTTGTTACTTCTGCCAGATTGTTCGAAGGACATTTGACAGCTGCGCCGACCAGAGAGCCTGCAAAGAGTATAAGAGTAGCGTGCAGGAACGACGGTGTAGGCCTGGAACCAGCCATTTTCACTCTTTTCCCCAAGTTTGAATGTGGGTAAGCAGGCTATGGTCAGTAATGCTTTCTTTACATCTGAGATGAGGGTATATATAGAGTAAAACGTTGTGTATGCTGACTTTTGCCTTGTCAACCCGTCCTTTAGTTCCCAGCCACGGGATTTGCGTACACTCCTCAGTCTCAAGTTGCAGCCAATAACGCGAAACTTGTAGATCCAGTTCAGAATGCGTGCAAATCTCCCAGTCTTGTTTACTAACCCTTTCGGCGTTCTGCACTGCCCAACTGCATTCGTTATGACGTTTCCTCGTGTTTGATTGGCCTCAGTTAACTCGCCAAGGAAATCAAGAATGTACAGATTAGGTGGAAATTGCTCTGAAATCAGCTTGGAATGCGGAATTCGAATCAGGGATATTTCTAAGACACGGCAGAATCGGCCCGCTATAAGCTAATCATTGCCGAAGGCGAAGTGCAGATCTATGAGGCTGAGACACGGAATAACCTGGCCTAAGCTGATCACCGATATCTCGGTGTTGTGAGAAGCTGGGATTGACTCAGGGTCAGGAAAAACAGCAGAATGACTTACAGCAAAAATGGCTGATCTCTCACTAAAGCTTATCTGTTGTATTTCCTTGGCCCCTAGAATGGAAACAGAGATGCAGATCTTGGCGGTTGAGACACGGGACAAGCTGGCTAAAGCTGATCATCGATGCTTCATCCTGTATAAGCCGTTGTAAAGGCAGCCAAAGTCTATTGAGAAGTCGTGTTCAGCTTGACACCTCAAGTTGTCACACAGACGGTGTGTGTATCTTGTAGATCTTCCCTCCCTTACATTGTTAAGAATCCCTTGGTAGTCTAGACTTGTAAACAGACAGATTCCAAATCTCTTAACTCTTTTCTTGGCCCACGTCCTGTCTGGAATCCAACTCAAATGTGTTTCTTTCAACTGGGACCTGCAGTCAAAGCCATAGCAAACTTACGCTCTCCCTTCAAGTCATATAACAGGCCAGTGAAAATCTAGCGATTAATGTAGTATTCTCCACTCAAGTAATCCTAAGGGATCCATGACCATACTGAAATCACCTGAAGTAACAGCCTGGAGGCCATTTTCCACATATTCCCACCACTCCCCAAACTGTCTTCAATGTCTCACACCGGTACCAGGGGATAATGTTTGATCAGCATGGAGCAGCCTTTAACACAGGTCCATTGCCAGCCACAGATGATGCAGCCAGCTGGAAAAGGTTCCCTCGGAATGAAGGTAGAATATAGTTAGCCCGAAACACATCGGAGAGACAAGGATTGTGAGAAGGCTATGTTATTCCGCGTTATCACAGAAAAGTGACAAGTCACAAGCCACAAATAGGAGGATGTCAGCTGTGACGTAGAGATGTGTTGTTACGAAAGGAGCAGTAGTTTGTATTTGGCTGGAATGGTGAAAGAAGTGCCTCAACTTGAGGTGCCGAATACGATACACGTCTCATGATCACGAATAGCAAGTGTCGTGCGCATGTATAAATGTGAGTGTTGCCCCCTATGGCAATTGACCTGTAGCAACACTTCCATCACATCCTTCCACAGGGGACCCTTCTCTCCATCTCTGTTTTCAATCTTACCACCTTCCATCTGTCATTCACTATGAGACTCTCTGCGGCCCTTGTCAGTCTGAACGTCGTTCTCGGAGCTAGCCCGGCTTACGCCAATTGTGTCCCCGGCGAGAAGGTCATTAGCCCTGGGTATAAAGTCATGGTCAAATGCAATGACTATCCAAAGGGTACTATGAGCCCTGCTCCCTCTACGGAGGATTGCGCCCTGAGATGTGAGGGTACTGTAAACATCTGCAGTTACGAACCAAAGAGCAAACAGTGCATTGTCGCTTCAGCAAATGGGACTCCGGCCAAGTTGACTGGTGTCATATCTATGACCCCAATTAAGAGCGACTGTTGTCCGGACCTTGAAACATGCCGCGAAGAAAACACCAAGTGCGCTGCAGACTTGGCTGATGCGTTGAAACAGCTTGGTGAGAAGGATAAGGAGCTGACGAAAGCCAAGAAGGATCTTTTTGATGCAAATAAACAACTTGAGCAAAAGCAGAAGGATCTCGATGAGGCAAATAAGAAGGTTCAACAATCGCAAAAGGACCTTGACTCTTGCAGGAACCCAGCTGGCTCTGGACCACCGCCAAATCAGAAGCCACTCAATCCAGCAACATGCGGTGAACTGAAATCAGTCAATCCGCGCGTTCCCTTGATTCGACAAATCCAAGCCAACTATGAGAAGTGCAAAAGCGCTTGCATGGCGGAGCCAAAATGCCAAGCTTATAATGTATTCCATTTCACGGGATCTCAGAAGGATGGGGGTTGCTTTCTTTATGCAAAGCCTGTCGAGGAATTAACAACCGTCATTAATAAGAACTGGCGCTTGTATAATAGAGGCTGTTAGAGCTGAGATACATCCTCTTTCGCAGGGAGTAGTATGAGATAGTCTCAAGCAAGATATTGAATCTATTCTTTTAGACTTCAATACTATCGTTATACTTAGCTTACGATGCTTCTTGAAAACCCTGAGTATAATTCCAGTTGTCTATGAGTGTATGCACACTTGTGGGCTTTGCATGGTATGGGCGTTATCCCTTGATAGAAAGAGTGGTCTGATCTATAGTCGGGAATGACCCCACGTGTGTTGGCTGCAATTAATCGACACTAACCCTTAGAGGAAGATGCGCGAAACAACAGTGCTTATTTCGTGATAGATATATTTTGCTGTCATGACGTCAACATTATAGTCACCACCTGTTGAGATGTCATAAGCTTCAACCATCAATCACCATGATGGCAGCATGAGACATTTATACGTGTGTCTTCAGTACCCACGTACGAAAGCTTCTTATGTGCTACTCTCATTTGGGCGTCGAACTTGTGGTTAAGAATGACGCCAATTATTGCGCCATGTTTGATGTCATGTCATTCATCTCCATTATCTCACACCCGCCACTGCATGCCTGTTATAAGTCCGTGAAGCCGGCGAAATGTAATCTCGGGATTTCAAGTTCTGTGATCGACTTCCCGACTTATTATCACTCGGATCACAACAACAGCATTGACTAACATGGCGGCCAAGAACCCTGACTCCCTCGTCGGCCAAGGGCCATTTCATGCGCGGGTCCACCCAGCTAAGCCTGCTGTGACCAAATGGGTGAGGAGCCACATACTACCTGGATGTTTAATTTTCTCAGCATTTCTAGCACAAACCGGGTAACGAGCAAGGCAAAGATGCCGCCCCAGAGTACCACGCCGAGACCTTTCCACCAGGAACTGCACCCGCAGGGAATACTTTCCACCCGAGTCCCGAGAGCAACTACACAACTGAAGCCCTGAACATGCCGGCTCTAGACATGCCAGGCTCGACATCAAAGGATATCTACAATTCTATTGACACCGTTCATGGCAGACCACTGATTGGCCAAGAGAACCGTGAAATCAGAGGAGTCCATCCAAGAAAGAGGAAGAAGGAGCGTAGTGGCCTGGAGGGTATCGGTGCCAGTACAACATATTCTGTGTTTGACAAGGTTAGGGATACGGTTGCTGATAAGCCCAATGTCGAAAAGGGGCTGAGAGGTTACTCTGGGAAGATAGAGGGAGGATTGGCTGCTGATGGAGCAGAGTCTATGCCACCTGTCAAGGCAGATGAGCGGGCTGTTCGTGAAGGTCCCCATAAATCTAGAGGTTGATAATGGTCTGATTGTACTAGAGCTAAATAACATGTGTTATTTGCAGTTGAGGCTTGTGACTCAGAGCTTAAATTAGCAGATAGACCGTAGTGTCCCATTTGAGGATAGTGGAAGTGAGAATTGTCTACATCAAGTCATTAAAGTTACAGGATCACCTTTTAGCTGCAGGCAAGTACAGTAGAGAAAGGATAAAATACACTGACAGGGCAACTAGCGAAATCGTTCGATAAGATTGTTTGGGCTTATTGGCCCATTTTAAGTTTGACTACTCCATAGTACCCTGAAAATCAGGATCAACCGGGGTCCCCGTACCACAAGTAAAAGAATGTAATTGGCTGAATGCAGGTCATATCTCATTGACACATTTGTAGAGTGGGTATCATTGACTGTAACCCTGACGATACAGGGTATGTAGACTATATGATGAGACAAAGACAACTCAAGATATCGTCATCTATTTATCACCTCAACAACGATTTCAAATCAACATAAAGTTTGGTATAGACTTCAAGGGTACCAGGGCAAATTATGTGCATAATGACTTTTGTTTTTCATCATGGGCGGTAACAAGTGCGGGGTCGTTTCACGGCAGTTCTTGGTGCAGTCACCGCACCTGTCAGAACATCCCTCAATTCGGCAGTTACCTATCGCCTACAAGTAGATTGCGTCGCTGCATTCGTAATCTCTATAGCCTTCGCTTAGACAAAATGACACATTATGATGGTTCCAGAAGCTTAGACACGTGAAAATGCTCGACATCATGCGAAAACCTGTTCGAGGGAGCCTGAGCCATTGGTCAAGGTGTCTATATAATTTGCCTCCAAAACACACGGCTCGACTTGGGGGACACTACCAACACCCATCAAACTTCAGTCTTGCCAATATTCGCACTGCCAAAATGAGCCAAGTCTCGGAGAAAGCGCCCGACAGGAAATGGTGGAAGGAAGCCATTGTCTACCAGGTTTGAACCCCTTCCTCCCTGTTACTGCAATAGACTTATACATAGTTTAGATCTATCCCGCGTCATTCCTTGATACCGATTCTAATGGTGTCGGGAACATAAACGGGATCACAGCTAAGCTGGACTATCTCAAAGATCTGGGCGGTAAGAAGTATCCCGATCCTATGTTCATGATCTAACGAGTATATGTTAGTGGACATTCTCTGGATTTCACCAAGTAAGACCCCTCGATATATGGTGACGTTCCCGATCTAACATCTGCTTTATTTTACGAAAGTCCACAGAAGGACATGGGTTATGACATTGTATGAACCCGTTTCCCGATGAGATTGAAGTAGCACGCACTGACTTGGTCACAGTCGAATTACCGTGGAATTCATCGGCCCTATGGCACAATGCAAGACGTGCACCACTTAATCGACGAGCTCAAGGCACGCGATATGAAACTCATCATGGATCTAGTGGTCAATCACACCTCAACTGAGGTAAGAGAAAGCTTTACACTCTGTGTCCAACTTAACGTGACTGATTTCACCTGACGCTATAGCATCCCTGGTTCATCGACTCAGCCTCGTCTGCAGTAAGCGCGCGACGAGACTGGTACATCTGGCGCAAGCCAAAATATGACGCCCAGGGAAATCGACAGCCACCGAACAACTGGTGCAGTCTCTTCGACGAGACAGAGTCGGCCTGGACCTATGACTCTAAGACGGATGAGTACTATCTTTCTCTCTTTAGTCCTTTTCAGGCCGACCTTAACTGGGAGACCCCGTTCGTCAGAGAGGAAGTCTGCGATATCCTGCGCTTCTGGCTCGACAAGGGCGTCTCTGGTTTCCGGATGGACGTCATCAACCTCATCTCCAAAGACCAGAGATTTCCCGACGCAGAGATCCGTCACCCGGGCAGGAAGTACCAGCCGGGAGAGTGCTACTTCGCCAACGGGATCCGTCTCATGGACTATCTCCAGGAGATGAAGACCGCCGTCTTCTCAAAGTACGATACTCTCACGGTCGGCGAGATGCCGTACCTTGAGAACGAAGAGGAGAGACTCAAGATGGTCGCGGCTGAAGAAGGCGTGCTGAACATGATCTTCACCTTTGAGATGATCGGTCTTGACATCGTTCCTGAAAAGGGCCGCTTCAGCAATAAGTCGTGGAAGGTCAGTGAGCTGAAGGACATCGTCGCCAAGGCGTGCAGGCTAGTTGATCAGAACGGGTGGCATACGCTATTCTGCGAGAATCACGACCAGCCTCGTTCCGTCACGCGTTTCTGCGATGATTCGGATGAGCATCGCGTCGCAGGCACCAAACTCCTTTCAATCATGCAAACCAGCCTTCCTGGTACCTTATATCTGTATCAGGGAGAAGAGCTAGGTATGCGAAACGTGCCGAAGTCTTGGGAATTCGAGGAATACATTGATATTGAGTCTATCTCCTACATCAAGAAGTAAGTCTCACGGTTCCTATCACTCTGAACATGTACTGACAGGCTATTCGTTATACAGTGTCTGCGTCCAGTTCCCAGAAGGGTCTCCTGAAAGGAAAGAGGCAAAGAACCTTCTGCGCCTCAAAGCGCGTGACAATGCCAGGACTCCGATGCAGTGGGACTCTACATCCAACGGCGGCTTCTGCCCCGCGGGAGTCAAGCCCTGGATGCGCGTAAACGACGACTACACCATCGTCAACGCAGCCCTCCAGACTTCTGCAGGACGGGCAAACGACCGTACCATGCTTGTGTCGCCTTATCGCTTCTGGCAGCGAGGCATCCAGATTCGCAAGAAGTACAAAGACATGCTCGTCTATGGGGACCTAGAGATTATTGATGGCACACACCACAATGTCTTTGCGTTCAAGAGGATCAGCAACGACAGACATTCCATCACCATCCTTAACTTTAGTAAGGATGAGGTGACGTTCAGGTTTCCTGAAGGTGAGGGGGTCAGAGGCTGGGCTCTCGGGAGTTACGATGTGTTGTCTCTGGAGAGGCCCAGGTCGGGGGAGATACAGCTCCTACCTTGGGAGGGTCTACTCGGTATTGCTTGAAGGGTCTCTCGCTTGGGAACTGAAAAGTCAGACTGTCATTAATTGTTACGAAATTAGTTCGACATAGTTAATACAGATTGCCATAGATCGCCGATAACACGCATTGCATTGTAATATCATGCTTTATCGTGGTGAATGTTCAAAATTGGGCTCACTAACAACAACACTCAGAAGGATTCTGCCTTCAATTGTCATATTGCTTTATCAGAAACTAGGTCGATTGACGATTGTTATCGTATGATTGTTGGTATGGTCCACCAAATGAGTTGCTTCTTCAACCTTTTAGGTACAATCGCTTGGCAGTGAAGTCATTTACACGTATGGGTCGAGTGCCATTGCTATTCAACATCCTTGTTGTCACGTAATGGGTAGACTGGTATTGCGCAGGTACTGTAATTTGAACATTGCGATGTCAATCTATAGATGCCATTCGATGTTTAAATCTTTGAACCCGTCCTCATACCCATCAACCATGTCTCGATATCCGCCTCACTGTTGCCCTTCAACCATTTAATTGTTGTGGTCCGCACATTAGCCGAGACCCTCTCATACTCACACCGATCCTGCATAAGCTTGGTGATAACCTTGACCCATGGTGCTACATCCTGCTTGGGTATCGCGTATCGTCCCGACGCGTCGCGCTCTCCAGTTATGGGAGTCACTGGGATGATGTAATCCATTCCAAGCATAGACTCAGAGAGCGCACCCG